CGTTATTCATCACATTTACTGCCAACCCAAACTGGAGGGAGATCCAAGATGAATTGTTGCCAGGCCAAACAGCCGCTGATCGCCCCGACTTGGTTGCTCGAGTATTCAACCTTAAGCACCGAGAGCTGCTTAAAGACTTGAAAGACAGAAAGGTCTTTGGCTGTTATAAAGGCATTGTAAGGACTATTGAGTATCAAAAGCGTGGTCTCCCTCACGGTCATATGCTATTGTTTTTGGATGCAGAAACAGATAGATTTGATACGCCAGAGAGGATTGATCAGATCATTTGCGCTGAGATCCCAAATGTTGAAGAAGAACCTGAATTGCATGCAATCATCACTCGCAATATGATGCATGGCCCATGTGGCGAGCTAAACTCAAAGTCTCCGTGTATGGTACAAGATGCTTTTGGCAATGATGTATGCTCAAAGAAATTTCCCAAAAACTACCAGCCAGTAACGGTGACCAGTGCTGATGGTTATCCTACTTATAGAAGAAGAAGAGATGGTCGTTCTCATCAGGTGCGCGTCAAGGACAAGTTGGGTGTCTACCGCGATTTCCACATGACGAATGAGTGGGTGGTGCCATACAACCCTTATTTGTCAAAAAAATACAATGCCCATGTAAATGTCGAAGTATGTGGTAGCGTCCAGGCAATCAAGTACATCAACAAGTATATTTACAAAGGCTCTGATCAGACAACGCTCAAAACTACAACCACCACCACAGCCACTGAAACAGCAAATGCCACTACCACAGCAACAACTCAGAATAACGAAGTAGCCAAGTATCTAAATGGCCGTTATATTAGTCCTGTTGAAGCTGCATGGAGGTTGTTTGAATTCCCAATGCATGAGGAAAGCCCATCTGTTACTCCACTTGCTGTGCATCTTGAAAACGAGCAACCTGTTTATTTTGATCCCCAATGGCCACAGGAGAAAATTGACAAAGTATTGAGAGAGAGTCGCTCTACTTTGATGGCTTACTTTCATTACAACCATGCAAATCACGGCAAACCCGGTTTTCGACCGTTGCTTTATCAAGAGTTCCCTGAACATATGACTTGGCAGCAGAATGCAAAAAAGTGGAAGCCTAGGTCTTCGAGTAGAATGTCAATTGGGCGCATGTATTACTGCAATCCTGCTGCCGGTGAGAGGTATTATCTGCGTCTGCTGCTCACAGTTGTCAGAGGAGCCATGTCGTTTTCTCATCTGAGAACTGTCAATAATCACGAGTACGCCACCTTTCGCGAGGCCTGTATGATGCTGCATTTGATCGAAGATGATGGAGAATGGACCAGAGCCTTTGAAGAAGCTGCTACCTTTGCCTCTGGCTACGCAATGCGTTCAATGTTTGTCTCTGCGCTCATGTTCAACTCATTGGTATCGCCTGTTCAGATTTGGGATCAATTCTGTGAAAGTTTCTGTGATGATCTTGAGCATGCAATCGTGCAAAAAGGGTATTCGCTGCTGCTCAGCGTGCAACCTGACGCTGAATTTTACCATGGAACGCGAAGTCTTGATTACGGCTTATATCTGTTGCAAACATCTCTTGGTGCACAAGACAGATCTCTAGGTCAGTTCAATTTGCCTTTGCCTCTCTTCAACTGGAATGGCTTGATAAGCAGAATGACTGGCATACAGCGCAATTCATTGATACTCAATGAAATGTCATATCTCCAAGATCAAGAAGCCTTTTCGTATCAGCAAAAGTATGCTCAAATGAACGCTACCCAGAAGCACATATTTGAGACCATCACCTCCTCCATCAACAGCAACGCCAACAGCTCACATTTCTTTTTGCAAGGTCCAGCTGGCACTGGCAAAACCTTCATTTACAATACTCTTTGTCACTTTTATAGAAGCCAAGGAAAAATTGTTCTCTGTGTTGCCTCCTCTGGCATTGCTGCTTTGCTACTTCCTGGTGGGCGTACGTCACACTCTCGCTTTGCCATTCCACTCAACATCCACGAGCAGTCTGTGTGTGCGATCAAGAAGAACGATGACCTTGCTGATCTCATTCGAGAGACAGCATTGATAATTTGGGATGAAGTGCCAATGCAGCATCGATATTGCTTTGAAGCTTTTGATCGAACACTTCGTGATATTTGTAGTCGTGGTGATGAAGTTACCTTTGGTGGTATTCCTGTTGTTCTTGGCGGTGATTTTGCTCAAATTCCACCTGTTGTTAGGCAAGGTGGCCGTCCTGAAATCGTCAATGCCTCACTGAAATCGTCAAGATTATGGCCCAAATTACAAAAGCTGAGCCTGACTGAGAATATGAGACTTGCCAACTCCAATGACACAGATAGGCAATTTGCAGATTGGATAGGAAAAATGTCGTATGAACCATCCATGATTGGCAGCATTGCTTTGCCCTCTTTTTTGAGGCAGATGACTGATCTTGATCAGTTCATTGAAGATATCTATCCTCAGCATGTTCTGCAGTGTCCTCTGCAAAATAGTGATTTCTTCAAGGAAAGAGCTATTCTCTGTTCAAAGAACGTCAACGTTGATGCTATTAACAGCAAGGTGATGGAGAACGTGATTGGGGAAAAGGTCACTCTGTACTCTGCTGACACAGCTCAGTCTGATCTGACCAACACGGAGACCCAAGCCTATCCCTCAGAGTATTTGCAAACCCTTTCGCCTTCAGGGCTGCCGCCAGCAGTTTTGGAGTTGAAAGTAGGTCTTCCTGTAATGCTCTTGAGAAACCTCAACCCTGAAAGAGGTTTGTGCAATGGTACAAGGCTGATCATTCAGCAAATTGGACAGTATGTCCTCAAGGTGAAAATCCTCGGAGAGTCAGGTGCAGTCGAGTTGATTCCTCGCTTTACTTTGTCTACATTGCCTGGCACATTGCCATTCATTTTGATCAGAAAGCAATTCCCGGTTAAAGTATCTTTCGCAATGACCATCAACAAGTCGCAGGGTCAATCTCTCAGGAAAGTTGCCGTGGACCTCAGGAGTCCCGTATTTACTCATGGTCAACTCTATGTTGCCATGTCAAGAGCAACATCTGCCAATGGCATGACTATTTTATTACCCGAAAATATGAAGCACACAGAAAATGTGGTGTATCCTGAAGTTCTATTTTCAGATACTACCTAATATAACTACTCTATATATTTTTTTTACCCTTTATAACCATTGATTTAATCAGTTTTATTGTAATCGGCCAAAGCCCGCAGGGCGACGCCGTCATCGAGCGTAGCGAGATAGATCGGCTAGTCACTATATATACTGTAAAAAATTCAACATAAGTAGACAAGTCAATCATATCCTTTCAAAATTTTAAAGAATGGTGTGCCGCTCAAGGTGAATAAACCCACCGGCAAAGCCGGCAATGGGGAGGGGTTTTGGGGGAAGAACATAATGCGTCTAATTCAATATTTGATAGCATTGATTTATAGAGGGGTTCTACTGTAGCGAAGCAAAGGTGCAAAACCTATGACAACTAAGCATCTAATCCAACATTTGGTAATATTAATCTCAATGAGGGTTTTACCGTAGCGAAGCGAAAGTGCAAAACCAAAGTATTCAAGTAGCAAATTCTGGTTTTCTCTTCCAGAAGACTTCAACTACTAAAGAAGTGATTCATGCCGTGTAAATATAGACCATAAAGCAATACATAACCAAATTGGACAGTTTTCTAGCCTTTATATTTTGACATGTAGACCTTTATGAGCCACCGGAATAACGCCAAACAATTGTACTTGAGTAGTAGTAACTTCCTAACTCCTTTGCTCAACTTTTTGGGCCAAAAAAAAACCATGGCCAAAAATCGACCAAAAAGCATGAGGGGTACCTCCTGGTTTTCTACGAAAATCAAACGATCGCGTTTTTGACACCAAAAATGAAGACATTTACTATGGTGTATATCAAATCAAAATGTTTCTCTCGATCCAAAGTAACCTCTGAAACCACTTTGATGAGGTCTTTATATGCAAAATTTTGACATTTTGGCCAAAAACCTTACTTCGTATTTTTCAGAATTGCTCAATAGGTTCATTCAAAACACTTATTACAATTAGCACCATTGGAAGCGCCTTGAAAAATGCTCCAGGAATGTATTAGGAGGCATCGTCTGAAAACCACATTTCATATAGTCGATTATCACAAAATAAATTGAAGAAGTCGAAAATAGACAAAGTCTGTCCAATCTTGAGCAGAAAAAATAAGCTGAGATTGAATCAATTTTGGCGGGCGGCGCTGCTGCTGGCTGACCCAAATGCCTTTCTGTTGATGACAATGATGATTGCGATGCTGTTTAAATGGGGATCATGGAATTGAAAGGGCAACTGCTTAGAGCAAATACCTTTTTTGGGGAGGTTTACCTCATGGATGTGTCTTTTGCAATGGCAATATCTCAAAAAAGTCGCTGTAGACCTTACACAAGTCCTGTAATTACTTATGATCAGCTTCATGTCGCCATATTATTGAGCATCGGCAGCAGTAAATGATATGACAATTCTGTTATTAGAAAATGGAGGACTGTGGTGTACAAATGCTGCATAAAACTTGAATTTCCTTTCATATCGTCCCGATAATAGGCTTTGCTTGATATCAGTGTAAGCAAAAAGGATGCTGAGGGAGATACCTCCTCTCCTCCTCCTGGTTCTGATATAGCTTTTCTTTTACTAACTGATAAATGGTTGTTTAAAATCTTCTTGATCTACCAAAATATTATATCTGATTTAAAATGTCTTTGGTGAGAGCTCACAGGGCGACGCCGACATCTTGCGTAGCGAGATAGATCGGCTAGTAAATGAATACTAGATTGACAAGCAAGTGATTGATTGATTAGAAAACAAGAGAATCTCACCACATGTCAAATTGGCAATGCACTCTCAGCAAGACGAATATTAATAAACAACTCCCAATAAACAATTGGCGTCTATCACTGCTACATACAAACTAGCACTATAATTTCGATGCAGAAAAAGCTTGATAGCATTATTGAAGTAGCAAAAATCTCTCAGATGTGTGTTACTTTTATTACTAAAAATTATCAAAATTTCCGTACGAAGATTTCTTTTGCTGCGATTGTTGTTGCAATGCCTTGAATTTCTTTTGAGACACACCGATTTCCTCTTCATCAGTCGCACTGTGATCCACATGATCAGCGTTTCTCTTCTTTGACGCATCAGGAACAGAAGTAGCCGATTGGAGATACTTGCCTACACTAGCAGTCGTCTCTGATCCAGTCTGCTTAGATATACTTGGTCCAAACCAGCCCATTTTATCCTCCTTTTCTCGCTTTCGTCGTGCTTCTTCGTCTTCTGCGTCTCTATTTGCTTCATGTGCAAGCTTGTTTTTCAATCTAGTCTGGTACTCTTCAAATGGGTCGACGAATACTTGGATCTGCTTGATCTTGATGTCTCTTTCGGGTCGATCTCTTTCGTCCACTGGTATGGCTTCCAGCTTTTTGAGCACATCCAATCCTCCCACCACTTTACCAAACACAGTGTGCTTTCCGTCTAATTGAGGTGCTGGAGCATACGTGATGAAGCTACATGTTCCGCACGGTATTAGTTTCCTTCTTTGATCACGCAAGATTTACAGTACTTACAATTGAGAGCTATTGGTATCCTTTCCCTTGTTGGCCATACTCAGCACACCGCGAGCATCATGCCTCAGAGTCGTCTTGATTTCATCAGGAAAATCACGCTTCCAAATAGATTCTCCACCACGACCCGTGCCAGTAGGATCACCACCTTGAATCATAAACTTTTTGATGTTTCTATGAAACAAAACACCATTATAGTAACCAGTTTTAGCGAGCTGCACAAAGTTATGACAGGTACGCTGCACTCGGTCACTAAACAGCTCAACATTGATGTTGCCATAGTTTGTGATGATACGCGCGTACGACTTGGATTTGATCTTTTTGTACATGAAATCGTCTTCATCGATCAAGGCTCTTGTTGATTGTGTGTATGTGCTCATGGCGGTAGATGTGAATGATTCAGCTGCCTCACCCGTCGTATAATGAGCAGCGTTGTATGGCAGCTTGGCTTTGGTTTGATGAAACGTGGTAGGCACCTTCTTGGTATTACCTTCCTCTCCTTCTTCCTCCTTTTTGTTTTTGACGGCCAGTGCGTCGAATACCTTTTTAGTGTTTCCCATTCCAGCGACATTGATGTTGTTTGTGGGCTTTCGTTTTTCGAGTTCCTCTGCGACGTTCACCACCTTCTTGTTGGTCTTGACATAGTCAAATTTTGACATGTCCCGTTTTTCCAAATTATGAGGGTCCTATTCCACAGTGTGTCATTATCGTATGTTTCTTTTTGGATCTGTAGTTGCTATCTTTATACCTGGATCATAATGATATCTTTTCTAGTAAAAGGCTCATCATTGATTAAATCTCTCCAGTGCTTTGCTTTGATATTTAGTTTCTCGATGGTATCGTATGCAAACACATTGCCGGTGGTTTTGATGGCTGCAATAGCTGTATGATCTGTAAACACCTTGAACGTAACTGGGCAGTAAAATTCATCCTTTTCGTTCTTGTGGAAATTCAACTTGATCAAATCTTTGGTCTGGAGCTTCTCACCAGTGACGGGATTGGTGCCGTACTTTTTGATGTAGGGTATGATGTGAACCAGGTCAAAGATGACTCCATCAGCTGTGCAGACTGGATGCTCGAAAGGTTGTAATGAAAGTGAACAACAGTAGAATGGGAGTCGTTTAAAGCCGGAAGATGCTGTTTTTCCAGAAATACCAGCTGAAGCAGAGTGTTGGCCAACCTCTCCACTCCATTCTGAGTGCGTGATATAGAGTTTATCTGTCCATTTACCCATTTTTAACTAATGTTTGGTACAAGAGAGAAAGAAGAAGAGGGTGCTTTTGCAGCTTTGCTAATTTACATCCTTCGTGACCGGATTTCATGCCATGGCATCCTATGGATCTATATTTTTACCCAAAACTTTGATGGCATTTCATCCAAAGCTGTATAGCGGGCTATCCATTCTGGTGCTTGGAGCCATCGAATACTCAATTCAAAGGTACATACAAGCGCTATCAAGATGAAATTTGCAGAGATTGCCAAAGGAATCCAAATGATTAGAACATTCACACTGAGGTTCAGATCATGCTTCAAGCATAAAGCATTTGGAATCAGACGTTAGCGAGAGAGCTTCAACACTGATCATCAAAGATTTGTGTTGGAGAAATGCTGCCTGCACCAAGATTGATTCAATAATGTTTGGATATATGCTGTTGTCATTGATCAGCATGTTTTGAAACTTGCAAATGTTTTGATGCCGAATATCATGTAAGACCAAATCACCCAATAGTAGTGCTGGAATCCTTTGTTGACAATGTGGAATGGTGTCTCATCATAAACATTTACCAGCAAGTGATAAACAAAAACAGCCATTGGTAGGCCTTGACGCTACAACAGCGGCAGTAGGCTTTCGTATAAATGATGATACATGCGCAAAGATAAACTGGGATTTAATTGCTGCAACAGAGCCAACAACAAATTTAAACGTAAAGCGAAAAAAACGTCGCTCTTTTGCTTTCTTACTCTTTTGCTCACGCCTCGTACTATACAGCATGTTGGAGCCCGACGCAAAGCAAAAGGACATTACCTATCAGAGAAGAAATCCTCGGCCATTGAGCCTGATACCCGACCTTGATGTCCCACCATTAGTACCTCGATGGTAAGTCGCAATTCAATCAAACGATGTGAGCTTGTTGAATTCAATCATCCCCTCTAGGTTTCATGCTATCGATAACCCAGTAATAGATCCCATTTCAATTAGAAGAGCCAAGAGCTCATCCACCTTGAACAAAACCCCTATACCAAACAGTCCATCCACACCAAAGCTTAAACTATCATCCAAATGGGTTCCTTTTTCTCAACGTGACTCTGCTGCACTTGAAAAAGCGTACCAGGTAAAGAAAGAGCATTCATATAAGCATTGCATCAACCAACAAACAAAAATGCTGAATCGTACCTTGTATAGAACCATGATGTCAGAGCCAAGGTGCCTGTTAACGAGGATCATCTGTTTGAAGTGGATGTAACTCAGCGCACCATCAGTCCAGTGTACTGGGAGGGACCTAGCTATGAGGTACGTAGAGCGACATGGTTCATGCAAAGCGACGGTTGGGTGCCTTGTGAAGAGAACATTGCCGAGCAAATTGAATTGGGCTACTAGTAAGTTACTTTAGAGCCAAGCATTAGTAAAAAAAGTGCTGTCATTGAAACATGTTCATGCTAGTAAACACAAGCCTTATTTATCAGCCAATACTACTGCAACAACAACAACAACAGCTACTACTGCTGGTATGGAGGATGAAGCAGCGCAATCCATTGCTCCCGCGAAAGGCACGGCGTCTCCGGTCGCTAGCACCTCCACAACTGCTATCATGTCCACATCAGCACCCGCATCCACCTCCATAACCGCATCAGAAACAACTGTCGAAGAAAAGAAATTAGAAATGTCATTAGCACAAAAACCAGTGGACAAACAGTGGAACCTACTGGGCCCATATCTAGGACAATACATTGTATATACAGGCGAAAATCATGCTTGGCTGTTATCGTAAGTGACAAGGCCCTCCAGCCAACCATTCTGTCAGTTGACTGATCCAAACGTGTCCTTGTAGAAATAGCACCAGTAGCAAGTTTGCCAAGAGCATCATCACTCGACTCACCAACAAGCAGAATTTAGGTGGAACTCGTCTGATTCGAGGCTATCCAGCAGTGGAAGAGATGACAAAAAAATCCAAAACATCATCCGCAACAGCATCCAAATCAGCAGCACCCACGGCGGTTGATGAAGACAAGGTAGATTCATCTTCGGATGAGGAATCGAACGTGAAAGAAGAGGAGAAGCAGCAAATGGAAGCCAATGAGGCTGAGGATTACGATAATGAGAATAGCGAGGAAGAGGTGCGAAAGATTGATCATTTGATGTTTGTCATTCACGGCGTTGGACAAAAGATGTCTGAAAGAACAGGCCAGACATTTGTGCATGGTAATCAATAGACTCCAGGCTGCAAAACAAGAGGGAACACTAACACGTCGCCTAGATGTCAATGTGATGAGAAAGACCTTTAAATTAGCATATCCTGCAGCCATATCAACGACAAGTACGCCCAATAGAACGAACGGTATTCAGGTACTGCCCATCATGTGGAGACAAGACATCAAGTTTGGTATGGCAGCGGACGATGAGGAAGGGTTTGAGGCAGATCTCGGTACTCTGGGCGTAGAAGATGGATGTCCCACGTTAGATGAATTGACATTGGATGGTGTGCCCAACATCAGAACTGTGGTATCCGATGTGTTGATGGATGGTTTGTAGTCTGTACAGCTGTATTTGAGTCAGAAAAACTAAATCAGCACATAGTGCCCTTGTATATGACACCTAGATACCGTGAATTGATGACACAGATCATCTCCAAAGAGATCAACAGAGTGTACCGCCTATTTGGCAACAGAAACCCTGAATTCCTTGAAAAGGGCAAAGTGTCCATATTTGGCCACTCGCTCGGGGTGAGTATGCCAGGGCGTATGTTTGTAAATTGCTCTACTAATGATCTACGATGACTAGTCTTTACTGGCCTTTGATATGCTGACATTGCAACCCTCCACACCCCCAGATCACCTTAGACAGCCGTTAGAAGAGCACCCTATACCAAGCATCAAAACCAACGATAGAAAGCTACCGCCACTGACCTTTCCAGTACAAAACTTTTTTGCAGCTGGATCCCCACTGGGCGTCATCCTACTATTACGAGGATTCAAAATTGCATCGCGCAAATCGTTGTCAGATGCTCATGCTGCCCTTTCCGACGTCAAATCACCATCACCCACATCCATCAATTTCTGTTATCCTGCAGTAGACAATTTGTACAACATATTTCACAAAGCAGATCCAGTTGCTTACCGACTTGAACCTCTTATTGCGCGACACTACACTGCTAAACTGAAGCCTGAACCCATTCCTTACATGAAGGGCGGTTTAAAGGGTGTGATTGACGCCAGTTTCAATGTCGGATCTGGTATTGCGAATCGAGCAGGTGCCATGTACGAATCATTCAAAATGGGATTGACGACAAACTTGTTTATGCGTGGTTTGGGATTATCAAGACAACAAATCTATGAAGACGCACATCCGGCGGCAGAAGATGATGTGTACCAGCATGACAGTGATGATGGTGGAGCAACACCTTCTGCCAAAGAAACGGAGGAGGATGACACTGCCATCAATCGCCTGACTCGCATTAGATCCAACAGTGATCCAGCACACGCCTTCTCCAAAACAGATTTCAGGTACAAGAACAACAGCAGTAGCAGCAGCATCAAGGGCAAATCGTCTATTCGTAAGTCGCCGCCTATACCACTGCCCACAGCCAACGCAACACCCTATTCTCAAGGCGCCCAGAAGCTAAAGATGCTGAATGCAACGGGAAGAGTGGACTACTGCATACAAGAGGGTTTATTAGAGAATCCATACTTGAGTGCTTTCAGTGCACATATGCAATATTGGCAGGTAAGAGACTACCGTATATATATATATATATATATTATTGGGTTTATCACTGATTTCCACATTGCTCGCCATGTAGGACCTGGATGTAGCAGCTTTTATCATCAAACAAATATACAAATAAGAGCAGTGTTTATTGCAAATAAATAGGTGTATAGGAGTATTGCTTGAATTCAAGCAGCAGGTGTTAGTAGCAGCATTTGACTTTGGCCTGCTCTCAAGACAATGCTGTACTTGTCATCGTATAAGCCTAAATGTTCGCCTGTCCATACATCTTTGAGTTGTGCCTTTTTGAAATGACCGATATCCTGGAAATTGACGGTCACCTCGTGAGAGAGACCTAGCATAAAGATGTATGTATGTGCATTGATCAGACAGACATAGATGCGCCCGTCTTTCAACTTTTTCCACCACACTTGCTTTCTGTTCTGCCACACATTACCAGATCCAATAGGTCTTGCCATGACTCCGCTTTGATGAATTTCCAGTATTTCCTTGTGGTTGTACCACTCGAGGTATTTTTCGGGAATAGCTCTTGGATCGGAACCAATACAGAACACAGATGACACAATGGCCCAGAAACTGATACAGGTTTGACGTACATCATCATTGTCCAGTCCATCCACACACTTGCCATTGACTGTCATCCCCACCAGAACCACGTCCAGATCAATATAAAATCCGTAATCACTGCCCACCACACATGTGTCTGCCCATTTCTCGCACGGTGTGATGCGTTGCATGATACGATGTGACGAGGTCATGCTTTTGGTAGAATAGGATTCAATGTCCACGTAAATACGAGCACCGTTGGAGATTTGAGCCCATTCATCTGCATAGGTTGGATCAATTTGCCATGAAATTTCCAGCCAGATATCGTACCGTTTGAATGCATTGTGCATCATTTGCGTACAGGCTCGATTGTCAGGCGCTGTGAAAGGATAGTACTCGCTGCCACCGCCAGGACCCACAGCATCCAGCTTGATAAAGGACACACCCCACTCGTGAAATAGATCGGCAATGGAATCATAGTACTTTTGCACTAGTTCGTTGTGTTCATCAGGCATAAATGTCGTTCCCTTGAATCCACAGCCCTCTTTTCTGGAAGGCACCAGCTCATCCAGTGTATGCGTTGTTCCTTTGATGGTTTTTTTTTTATCCGCACCGTCTTGTCGAATACCAGGTAAAATATACAAGCCTAGTTTATGACCATTTTTCTTCAAGTGATCAGCAATAGGCCGTAAACCGTTAGGAAAGACATCCTTTCGAACATCCCAGCGTCCGTATTCATCGCAAGAGTTGCACCAGCCAGAATCCAAATTGATGTACTCGTAGGATGGCATTTTTTCTCTCATGGTGTCTGAAATATCCTTGATTTGTTGTTCATTGAACCTAGTAGTCGTGTTAGACATTCATGGCACACACACACACACACACACGTTGTCTGTCCTGAGGAATAATATACCATGGATTGAGATGCTTTCCACCATAACCAGGAACATCATCCAGCAATTGTGATGACCAGGTAGAGAAGCCCAACACAGGCTTTCTAGCAAAGTCAGGTATTCTAATGTTGGAGCAAAAAAAAAAAAAAAAAAAAAAAAAAAAAAAAAAAAAAAATGAATGCATAAATTAGCTATCTGCAAGAAAGTGGTCTCTTGATTGCTGCCATTTTACTGTTTCAAGTTGTTGGTCTGAACGACGACTTGGTATTGTTTCTTGCTGCTGTTTGACATTATAAATGAACTAGTGGGTAACTTGTATAGAGGAGAAGAAGAAGAAACGAAAAAGAAACACAGAAACTAAAGAAAGCTATATATATATATATATATACTATCCACAGGGAGCATAAGTTTCTCACATTAAATGTTGGACAATTCAAACTCAGTATTTGCCACAACAACGCACCATGAGATGATGGCATTTTCGATTGGGAATGTTTGTAGTCGTTTGGAACTAAGGCCTTGCATTCGCATATAATTTGCAGTTTCCATGTTGCAACAAAAATTTGAAACCTTCCATCGTATCGTATTCAGCGTTACAAAGCAGTGTTGATGGTATAGCTGCTTGTCAGTTTGGTGGTCAATCCATCCAGGTATCAGTGCTGGCATGAAATATGTCAATTCCTGTTCTTCAGCACACACGCACACATTGATTTGCTACACTAGTTTCTAAATCATTTCCAGGTACAACAGAACAGAGCAAACTAAGAAAACCTCAGGGACATGCTACCAAAAATACGTCAATGTGAAGTATTTAGAAAGTAGACATTGCATAGACTAATGGGGGGAAGAAAGCGCTCGTTGTCTGCTCAATCTGATGTAATTGACTTGGTCAATGTACCACAAAATTTGGTATTCATCTTTGTATATGGGGGGGGGGGGAAAGAGTATTTTGGCATTTGTTTGCTTTTTTGATTTGAGAAAGAAAACCTCCTCATAATAACGAATTTACATGAGAACGCTCATGCTTTGTGACGAAATGGTAAATAAGGTAGATGATCTTGCATTTCGCATTAAGATAAGCTACTTGCAACAGCTATAGTGATCAGATGTCAAGATGCCTATTATAACAAGCAGTAATAGGCAATGAGCTACTGTATCTTTTTTGATGAGCAATTTTCTTCTTCAACAATGCTCAAAAAACATCGCTTGTCTTCATCAGGAAAGCATTTGGTGGGCTGCTAACCCTGGTTGAATCTCCGGCCTTTTGGATTGCCAAGATTGGATAAACTTTGAGTAAGATCGACCTGTTTGTTCTATTTTGCAAAATTTAACTATAAAATTGCGATGATCATACCATTCTTCCTTAAGCTCTCTTAGAGTACTTTTTAGGACGCATCCAATGGTACTAATGATAATAACTGTTTCAAAGCAAGATAGAGAGCAATCTTGGAAAATATAAAATGAAGTTTTTGGTAAAAATGTCAACAATTTGCATCGGAGAGTTGTACAAAAGTGGTTCCTGGGGTTACTTTGGATCGAGAGGAACATTTTGAATCAATGTATGCCATAGTAAAAGTCTTCATTCTCAAGGTCAAAAATGCGATCGTTTGATTTTCGACGAAAACCATGAGAGGTACCTCATGCTTTTTGGTCGAATTTCATCCGTTTTTTTTTTGATCCCCAAAAAGCTGAGCAAAGGTGTCAGAAAGTAACTGCCAGATGAGAGCAATTGTTTGGTGCTATTCTGGCGGTCTAAAACGGTTTCTAACACAAGAACACACGGTTCAAATAAAGCCAGCTTTCGCTGTATTTTGCATATTTTTGAGAGGTAAGAGGCAGTGCAAGTATGTTATTGCTCAAATACAAACTGCTTCCACAGATGCATACGCAGAGAGTCCTAGCAGAGTCGAATTCACTGCTACAAGCTGGTTATCGGTTGCCTCGGCCTGGTACTTGTGTGCGAAAAATGCATACAGCGCCAAATGCAAATACAAATGCACCAAGCTACACTAGAAAGTATCTTATTTTGCTATCATCTAAAATATGCAGCAATCTGCCAGAGCTTATTTACTATAATTCATTCATTTTCAATGCAATGATGTTATAAATGAATTTTGAACGACTCGCAAGTTGCCTCGGAAACAGCGTTTACACTGTGCACAATACAAAATCAAGACTATTGATATTAATCACTGAACTGACATTTATGATAGATGCATGATTTAGCTTCCTTTGATGCATGTATTTGCATTGTATTAGATAAAGTGCCAGGAATTTCTTGGTCATGTCACAACACTACAATAAAGGCTTGGATCATGAGGATTAGGTAGCGGAAGGGAGGCTTCATTTGGTATGTTGTTGTGTTTCAAAGATGCTGGCGACAGACTCATTCTGAGCTGTATCTCGTTTGGCAAATACGGCAATGGTTGTTGGGATCGTTTACATCTAACAGTGTTTGAACTCTTTTGGGGCCTTGTTGGGGTATCGAATGTACATGCAGCAGATGCAACCTGCAGATTCTTCTTGGACTTTTTGTTGCACCGCTCTGCTCAAAAGACATTTTGGAAATCAAATAGAGGGGGGTGGCTTCCCGAGCTACTTTTTTTTTTTTTTTTTTTTTTTTTTTCTGCAGTTACAGTTTTCAAATGTGATTTATTCATTTACAATATTGTACAAGATTAGCTCTAAATTCATTGATTCTCTGGACAGAATAATTAAAGTAATCGAAATCGATTTCACTTTGACTTGCCTGGACCAAACCCCATAATCCCCAGAACAAATGACAAGCCATCTTCCATTGATCTACTTCCTTTTGCAATTCCATCACCAGCGACTGATCTTGTGTGTGCAGATAGGATGCCAAGAACATATGTTGTTCTTGCAAAGAGGGATACTGATCCAAATGCATGGTAGCAGAATCGCTGGCATGATAATCGTACATCCACTCACAGAAATGATTAGCAATGTCAACAGCTCTAGGGTTGTATCCAGCATATTCGAAATCTATGACGACGAGTTCATCTGTGCCGTTAATTTTCAAAATGTTACCATATTGTAACTAGACATAATGATTCAGGGGGGTCAGTTGTCTGATTGGTTCTCTGTAGAAATTCACTTACATCATTATGAGCGAAAACGATTGGGCTGTCGTGACATACACGCTTGCATTGCTGGATGTCATGACCTAATCGATTCAGATCAAGTACTTCTAGCTGAGATTTCCATGTCTCGTTTTTGCTCAAAGCAGGTATCAGTTCAGTTGTGATTGTGGTATACCATTTATCAATGTTGGCCCACACTTCCAATGTTTCATTGTGAGCAGGTGGGAATGTTTCAACAATAGAGTGCAGTTGGTGTAACCGGGATGCGATTTGAGTAGAAATCTGAGGTTCACGGATATCTTGACGAGTGAGCGTAGTGGATGGGAGGTATTCTTCGAATCTGCCATTGCCAAAGATGCCAAGCAGCTTGGGACCGATGCCCAGTTGAGACAAGCGGCTCAGCCAGTCGAGTTCTTTGTTTCTGTCCAGGATTTGATCACATCCCACACCGTAAACACGCAACAGCATACGTTTACTATCGCCAATCGTAACGAAAAATACAGCGTTTGTCATGGCGCCGCTGACACGGTCTAACTTGATATCTTGATCTTCTTTCATTGGAGCAAAGAGCGTAGAAATGAGTGATCGAGTCGCATACGTTAGGTCATCCCCCTTTAAAATACTAAAAAAAAAAGTGTCAATAGCAAATATATATATATACATGACAAATGATATACTCACGTCAAGTCAAGGATGGTTTGACAGCTTGGAATCTCATCGATAATGGACTTTTGTCTTTTGAGTACGGGCTTGTTTGATTTTGATGGATGAATCTTGGAATCCATCAACGCCGGGCTACTTTTACTACGTGAGGATAATCTCTTGCGAGCATTATGAAATTTACCAATTTTGTGCTTTAGTAAATTAGAAAAGGCAGACCGTTGTGGCGTGTTAGTAGCATTGGAGATGTCAGTTTGAACAGTAGACATAGTGTTGGGGAACTGAAAGAAAGGGAAAAAATAGAGCTTAATTCGTTTGGGGCAGATGCCTCTTTTAAATACCTATCGTCATTGTGCTTAGTACCTTTATTGAAACTCCTTATCTTTTTGTGTAAGCATGTGAAGGAGGAAAATCAAGCGAGACAACATGTAGTTTATGCAGAGCAAACGCATCCAATCAACTCGGTTTTCTTGTCAGAGGAACAAATCAAAATACTCGAAACCCACTCAAGTGATATCAACTGCAAACAGTTTCATACATGTAGACTGAGGTCATGTTTATTTGTGGATAATGTTGCTCAATTAAAATGCTTGGCTATAAACACTCTTTAGTATAAGGATGCCATCCAAACACAACACACGTTGACTTACCGTATTGAATGTCCCACGACTTCAACACCTTGTGTCTCATGGCCTCTTCAGCCGACATGCCTGGAGTGCCATAAGTCAGTGGCGATAAAAACAAATAAACCATAAACTGCATGCTAATCAGAACAAACGCTGCAATGTAACTCTTGATAGTAGTACATGCATGGTTGATAGTGTACTTCTTATCAGTAGGCTGATAGGAGATGGGCGAGTTGACTCCATCAATAAACAAGTATTCAAACACGGTTCCCAGCAGCAGATAACTGCAAGCCATTGCAGGCAAATAGTGATGCAAATACAGTGACCTTCCCATCAGATAAAACGGAAAGTAATGAGTCGCCCATAACAGTAAAAAGAAACCACCAGACCTGTTCAACCTGATTCTGGATGCTATCATGCTGGATCAGCGTAGACTCACTGGAGATTCAAAAAAAAAAACACTTACTGGCACTCAGGATGAATATCTCGCGCTTCTTGAGCGCCATATCCAGGATGGACACGAATGAAAACAGGCCTATGGCCACTAGAGCAGACCACCATCCTGCCACATTACCTGTCAAATAGATTTGGCTCTTTGTGTCATCTTTGGTCCAGTAAGAAATGCCACGCAACATCAAGGGCCAGATGGAAGGGCTTGATTGATACGGATGCGAGCCAGTCAATTTATTGTTGTGTGTAATCATCTTGATCTGTATTTCTAGGAACTTGGACAGAAATCCCATCTGCTTGGCGACCTTCTTTTCTTGCTTTTTGAGGTTGATGTCGGTGGCTATGACCCTATGTTTAATAACGAGCCAATTTGGTAATGATGAAGCTTACCGTTCAAGCCAAGGATATCTGTCGCTACCCAGTAGTTTTTCTCCTCTCCGCTCTTCTTGTTACCATTGATTTCCATATGATTCAATCCCCAGCCTGGCAAATTTCTATTATTGCACCACAAAGCGACCCCAGTCCTCACATGGATAAGCTTAACAGATTGCATCAGGGTAGACCACACTTGATTGACTTTGTGGTCATCCAATACCACTCGAAACAACGTCTCGTTGTAACGTGCAGGCAATTTCGTTGTAGTGAACTCTTGGTTAGTAGGCATCCAAGGTGATGCGACGTCATGTGTAAGTAGATCAAGTCCTGTGCCAATGTGTTCCAACTGAATGATGTCGTTGTGTTTGACAGGCCGCTTTGCTGCTGCTGTTTCATCTAGAGGTCCTGTGGGCTTGATACGCCAGTAGCTGTTGATATCAGGCTGCATGTTACCGGTAACTTGAGTGCCCTGGGAACTGTATCTACCGTCTTCATATCTGGCTGGGTATGTGAGTGTATGAGAATGGAGAAATGCTCTGGTTTCCTTGTGTTGTAATTTGATGGATTGATTATACATGATATCTAGTCATTTGTTACATCTCATGTGAATGCGTACTCGTGCTCTTTTTATCACTTACCAAGTGAATTGATACGCAGAGGGTTGTTGGTCAGCGTATCTTGGAAGCGGGTGCTCATGTAAGCGTCTCCAGGTCCCGAGAACTTGAGGATAGCAAAATGAATATAAAACCAAAACAAATAAACAAGGGCAGGCACTAGAATAAGTCCAGCTACACGAGCACCAAGATGTTGAAAGAGTGTCTTCTACATTTCAGCTTGTCAGATCGCTGCTGTCTCCCTCTCTCTCTCTCTCTCTCTCTCTCTCACTACTGCCTACTTACTGTAGTCAATCCATATTTCCTTTTGTCCAACAAATCCCATAGATCCATCACCACAGCCAGGCCAACAGCAGCTACAACAAACAACCCAATCATTTTGACACTATATACAATATGAGCCCTGAGCTCTTGGATAGATTGATATACTCACTTACCTTAGGGTTAGTGCCATGCTTGTTCCGGTGGCCACCAGCCATGTCCACCATGGAAGAGTAAATGGCCTATATACCCAACAAATCAGCCATTGCAAAAGTGAATCATGCTCAGCGTAGACTTACTGGTGTCTATATTTACGAAACTTGATATATGAATAGATTGTCGTCAGCATATAAAAGATTAGTATACTGTCCAGTAGGATAAGACGATTTTGACCAATAAAAGCGTTATCCAAGAGATACAATGTAGCCGTTGTGAAGCAAGTCAATACAGAGAACCCTGACACTTTTAGGATGTTGTATATCAATGCTACACCACATACATTCAGTGAAGCTGGTAGAGCGCGAAGCGCAATATACGGTACGTTATTTGCAGCATAGCTTTCCCCGATATTTGCAAATTGATACACACCGTCAAACCCACTCAAATAACCCACTCCAGCAAGCATGAGTTTGGCGAGTGGTGGGTGCACATCAAAGAAGAAGGTGCGTTGCAAATAGTACCCAGCGAATTTGCCAAAATGAACCTCATCAAATCTACTTGGGCTGGTGTTTAGGCACTGGCTGTGATCCATTTGTTGCCTTTGTTCACTTACACTACTTGAGCAGGGAACCATATCATGTAGAATGTCGTGAAGAACGACATGAGGGCAACGGATGTCGATGCAATCTTGTGCTTGCTGACATTGTTGATGCCATCTTGATATTTCAGCTGCTACAGGTAAGAGCACATATTAGCTACTTTTGCAGTGATTTGGTGCTATCTCTGTATCAAGTACCTTCTTGATGGCGTCAATGTCCTCATGTATCTCCTGTGTGTGAGATAGCTCCTTGCTTGGCACTGTCGTAGTAGCTTTTCTCTTCTTTAGCTCAGTCTGCTTGTTACCCATGAATAATGAATAAACGAAAAAGACGCATTTTGATACAACAAGAGCTTGATCAAACTATTTAAACCTTGCAAGAGTCTATTTTGACGTTTAAATTTATACTTTTTCATCGATCCATTGCCTAATCAAGGTAAATGAAATGCATAAACAATACAGCTGGTGACACGAAGGGTAACACTGAAAGGGTGTCATGTTGTATCAGGGCCTTCAGCATATATCAACCGATTCTGTCAGGTCTGAGGGAAGACAAGAGTGAATGAGTATCTTTGGGGGAGGGGGGTTAGAGAGGGTTTCTAGTAGTCCAATAAACCACTCAAGAGAAGTCAGTCTTATTTGAACTATTCCAAGCTGTAAAAGTGCCAAACAAACGCTATTAATTACTGGTTGCATCCTAACACGGTATTGTGCCGTCGATTATGTTATGACCAAATATAAATACGACTGAACGAATGATAGCAAGTCAAATTTGAGCTATGGTCGTTGTCAATGCAAGTCTAAACAAGAAAAGACCTTGTAAAGCCTCCCAGCATATACCACTGAAAAACAAGAAAACGCATAGAACATCGATTTCAGAAATCCATAGCAAAAAATTAACTTCACAGCAATAGAAAAGCATAATCTATCATTTAATACTAGTCTTGCTTGCTGTACGTATCTTTTTTGTACCTTCAAAGTTCAGATGAGAAGCTAAAAAGTTACTTTTTGGAGACTATTTTTCAAAATAAAATTAAGTACTCTACAGACAAGCTATAGGTATAAAAGTGCTACTATTAGAAAGACAATATTTAGGAAATTTCTGGCGCAAATCTTTACAATTCCATCTTTTAAATTGATGCAGTTGCAGCAATGTTAAGTTACTCCTTTTGGTACAAAACTTTGAAACGTATCATTGAATTGTAACAATTGGACGGAGCCTGAAACGTGTGCCATTTCAACCTGCATATTGGTATAGAGATCCTCTTTGCAGTGTCAAATTGCACGACGAATTCAATGGAAAGTTCAGATATAAAGAATGTTACAATATGAATATGGAGTCAAGCTATTTGAGTAGACATAGATTGTCCACCAATTTTTTTATTCATCAGGTGATGTATGCGCTTAAGAGTTACATCCTCGATGATTTGAACCGTTCTCTGATGCTCATACAGCCGCAAATTTCAGAGTTAATATTATGAGACTTGGCTCAGCGCAAACGGCACGATGTATCGATTTACAGGAATCGATCGAACCTGTCATCATCATTATTATGAACCATGGATACCGGCACATTGGTTGGTGTCAAATCCCCAAACAAATCTCGATGCACGGCAACAAGCTCTGCTGCATGAAAGTAAGATCTTCCACAGATCACAAACCTGGCCAAGTGAAAACAAGTTGGCTCGTGAAAATTATGTCACATTTATACAGATCCAACAGTATGTGATACCCCAAGAAAATGCATAATGGAAAGAGGCTTATTATAAGCCAATCAGTGTATTACAGATTTCCCAGGGGCGATGAGAGTGTGTGGCGCGGCCCCACGGACAAACTTGATCCGTTCAAGCGCACACTCACACACGCACAAATGCACACGCAAGCGCACATGTAATACCTTAATAGAGCAAATGACGAATCACCTCCAAATGTACACTTCTGTCTGTTGTAGTTTCTCCTATAGGGATCGCCTTTTCATCGGTTTTTCTTATATCCTCTCGATCTGAAACGATGGCAAATCATGGAATGAACGAGAACAATGATTGCCATTTACAGAAAAATGGAAGCAATCAATGGAATCGGTGCTCGAAAATCGACTCTGATCTGGACAGCTTTAATTATTAATCAAATGAATTAGGAGTGATTGAGAGTCATTGGGCCCTATTTAGTTCTTCAAATACTTTGAATGGCCCAGTGGTAGGGTAATGATACTTATGGAGAGGTCTCTTTGTGTCAAGTTGGCATACAATCGTCTATCAATCTTCATCGGTTTTTTTTTCTCGATTTCAAACCAAGACTTTCAAATGCTGTATGAGTCAATTTCATTTTCGGAAAGGGTCAAAACGTAATACTAGTTGCCGTTTATAGGAGCAGAAAAAAAATTTAGCCATGAATGAAGGCTAAAATGGGATAGATTCACAACCAAAACTAATCTTTGATGTCTTGTTTTGAAAACCATCTGAACCATTCAGATGCTTCCACAAATTTCCTCATTTATGAGAATGCTAATGTAGTATGTTGATATGTTTTCAAAAATAGTATCCAATGTAGCAGATATCAATGAGGAGTCAAGAAGTGAAAATCTGATAACCGCACTAATGAGTGGTGTAAAAGCTAAATAGCTCGTTGCCATGGTAACAGGGTCACACCCGTATGAAGGGCTTCATTATGAATCAAAAAGAAATTTTTTCTTCCATTTGTGACACAAACAATTAAGGATGGTTATCAATCCAAGGATTATTAATACATTTTTGATAACTGAATATGCAGCAAGGGTATATTACACTCAACGGCACTATCGTTGTTGCTTACTTCATTATGGAATCAATCATGATATTGTACTCCAATGTCTGATGGAAATGAACTCAATCCGAATGGCCACGTCAAAGTTACCTAAATCCAAGCGTTTACAGTTTCAAAATTGATTCACAGTTACCTTTTTTGGTTAAAATTTGGTTGCCATGGCGACCATCCACGAGTCACATTGCAGCATTTAGCTGACAAATTCCTGGAAACCCCCCTTGATTCTGGCTATTTTCGATCAATCCCAAATTAATATAAATAGGACGATAGTTTTCGATTTCTCCATTTTTATTTTTTTCTTTTATTTACCACTTTTATCATACTAGATTTAAACATTATGTTCACTTACAATCCAATTCAATATAACATGGATAACATTAACTTCAACATGAACATGAACATGAACAACAATTATCAACCATCACCTGCAATGGTTACTCCTCTCTTGGAATCATCAAACATGGATACACCCTTTCTTGACAATTTCAGTGCTGACACACCACCCTTCTTTGACACTGCATTAGACGTCTCACCCTACTTGATGTATGCTTCATTTGCTGATACCAACCAACAAAACAACAATTCCAAGGACGTCTTCATTGCTGGATACTTGGACGGTCATGAGAATAGTGACATTGCCAAGTTGACACATGATCCACTCAAGTTCAATGGTGACCCAAGCGTTTTGGTCATTGACAAATCAAAGTCCCCATATTTATCTTACCCCTCTCTGCCTGCCGCAGAATCAAAGCCATCTCCCGTAGTTAAATTGGAAACTGTGACCGAGGAAGATTCAGATTCATTGTTTCCTCCACTTAATTCATCTCAACAATCCATGAATACTGATACTCGATCAAGCCAAGACATCTCTCTGGATCAGCTGTTAGGCTTTGATCCCTCATCTCCCCTTAGCGAAGATGATAGCGATGACTATGTCGTTGATGAAGAAGCTCAACAACATGACAAACAAGATGAAAAGCATGCAGAGCAACAGCAATCAAGAAAGAGAAAGGTTGCTGAATCTACCGCAGCAAGTTCAAACGCTCCATCTACCAAGAAAACCAAGACCTCCTCTGCCAAGAAGGACGCTACCATAGCCAAGGAAAACAAGCCATCCAAGTTATTCCAGTGCCCTTTGTGTCCTCACATGTCCAAGAGAAGATACAACTTGTCAACTCATATGAAGACTCACGACAAAAACAGAGTCAAGGAATTTGACTGTCTTCATGAAGGTTGTAACAAGAGCTTTGATCGTCGTCATGATAGAGATCGTCATCTTGCTACTGTCCATCGTGGTGAACGCTCTTACAACTGCTCTGAATGCAAGTCTCATTTCAGCCGTAGAGATGCTCTCAACCGCCATTTGGTCCAAAAGCACGACTATGATGAGCAAGATTTTGCTGAATAATCTGCATGGTAGCACCTACTAGAAAATTTGTACAACTCCACCTACTGTATTTGCTTTTAACGACTGGATCTGTCTAGAAAATTTTAAACGACAGCATAATTTCTGCTTGCATATATTTGTGTCAGCTCTTGGGTAGACATTTCCCCTTTATTATATGATTATTGATATTGACATCCACCCCACTTTTTACTAATCAAGATGCACTTCGTCTACCTCATTTCATTCGAATAACACTGTAATACGACTCGTATTATACTTATTCACCCTCTTTACTTCAAGACAAAACCCCTCTCTTAATTTTATGTAGTTTTTCCCTCCATTATGTATATAAAATTTAAATGCAAAAAATAAAACCATTTATGACTCCTAAACATACCCTGAGCGTCTTTCTCATTGTAGCAAGGGAGATGACCTTTTTTTCTTTTATTTATTGATAGCGCTGAACAATGACACTGTTTAATAAACCGGCCTCCTTGATGGATTGATTGTTATCTTGGAGCTCCTTGACAGGGAAGGTTGTTTGTAAAATGTATGGTCTTGAAGCAGGATGAGAACTACTCCAAAATATGATTAATAATCAACACCTGCTCATTAGTCATCCATACTTACGATTCAATGTATTGGCGAACATCGGCAATGGTATGTGTGTGATTCAGCTTGGCAATGATCTTGGATCCATCGCCAAGACGAATTTGAATACTTGTAGTAGGCTGACTTTCATCTACTGTGGGTGCAATTGCATTTGAGCTGCTTGGAAAAGCTCCTGGTGCGGGACTAGGCGATGCATATGCTGCTGGACTTCCAAGACGGTTACCAGTACCTTCAAATGGCTTTGGAGGAGCCTTGGGAGGAGGAGTATAATCTTCATCGATACGCTTGACTACACGAACTTCCACAGGTTGACCATGACGCACATTAAGCAAATGTAAAGGTGCACGACTGTATAGAGCTGTTAGGCCAAATCCCTTCCAACATGGTGTATATATTTACCCGCTATTGATAGCTGTCAGCATTTCTTGATTGGCAGGATCGCTGAACAAGTACAGTGGTCCATCATCTACGCTGAAGCCATTGCGCCAAAATGTTAAATGACGAGTAACCTAATACCAACTATGAACAGCCGCATTCATTCGCCGTTTCCTTTGATCAACTTACAGGCTCAAGATCCTCTTCATCATCGTTTTCAGCAGTAGGAGAAGCTGAAGTAGCAGGTTGAGCTAATGTAGAAGGTTCATCCTCACTGCCTAATCTGTATCCTGATCCAGTGTAGAAAGCAGGCTTCTTTTGAGATTGAGTTTGCTCTTCTTCCGCTGGAGCTCCACCTCTGTTGCCAATAAGTATTAATAACGAATGTATGCATTCATCGTATAGGATACTTACTCGGCAGCCTTCTTCAAGATCTGATCAACCAAGCTATTATCGTTGCTGCCGCTTGCGCCACCACGCTTATTAGGACCTTGCACTGCCATACCACTATTGTGCCGTATTCCATTAAAACAAATCCTTCAAATTGACCATCATATACATACGATTTTTCACCACCGGCATACAAATTCTCATGTTCATCATCATCTGAATCATTGTTTTGGCCAGAGGAGTTGATATCACTCAATGTGCGAATCTTGGATCTATGGGTGTGTTAAGTGGATGGGCTTCTCGCCAATATGGCACATCAACTTACGAGCCAGCAGCAGCAGCTTTTCTTTTGGTGGGAGTGCCTGAGCCTGATGATACATTGGATCTAGGAGCAAAAGGCTCTGAAGGTTGTTGCTGTTGTTGCTCTTGAAAGGGCTGTTTATCAGCACCACCAGCATTGTCAAAGAACTGACTCACAGCCATCTGAGTAAGGATGGATTTGTTAGCATCGCATTGCAGAGTCAAATAAACACTATTCTACCTCTAAATCCCAGTTGCTTGCTTCCAAGTAGAACTGTGCTTGAGCTGCTTCAGTTCCTGTCATGCTGACAAACTGATTCAATAAGTCGCTATGATCACTCATGATTGTAAAATGTGTCTAAAACAGAAAAGAAATGCAAAATGTACACGTACGTAAACAGGTGTGTTTTTTTTTAGTTTGGCGATTGAGTATGCGTGGTCTCCAGTCACATTCACATTGGTTGATTTATGCAACATCAAGCATTTCATGTTTGAATGGAAGGAGCTTTATTACTTTGGCGAATCTAGTCTAATTGGCAGTTGGCTATACAAAATGTACGGGTTACTCTCTCCATTCTAGATGGAACTCACTTTCAAATCTCTCTCTTGTATAGACACCAACTCTAAGCTCTAAAAGACGTTTGAATTCTCGGATGAGAACATAGAAATGTGGAGCCAGATGTGCACAGCGTTGAGGATTAGAAACATCGCCATGCTGAAGGAGCCCATAGATGCTGTTGGCTATAGCTGCATAAAGCTCCAGAGTGATGTTGACCATGGCTTTGCGAGGTGGGAATCTTAAATTGACATCAAAAGCAGGTGCGGATACGCCATTGATATAAACAGCATCTAGTTGACGTCTGGCTTTTTCTCTATCTTCGGCTTTATCAAATGTGCAATTTTCAATTGCTCTTATATTGACGAGTAGCTCTCTCAGTGGACGCCATCTATGTGTTCGATATTGATCAAGTTCAGGCTTGATTTGCAGGGCGTTGTAGACATACATGGTAGTGAATGGTATTATTTTGATTAGAACAACATTGATGAAGTGAGTGCTTATATATAAGTCACTGGGGGGGGGGCTCTTTATTTCATTTTGGCAATGTGATGAATTCAGAGAATAGAGCCATTGAAGATAGCCCTCATTATTATGAGAGCAGGCCTATTAAAAACGCTGATAGTATGTCTTCTGGACGTTACTATTCCCAAGTAAGTCCAAAGTGTTTTTCGAATGCGTCTTGATCGTATGCTCCCACGCCGCGATGGATACTATTTTTCAATCGTAAAACATTAGTAAAATAGAGGTCTAAAGCTGCATCATAGCTGTCGTTACAAACAGGAGCCTCTCTGTGAGTTTCGGGATTCAGCTGTGTACTGAAGGAAAGAGCTTTGTAAAAGAGTTCAAAGTCTCTATATATAGCTGGCATTTGTCATGTTGTAGCAAATCAAATCCTCTTTGTATCTATTTGAGGTGCTGGCAATGTATTTGAAGGGAGAACATGTAAGATCGTTAGTTGAGATGGAGTTGAGCACTATCCGAATTTCGTCTCTACTATTGTGAAATGATAGTTTGTCGAGTTTATGTAGAGCAGTTCTAATTGTGGTAATGGTATGCCAGACCCTTCAACTGTTGTCTTTTGTTGACCAGCTTTTCGAAATGTTTAAACGGCATGGATGAAAAGAGAAGGAATAGAGACTTCTAACAAGAGATTGAGACAGCCTAGTACACTGATTGACTTGCTCAGCAAGTGTCACAGACTATATTACTGTATGTAACGTACAGCTCTTAATACTATCCAAGGCAAGTTTTGCGACAGCTGACTCAAAACAAGGCATTGCGGGCCAAGCAGATGTTTGGGATAAGAGTATGTATGATATGGAGTTTATTGGTAGTGATGATGCTATGAGGGGAGTGTTGTATTTTACAAATGAGCAATTCTAAATCATGCTTTGCTTTTGTTGGCCAACATGAGGCAATTCCAGAACAGCGCGAAGCTTTCCTTCGGGTATATCTTTCAACAATTTCTTATCATGTTCATTAACATAGAAAGATAAACCAGCAGAAACCATCAAAGCGGCCAATGTGATCATTTGAGCATAGATACGGGCATGGAAGAGCTTTTGCTTTAAATTCAAATGCTTATTGACGTTGAAACTGTAGCCATAAGCACCGGCCATAGATGTAGCCCAAGTAGCCCCCAAGAGGGTCCAACGATGATCATTCAAGAAGCGCATGGTGTTTTCACGAGAAGTACGAGGTAAAGCCTTGTAGCTTTGATAAGCACGATGGTCCATTGTCTTGTGGTCAACATAGCCCAATGTCTTGTTCTTATATTGGAGGGCAGCACGCTCAGAAGCCAACATATAGCCAGATATACCACCAGAAGCGATCATATTGTATTGCATAGGTCTGCTTAAGGCTCTGAAAGCAGGCGAGAAACGAAATGATAAGGCACTAGCAATAACACCGATGCCAACACCATAAGCTGCACCTTTGCAGCCTTCAACAAAGCTGATGTGAGATTGATTGTGTCTTTCAGGTACAGTCAGTGTCTTTCTTCCAGTCATTTCTTCCTTTTGTCTGTTTGTGATGAGCTGAATTGAAGATGGCATGGATTTTGCCCTCTATTTATACCTATAAACTCTATTGTTTCTTATCAAAACTCAATCAAACACATTTGTCTTGAAGAAATGTTCGGGATCATCGGTCAAGTCCTAAAAGATGATTGTTCGCTCCATCTCTCTCAATGTCATCTCGTTGTTGTGCTCCCCATCATTGCTTACGGGATGTAAAATAGACAATGGTCAGGATGTGTACACTATCTTGAATGCTCACATCATCGGAAATAGTAGCATTGATGGACATCTTGTTGATGATAAGATAATATAGCTACCTTTGGCAAGTATATATAGACTAAATTTGCACGAAACAAAAAGGTCCGTCGGTATGGCTGTCCGATGGATAGCCAAATGTTGCCATCATTGCATATCTTTTACCTGTAAATGCTTTCTGGCCTGGCGAAGAGCCACTGCGATGACACTACACTATATAAACATTGTGTAGATAGTAAGAGAGGATGCATCTAACTTTTCTCTGGCATCTAGCGTAGACGAGCCACGGCTTTGCAACAACATCGCTTACAATGGTACGATTTACACAACACTTTGTTAGGGCCCACTCCGCTTCAATAGCCATATGGTTTCAAATTAACTTGAACAATGACACATTCATCTATATGATACAGGACAAAAAGTGGACTGAGGGTTTGATTGATTTACTATAAATGTACGGATTGTTGTCGTATTCTTTGTTACACCATGTATTGAGGGTCTAAAATATAGTTTAATCAATTTATAAGTATAGTCTACATGTGGTTAACACTTCAAACATACGATTTTCAGCACATTTCGTATCTGATCAAAATGTGAAAGGCTGAGCAGCCTTATCATCTGAACATTGCTATACCAAGCTTTGGTTATATGAGGTCTTGAAATCTTTCGTGTCTAATCTTGAAGTGTCGCCAAGAGATGTATCAATGTATAATAGCATTAGTTGCAATCTAGGAGAATTCATACAAATACACTAAAGAATCAACTTTGACAGGAATGATGGCATCGGTTTTTAGACAACAAAATATCATGTTTAGACCTTGAGCAATCCTTGCAAAGAGTGTGCATCAACAATGAGCCCATTAGCCCCATGCACTTGTATATAATAACGACTCGTGATGGGCAATCAGCCTGTTTCTTTTACTAATATTCACCCTTCACAAAAAACACAAACAGTATGTCAGAATATGTCAACTATACAAGCAGCAAATTCGGGTTTTCATTTCCATTGTTAATAAGCTTACCAGCAACATATTGCATCAAAATTTGCATGAATCAGCTTTGCCAAAATCAATGTGCCTCCTATTCGAATTACAAGTTGCACAGGCTGCAGAACTGCCTTTCCAGAAAACTTTAGCTACTAAAGATGTGATTCATGCCATGTAAATAAAAGCCATAAAGCAAAGCATAACCAAATTGGACATTTTTTAAGCCTTCATATCTTGACATGTAGGCCTTTTTGAGCCACCGGAATAACGCCAAACAATTGTACTTGGGTAGTAGTAACTTCTTGACACCTTTGCTCAACTTTTTGGGCCAAAAAAAAACATGGCCAAAAATCGACCAAAAAGCATGAGGGGTACCTCAAGGTTTTTTACGAAAATCAAACAATCGCGTTTTTCACCTTGAAAATGAAGACTTTTACTATGGTACATGTCAGTTCAAAATGTTTCTCTCGATCCAAAGCAGCCTCTGAAACCACTTTTATGAGGTCTTCATATGCAAAATCTGGCTATTTTCGCTAAAAACCTCATTTCAAATTTTATTAAATTGCTCAATAAGTTCATTCAAAACATTTATTACATATAGCACCATTGGAAGCGCTATGAAAAGTGCTCCAAGAATGTATTAGGAAGCATCGTCTGAAAACCACATTTCATATAGTCGAATATCACAAAATGAATTAAAGAAGTCGAAAAAAGACAGAATCTGTCCAATCTTGAACAGAAATAAAACTGAGTTTGAATTAATCTTGGTGGCGGCATTGCTGCTGGCTGACCTAAATGCCTTTCCCTATGATTAGCATGATATGAACGTCATATTATCGAATGATTGAGTGTAAATTGTTAGGTTTCTGGATTTATGCAATTATGATGTAGAGTCGCTCGATTGTATGTGAAATCCTGAAACTCGAGCAATGATAAAGCTGCAATTCAAGTTAATAAATATACGCTTGTTATTAGAATCATGCATCCATGGGAAAGATGAACTTATTGTATATTATTGATCGATATTGGACAGCATCTGGCACCCATTGCTCTGCAAAGGCGAGACCAAGTGCCGCTAGCACCGTATTAGACCAATGCGTAGTGATAATTTGATAAACAAAAAGGTATCTATAATTATTTATTAGCTATTCTCTTGAATGAGAATATTGATCTATGAGTATATTATGAAAGAATGGATGGAAAATGAGGGTATATCTAGTGGAGGAGATTCTACTACAGTTTGCCTGGACAGTGCTCAAAAACCCAGAAACACAGATCTCTTTTTACCGGTTGGGTAAATCACAAGATTAGCCAAAAAGAGGCCCAATGTCAAAGAGAGAGCAATACCCAGCACTTGGAATACAAATTCGCTGCCGCTTCCGTTGTTGGAGCCATCAAAGAGGTGAACTGCGCCCTTGACACCAATACTTCCTGGTACGAGAATAATGATACCACCCATGATGGGGACAAAAGCTAAGCGCTTAGTCAAACGAGCATACAAATTACCACAACATCCCAATACAAAGGCACCTGCACTAGGTGTGACCACAGAGGATGAGCCAGCGTATTTCGCAACAAAGTAATAGACTGCATACCCTGCAGCGCTATCGCCAACCATGGGCAGCCATTGATTTGGACTGGCACCGTAGACAACGCCAAAGCCAATAGTCGCTAAGGGTAAGATGAGAAACGTCCACCAAGGATTAATGCTTTCTTGACATGCGCCAAGAACATTAATGATCGCTTCTGGATGGGCTAGCCGCCAAATAGAACATCCGTAACCGATACCAAATGCCAGGAACAGGACGTACATCAAGGCATACACGAGATGCACGGTGCCACTGATTAGATTTTTAGCAGCCAATTCCATCACAGAGCATGTCAACGAGTAACCTGGCAGCGCAATGACAATCTATGGATATATGGCTGAGTGTTGACATAAGAGACTTTGTAATATACACTTACAGCTGCCATGGCCACAGCGGCAAAGCAAACATGAGGGTGTAAAGCGAGTGTGATCACAGCAATAGGAATAGTAACCACCATTTCAAACACGTTGCCAAACATGGGCAATTTCTCTGAGATGTAAGTCAAGATGCCCACTACAAGGTGAATAGATCAGCAAACGGATGGACACAGAAATAAGGTTCTTCATGTCTTACCACATAGGCCAAAAATAGCACTAACCCAGCAATCTGTCCAAGAACCGTTATAGAATAGAGGTGCTACAAATGCAGATGTTGCAATATAGCCGAGAATGACAATAGGAGGACTCCAAGTCGGCGGCTCATTGATTATGCTGTCTAATAAAGTGGTCGCTTCTTCGAGGTCTAGTTCTCCCTTGGCAATTCTATACGCAATCACATTTGACCGCTCCAGTTTTCCAATGTCCAAAGAACGTGAACAACGTATCAAATGAGTTTCGGATGTATGTGTCTCCACATCGCCAAAAGTAACAATGATCAATCCTGGTAAAACAGCGTAGCTTCCATCGATTTCAAGACGTTTTCCTACTTTTTCCATAGCAGCTTCCTATCAATAATGTCGGATGAGCCATGTATTCCAATATACGCTGCAAAACACACACACACATACAATACGATGAGATGGCGCGCCTGTTCTGACGAGCGATTTGCCCAATTTGATTATGAGGTCTTGACGCTGAAGGATATCAGCAATTTCCGACGCAATTGCCATACGATGAGCGGCTACTGAAGCATCATCGGTGATACCGAGTTCAGCTTTGTGCAAATCCTCAAAGTACATGCTGCTTCGGGCAGACTGTGGAGATGCGCCTACTGTTTGCAATAGAGCTCGACTGGAAGCGATTGATCGTAACTGGTGTGTTGGACGAGTAGGGTAAGGTTTTTGTTGATTCAATGACACCGATGAGGCTGTAGGATGTTGTGGTAAATGGGCAGCAGCAGATGAAGACCCTTGCTGGCGTCGGCGATTCTTCTCTTCGAATAAATCCAACTTTAGGAGATTGGATAGGATACCACCTTTGCTAGGTCTGCGTCTGCTGTTGTTCTTTGTAACTGCATCTACCAGATGGAGCGCGTGATCTGCATGACTGACTCTTCTCTGAATGGTATTGTTGTTATTTGTTGTCGAGGAAGAAGATGTTGAATCCACGGAAAGGCCAATCACCCTTTCGTCAAAGTCTCTGCCGAGCGTCTTTTCGGAATTGGCCTCATCGTCTTCGCCTGCTGCTGCAATTGAGCCTCGAGTGAACACAGGACGAATATGGCCTAAATCTATAGGTGGAGGTGTTTCTGGATCATGAAACTTGTTGCCTTCCATCCTGTGTGTCTCTATGGTATGGTTGCAAAAATGAAGAAGAAAACGGATAGAAAAAAAAAAAGGCAAGATAATCTTATCAAAAGTTTATGTATTTATTTGGGAACATGCGGCGATCATAAAGATTTTTTCCACCTTAACCAACCTGTCAAATCTTACTCTTTTTGTTCTACATTCATTTGAAACGGATTCTCAATCATATGCTGTTACTAATTGGCCAGGTATCACAAAATGCTGTAATCTGATGTCGCTATCCGGATTGAAAGGAACAAATCATATCATTGGAAGCTTTCCCATATGGAATAAGGAATTTGTTTGTGTTTGTATTGTGCAAGTAAACAAAAGTGATTGTACTCCCGTTTATCAAGATTTCATATAAGCCGTGAGAACAATATAAGCCAATCATAAGCCCATTTTAGGGCCATTCACCTTCTGGAGCTATACTCTACCAACTGGGCTATCCGCCCAGCCATGTTGATGGAGGCACGAAATAATGCATCTGTCCCCGCCCTTTAATGATGGAATATCTGTTATGTAGTATATTGGCATTTTATTTTCATATCCGTGTCGATGTTCTACCGGGAAGCGGCGATATGGAGACATTACATCTGCGAATGTTACTTTTTACATCTTTGCTCATCTGCATTGTTTCAGTAAACGATTCTTCTGCATTCTCTTTTTACCATTTCTTCGTTTACAGACTCAGTTCTATTATGGACTCATCCCACAACATTGTCTGGACCAGCCCAATGCTAGAGCTGCCCTATGAGATGTGAGTTACATTTATCATACGCAAAGAATGTACAACATCTGTGGTTGTGATGCAATGCATTCCCTCCACAGCGGTGTATTGGCACGTACATGATCTGCTCTATCTGTGCTATTGTCTATAGTAACCAAATGAGTTATAGTAGAGCTCACAGTAGAAGCACTAAATTACAATGTTAAACCGAACGACAATCTTGCACTTTGCATTGGGATTCGCATTTGGATGAGTGTCTCGCAACAACTGTATTATTCAGATATAAAAATGCTTTTTATAAACATCAGAAAGCAGATGAAATGGGTTACAATATTTCTCACTCGCAATCCCCTTCTTGATAGCTTCAAAAACATCGTTTGCTTCTATCAGGAAGACATTTGGGCAGCCTACACTATTTTAAATTCCGACATTTTTAGATTGCCAAGATTGGTCAAATCCTAAACAAAATCGACCTGTTCGATCTTTTTTTGTGAGATACGACTATATAAAACATAGCAATTATGACATGCTTCCTTAAGCTTTCTTGGAGTACTTTTCAAGGCGCATCCTGTGGTTTTAATTATAACAAGTGTTTTGAATCAAGTTTTTGAGCAGTTCCGGAAAATATGAAATGAGGTTTTTGGCAAAATTGTTAACAATATGCATATGAAGGTCGCATAAAAGAGGTGTCAGAGATTACGCTGGATCGAGAGGAACATTTTGAATCAATATATGCCATAACAAAAGTCCTTGTTTTTGAGGTCAAAAACATGATTGTTTGATTTTCGATGAAAAACATGAGGTATCCCTCATGGTGTAGAGGCGATTTTTGATAATTCCAAAAAAAAAACTGAGCAAAGGTGTCAAAAAAGTTGTGCTAGTTGAGAGCAACTGTTTGGTGCTATTCTGGTGGTCTAAAACGACTTCTAACGCGAAAAAACACGGCTTAAATGCACTCAAATTTTGCTGCGATTTGTATTCTTTCGAGTTAAAAGAGGCAATGCAAGTATGCTATCTGCCCGTACACGGCTTTCTCTGATAGACACAGACCTAAGGCATCCCTGAATAGTAAGGTTCATTGCTACAGGTTACTTATGGAGGTTTTTACATGATAGTAATCAGCTCAGAAAGTGATTCTTAGCGTATAGTACTGAAATTCTGAATTATATCCGTCAGACCAAAGAATGTGCTCTCTGCAATGAAGATGCAATACATCCCGCTACAGACAACGGCGCCATCTCGACCAGCATTAAAAAACTCGCCATCTTTTATCAATAGGTCTAGATAAGCTTAAACCAGTAGCACACACTAATTGGCTTCCATCTCTGATCGTATTGAAATACTGTGCTTTTTTTCTATGAATGAGACACAGCTTGCACATATGTATTATTCTTTGTCTTGGATTCTTTGACCCCTAAACCCTTTTCGCACCTAATTTGATTCTCTTTTCTATTCAATTTGAAAAGGGTAACCATTTATGGATAAAGCATTAATCTAGATTGATGCATCGCATTACCTAAAATTCAAATGATGCGTTATTTTCAATAACTACTAAACCATAAAACCAGGAATCTAAATGGAAGGTTCTTTCTTTTTGATAAAAATTACCTCATAAGTATTGTAATTTACCTATTGTACTGCAGTAAATCCGTACTCCCTACCATTTAAGCTTGTCATTACGATACATGATTACGGTTTGCATTGTAATGATCATATAGAAGTAGTATTTATTTCTCAAGGATAAACAAGCAAATAAAACAGAAAATATCACGATAAAAAAGTGCTGCATCTCGTGATTCTATTGTAGAATCATTTGTCATAAACGATCTTTGTCGATTTAGACTCTAAAGAAACTCATTAAATCCAATAGTTAGCACCATCATAATAATGATGATGCGCGCAAAACATTTTCCCCATAAAGCAAATAAACAATAAATCTTTCATTTAATTCTATATCACCACACTATTTGTCAATGTGAATTGACCACAAACCCATTTTAATGATGGGTCCTTGAGCCAAATCCAAAGGAGGGAGGAGGAGAACTCTGTGCACTGTATATACATCTTAGAGGGGAGTATACCGCCAAATACCATAAAGCGAAAACCCGCAAATTCAACATTACAATCAAACGTACAAGTGAGGTCATTGCAGGGAATGGGTTACGATGCCAATCATATTAGCGCATGTCAGCTTAAATTTGGAAGGCATATATTTACTTTAGACTTTTCTCAGCGTGTAACACATGAAAATAGAAGACTCTATGGTGAAATTATTTTTATTCATCATATTTCATGAAAATGATAAGTTATGAGTTAATTATAATTGTGGTGTTGTAGTAGTGGTGAAGCAGCAGTAGTAGTAAGTTTAAAAGAGGTCAAGATGAAGCATAATGTACAGTAGTAGAGAGATATATAGACAGATAGACACAAGATGGAGTCCATTTTTTTAAATACAAATCAATAGGTCAAGCACAGATGTTTAACACATAATACGACTTGATTCTGTAATAAATGACTGGTGGTGGCTTTGTCCACAAGAAGAGGCTGATTCATCCGTTGGCTCCTCGATAAATGCAGGGAACGAAAAGTATAGATTCTGGAATTCACTGTGTTCTGAGTATGTAGTTTTTTGTTCATTGCTATCTTGTTCATTGGCATTTGAGGATGATGGTGTTGATGATACCAGCAAGAGCAGATTCTTTACAAATGATGAGAATGAATTTCGGCGAGAATTGGCATTGCTTGAAGTAGACGAGGTAGCATCAATGTGAGATGTTGTAGTAGATGTGGTATTAGAAGCAGATGTGATGGTAGAGTTCATTTTGAAATTGGATATAAATGTGTAGGTATAAATTAGAGAAAGAAAGTTAAAGTATTTGAATTAGAAGGGATCCCTTTATATACAAATCTACAACACTTTTTTTTTCACTTTTACCAAATCAAGTTGTTGGAAAAAGGTATGTACACCGGCATGATTACTTATGGCCAAAGCGAAAAAGCAACAAAAATAGTGACCCGATCCATCCCATAAGAGGGTTTCCTTGTTTAAATGTGATAGGAGAAGGGCCTGGACCGCTGATTCATAAAAAAAAATACCATGATCTTCTTATTTTAGTTGTTACACACTCTAGTGCTTGAGCAAAAAAAAAAAAAAAAAAAAAAAAAAAAAAAAAAAGAGCCAGATCATAAGCCCTTCGACAATTTGATCGTCTCCTACACTTGACAACAAACTTAGTGTCTATAGAACACCTGAGAATCTCCGCTCATGTGAGCTCAGGCACATTTAGAGAGAGAGTAGTGAAGGTGTAATCTCGCATTCTAGATTATTATTTAGTTTCTTTTTTTTCTTTTTGCCGCTTCCTTCCAAATCTCTCTCTTTTTTTTTCTATATATACAACTCGTGATCATTTTGTATGGCTGCAACAGCTGTTAGGTATTTAGACAAATAGACACACACACACACATATTTTGAATTTTATTTTAAACAAATTCCTAAAAAGAGTGGCGTTAAGGGTCAGGCCGTTGGTTGATAAAAACATTGATAATAAAAAAGATGATTGCAGCATCACCTTTATAAAAGATGAGCCACAAATTGTTATTGGACATGACCGATCATTTACCTTTGATTTCGTATTTCCGCCCGAGACATCTCAACAGAAACTATACGAGTCGAGTATTATACCTCTTGTTGATAGATTTACAGAGGGGTAAATATATTAAAATCTGGTGCCTGAAATGTTATTAATACGCCGCTTGTATTTTCTGATCTAGCAAAAACGTTACTATTCTTGCATATGGGTAAGAAATCGTTGTTACAAGCCAAGATGTGAAGCTAAGTCTCAGTAGACAAACTGGATCAGGAAAGACATACAGTATGGGTACCGGCACCGATCAGAGCAACGAGCAAGGTATGCAAAAGATAGGACACATGCGGCGGACAGCTTTTAGCTCAATTCAAGGGACAAAATAGGCATCATACCTCGTTTTGCGCATTCGCTCTTTGAACGTATGTTGGATTTTCAAAGCAAAGGGAGCAACCATACATTTCAAATATATGCCTCATTTCTGGAGCTCTACAATGAGGACATACATGACCTTCTAATTACGACTGAATTGAATCACCTGCAACAGGAACATCCAACTATCAGAGAGGACGTAGATGGAAAGATTTACTGGGCTGGCATCAGGGAAGAAAGGGTCTATTCAGCTGAGGATTTAATGCGGTAAATGTGACATGGTGATGTTTTAATAAGAGATATGCAGCTGATGAAATATTCCTAGTTGCTTGAAGAACGGATCAGAAAAGAGAACAACAGGATCAACTGAAATGAATACATCATCATCCCGTTCACATGCAATTTTCTCCATCATGCTTAAACAGCAAATTACTCATCATGACAGCGCCACTTCCGTCCTTGCCGAAGATAACAATAATGATGATATAACAACGCTGACTGGAAACAGGACGACTTTACCACAGAGGTTGGTATCAAAGTTTCATTTTGTGGATCTCGCAGGATCTGAAAGAGTGAGTGACATTACATACTACCAGTGTGCGAAATGCCGAATTTAACAAAACAAACAACAAACAATAGCTTAAGCGTACACATGCGATGGGAGAGAGGCAAAAAGAGGGCATTTACATCAACGGTGGCTTATTAGCCCTTGGCAATGTCATATCAGCATTGGGGGATGATAGCAACACTAGCAACAAGAAAGCGCAGCATGTGCCCTACAGAGACAGCAAGTTGACACGACTGTTGCAAGACAGTCTAGGTGGGAATAGTCATACCTTGATGTTGGCATGTGTGAGTGCATCTATGTCGGATTACACAGAAACGTTAAACACACTCAAATATGCCAATCGAGCTCGCAATATTCAAAATAGAGTTCAGATCAATCAAGATTTTGTTGAAGGCGGATCTCCTGAAGAATCCTTGTATCTGCGACTACAAATAGCAAGACTCAAGAATCAGTTGCACATGCTCAAGCAAGTTCATCATCATGATATAACGATACAAGATTTAAAACAAGAGATGCAGGAAATCAAGTCTTTTTCTCAACAAATATCCCAAGAGTTGGCTGAGGCAACCAGTATCAGAGATACATTGCTTCTAGGCAAAGACGAGCCTGTGGAATCACATCCAATCATTCAGCAGTATGCACATCAGGTCCAACAATTGAGGCTACAGGTTGCTGAAACACGTAGCAACAGCAACAGTCGAGACTCGATGCCATCACTGCCATCCTCTCCATGGCCCAAGGTTTCATCTTCACTGGGTTTTTTGGATAAAAATTTGTTTGTTGATAACAATAGCAATATTACCAAAAAGCATCAAGGCTCGGTGTCTTCAGGCCGTCGTTTAACCAGCAAAAAAAAGCCCATTTTTCAACGCATGAAAACGCAATCTTCGCCATCATCCAAACGGAAACAGCAACAACAAGCGCATGAAAATATCGATGAATTATTCGAGCTGCTACGCAAAGAATACAGTGCTACATGCCAACAACTCAAGGTAAATGTTGGTTGTATATACTATCACCATGAGGAAAGGAGGGGAGAGGGGAGAGATTCCTTGGTGATTCTAAATTTTACTTAGCGCATATTATGCAAACTTGTTTATCTGGTCACAGTCAACAGATGAAACGGTATTACATGCGTCACATGCCAACACAGAGAGAGTCTCCACCTCACCCACTACTGCAACCACACCCACTGACACCGCCCATTCAATGAGTGATAACGCCTGCGAGGCTGAGGGCAATAAAAAAGCCTTTCCTGATACTCAATCATACAACTTTATGCCTGCAGATATTTGTCTTCCAAACAGCACATTTGAAGATGATGAATTAGAAGCCCTCGTAAGTACTTTTTTTTTCGGTTTTGCCGAGCACGCATCCAGACTTATCGCCATGGAACTAGGCTGTCCCTTCTTGGTCAGATGCACCCAAATTACCTTCCATCAATGGATCCATCAAGAGGAAATCCATCTCATTGGACTCCATGTGGGATGACACAGACAGTTCAATAACAACTTCACGTGTAGATAACCAATCTCCCACTCGGCAGCAACACCATCACCATTCACACCACCAACAAAAAGAGATGAGACGATCCAGCAAAAACCTGCTCCAAATGCTTCATCAGATTCAAGCCGATTTACTAGTGAAACGCGAGTTGGTGGGTCAACTAGAGAGATCTGAGGATCAATATACCCAAATGCGAGTCAACTATGAATCAAGACTGAACGAACTCAAGGACCATTTACTGGAGATACAGAACCAGAGAGACGCTGCTCTTCGACAATCTGGTATCAGCACCGTTGCTCCACATTCACACCAGTTACCCAAGAGGCCGCAAAGTGTACTTCAGCTACGAGAGAACCGACAGGCGCAAGAGGTGCGATCTCAGTATGAACAAAAGATCAAACGGTTAGTCCAAGAAAATTCAGAGCTGCGTAAAAAGACGACACAATCCACACAATCCATCCAGACAGCACGAGCTAAAGCAGAAGGCACCATTGGCCGCCTACGTGCTGACATTGAGGCCCTGAAACTAGACAAAAAGCAACTGCACAAGAGTCTAAAATTAGAAGTGGTTAAAGCACGAGAGGCATCTGTAAATCACGAACGAGAGTTGGCACAGCTAAAGCGGAGAGTCTCGGTTGCATTTGATGCAAAAAAGAAACTTGAGGATACAAATCAGGCTCAACAACAAGTGATTGCCAAGAGGAATGAAGAAACTCTGGCTGCGAATATGCAATTGAGGCATCTGACAACTGTACTGAGAAGGGCTGCAAATGAAGGCACCTTTTTGAACGAATCTGCGCTGGACAAGATACTTGCAGAAGCATCTGCATCAGCAACAGCAGCGATCCAGTTGAGTACTGCTTCTAATTATAAACCTGCTGCTGGTGGCGGTGGTCGGTCAAGAATGCATACTAGTCCACCAACAACCGGTTTATAGTAATAAACATGAATATACCTATAAAAAGTGGGAGAGACGCCCTGCATTGAGTGTGTGGATTGATTCAATGCATTGCCGATCCATGTTGTTGTTGTTTTTTTTCATCTATACGCTTTGGTGCAATAACATTCTCCTATTTTCAATAAAGAAATCTTTGATATGTATGTGTGCTGATGCTGTAAATGCTATGCTACTACGCAGTATAACGACTCATCAGGTCTGAGCTGTTTATGCACTCTGGTTGCCCTGTATATAGTCGCTAGATTATGTGATTGGATCAAGACGTGGCTGAGAGAAAAACGTTATTTATACTCTAATACACTTGCTGGCAGCATGATGTTATGACTAATTATTCAAGACAAAAGCAAGATATTCATTGTCATGAATAATATTCATATAGTTCCAATCCACGAGTAGTAGCTCATCTTTCTCTTTTTTTTTGCCTTCTTTATCAATAGCAACAACAACAACATGAACAAACTTCGTAGTGTCTTTCACGAAGAGAAGACAGCAGTAGAATATGAAGATGTAGCATTGGAGCCAATCAACAGTGCAGATAGCCAGCAGCATCAAAAACAGCCTCCAGCATCGACGGGTGCACCTCATCACACAGTCATCGTCACACCCAATCCATCGATACTCTCCATCCCTATTGATGAGCATGGTAACATGAGAAAATCGCTGCTCTTGAAGAATGCATTTCTGATAGGCTCACCTTATGATGACTCGAGTACAACAGGTGATGGTGGTGGAGAAAGCAGGCAACATGTATCGTCTGCCTGCTGTCATGGCCAAGTCATGCACTACATGAAAACCAAGATGGCATTCAAAGCACAAGTAGCAGATGACCCTCGCTTATTTTTGCCCAGTAAAAAGAGATTGATTTTAGCTGCTTTGGCGTTGGGCGCATCATTGAATGGATTTTGTTCTACTGTCTATGTAAGTGCGCCTGATCTAGTATAGACACATCTCTAGATAACTGATGCGTTTACTATAGTTCCCAGGAATTCCAGATATCAAAGCAGATCTCAATGCTTCTGATATGGAGATGACACTGGTTTCATCTCTTTTCATCTTGTTTGGTGGCATTGGACCCATATTTTGGGCGTCCATGTCTGATTACTACTACATCAGAAGGTATGGGACATCACGTTGCATGGGTAGATTGATTGTCCATGACTGATAAGTGTGCTATCAGATTCTTGTACCTGATTGCATTACTGATATTCATTGCTGCTTCTATTGGATGCGCATTGGCGAACTCTGCTTCTGTGTTGATTGTATTACGATGTATTCAATCCATTGGCACATCAGGTGTGTGTGTGTGTGTGTGTATATATCTGTTTACGTTTAAGAGATGCCTACTTACATAATACAGTTACCATGTCAGTTGGAGCGGGCACTGTTGCTGATTGCTGGCAAATGACAGAAAGAGGCTCTGCATTCAGTTTCTTGTTTATTGGGCAATTTATAGGGCCATTGATAGGTAAGTCGATTGGGGGTAGTATGAGTACCAGTTCACTCACACACTGCTCAAAAGGTCCCATCATTGGTGGTGGTATCGCTACTGCGAGTGGTTGGCGAAGTGTGTTTTGGGTCTGCACAGGCTATGGCGTATCTCTGTTTGTGTTTTTTTTTCTATTCTTTCCTGAAACGTACCGCTTAGATCATCATTGGAATCAACGCTTCGCTGAGCTGCCAAGCCAGACCACACTCCCAGTCGTCGCCATGGCAACAGATGAGAATGCTTTTTCTCAACTTGACCTACCTCCATTGATTGCCACTACATCGAGAACCTTGACTATCGTTACAACTGCCACACATCAGCAAGGGTTTAATCCATTCAAGAGTTTTGTCATGCTTAAATATACATTTGTTTGCTTTGTAGCTATTGAGATCGGCTTCTGCTTTGGCACCATGTTCACACTCGAGACATTGATTCCAGATCTTTACTTTATCAATTATGGATTTGACTCATGGCAGACAGGTTGACAAGGAATGAAACGTGGTTGATATCAAATGTTGTTTAATAATGCCATGTATTATACAAATAGGTTTGAGCTTTATTGGGGCAGGCCTTGGCAATGTTATAGGGTCCATTGTCTCTGGTAGATTATCCGACTATCTGCTGATTCGATCAAGTAAGCAGAGAGGAGGCATCTCCAAAGCAGAAGACAGACTAACGCTGAATGCATGGTAACAGGGATTCTATGACCTCCATCGCTGTGTTAGACCTAACATGTATATAGGCCTGGTGGATTCATTCTTATACCTATGGGTGCCTTGTTATTTGGTTGGAGTATCATGGCTGGATTTTCAGTATGGCCAGCCATTATTGGGTTTAGTATTCTGTGTTTTGGAATGAGCCAAGGTTTGTGGTGCTATTCACATCTACTGATGAATATCTGTACTCACTATATGACGCTATTTAACAGTATATACAGCTGGTTCTGCTTATCTGGTGGATAGCATCCCTGGCAAAGGAGCATCTGTAACAGCTGCCTGTAACTTTTTTCGCATGACCATGGCTGCTATCTTGAGTTTTGTCTCACCTATTATGGGGTCAGCACTGTCTATCGGCTATGTTTGTATTCTACTAGCCTCACTCAACGTACTAGGCATGAGCCTATTGGTGCTTATTAAACTCAAGGGCATTCATATGAGAAGGCAGGCAGGATTCGCACAAGCCAAGTAGCACAAACATTGGAAATAAACAACATGTAATTTATGACAAACAACGTTTTTATTATATCATCATTGCTTTGACTAATGTGAGAGAGAGAGAGAGAGAGAACCTTGTGTTTTTACAGCCAAGACAGTAGAGACCATGGATTAGATTTACTTTTTGCATTTACAATTAGCACAGGTGCAGCTTGAGCCACAGTTACTAAGAGGCACTGTCAATACAGACATCATCCTGCACACCACACATCCCACTTACCCGCAACATTTTCCATCACCGTTTTGCATTTTGATTGTATATCTTTATGAATATGAAAAAGGTATAAAGAAAGAAGCTTGCAACAGAAAAAACTAGCACTTTTTATATACACTTTGAATGTTCCGCAACATCACATCTACCATCACCTGAGCTTTACATGTACACATCATGGATCGGGGAAGTTCTTGGGACTATAAGTTGTGGAACGAGATGAACATCTTGTGATTTACTGCACATCTTTCATAGCATTAATCTCTCAATCATGACCCCTCCCTCTGTACAATTTCTAGGTAAAAAAAAAAAGCTTTATTACATTTGTGTGTTTTTTATACAGTGTATGTTTATCGTTGTGTGTTGTACGAGACTTGGGCATTAGCACGATTTGCCAATGCTTGCTTATGGATCTGTTGCTTCTTTTGCAAGACAGAACTGACACCTTGAGAGACATCATACACTTCAGCAGCAAACCTCTCCTCAAAAGACTTTTCTCCACGCTTCTTGGAAGCATCCAACATCCAAACAATAGCACGACGACGACGTTGGCGATCTCTTAATGCTGTGGGTACATGGACAACTTTGGATCCCTTCTTGGTGGATGATAGTTTCAATAAGGGTGAAGCAGTTTCAATGGCTTCGAGTAACACAGTGTAGGGATCGCTGTTGTTATCAATCTTCTTGGAAAGGTGCTTCATACTGTCAGAAATCAAGCGCTGTGCTCTGGCTTTTTTACCATCTCTCATCAATGTGTTGACTAATTGACTGACTACTTCGTCGTTAGGTACAATAGGGACATGGCTGCTAGCAGGAGTGGGTGGAGCTAGAGGTGTAACGGGGGTTGTGGATGTAGTAGTGTTGGTGGCTGTATTAATGGTGGAGGTGGAGGATGCTGATGCGGATGCAGCGGCTGCTTTGGCTGCTTCAAAGATATTAGTGGTATTACTAGCGGTGCTCATGCCACGCATCATACTAGGCTGAAAATTGCGCATGACCATGTGGCCATTTTGACGAATGGCTTGTAATATAGTGTTTGACATGTCGACAAAAAGTGTGTGGATGAAAGAAAAAAAAGAAAAGGTCCCTTTGATGGAGCTTGTAACTAACTGGGGTTCGATGACAGCAAGGACCTGGGTAGCAAATGTTGTAGTAAAAAAAAAAAAAACTTACAGGATCCGCACAAAAGGTCACAATGACTGTTCTCATTGTCAAAGCAATCAAGGAACCAGTTCATCTAATATATTATGAATGTTAGTTGGAGCACATATGCCTATATATATATATATATATATATATATGGTATACTTGGTATTTGATAATGGAAATCAGGATTTCCTGCGATATCTTGGATTGAATGCTATATAAGAGTGCTAAATGTTGACATCTCCAAAGCAGATCAAATCATAGCAACCCCCCCTATTACTGCTATTATGTTGACGTTATTACATTGGAGTTTGGATGCTCAAACTCTCATTACCTCTTATTAAAGTGGAGCTGGGATGCTTAGACCTTCATTATATCTTAATACACTGGAGTTTGGGTGTCCAAATTTCTGACAGCCTTTATCATAGTTAAATATGTTCTCTTCTGATCATATACAACAAGCTCGTCTCTTAATACACCTAAATTCAAGAGTATAACAGGGCAATGTCTGATATGCTAAATGCTGGTTTGGCCGTCCAGTCCAAAATAGATCAAATTTTTGAATTGATGGGGCAATCAATGTGCTAAACGTCGTAAAACGAATCATGTTTTTGGTCAGATGGTAGAGGTAATGCGAACCAAAAAGTATAAACGAAGAGTAGATGTGGTATCGCATGATGTATCTCTGCCTCAACTTACTTTATCGAACCTTGAGATGCTGTTCAAAGATACATGATTAACATTGTTCATTGTGTAGACCCAAAAAGCCATTATTGTTTGAAGTCTTACTTGAAGCTGCAGTATTGCATCAATTCCCATGGATCTTCAGCGCTAAAAGGTCAGCCCTAACTGACATGCCCAGCACAACAACAGCTATAACCCTTTGCCAAACCACAACAAAGCATCTTGTGATCAAGTGGTTTTGAATACAACGTTTCTCCTACACCTAATTCATCCATATATCACACGTAATTACTTGCAATTAACATGTTTCCATAGCTTTTAAATAAAGGTAAAGATACACTTTAATACAAAAAAAAAGCTTTTAAATAAAGGCCTTGCCCAAAAGTGCCTGATTTAGAAAAGCATCCATCTCTTCTCAACAGCAACTCTTCCAATCAAAATCCAATTATGCTATCAGTGCTTTTATTGTAAAGTTTGGTTCTAGAAACATGCTATTTCAGTCTGAATAAATATTTCAAAACTGGATTACGGATGGCGAAGTGTCCTAGAGTTGGTTTCCATCATAGAATGCCCAAAATAACTGTTATTATCTCAACGGAGCCATGCTATCATTAAAAGACATGCATATATAATAAAAACAACTGCATGGTGATGGCAAGGGTGAGCACTCTGAAAGAATAAGAGATGACAAATACTAGATTAAATATCAAGAGCATTGTTGCAATGTTTTGTAATTTAAATAAGCCCTAAAAAGATACATGCTCAACGACGAAAGATAGAAGCTGTTATTCATGTATGATTCACGAAGCATTTATTAAAATATTGTTCTTGACCCACAGGATCAACAGCTAAATAATCATATTATTGCAACCCACTAAACTGCTGTCAGATGAGAGATGATATCAACCAAATTATATATAAAATAGAGAAGCAAAATATACATTTCATTGCAGACTGTTCTAATTGTGAATAAAGAAGAATTGTAAGAGTGATCCATCCGCTTCTTTCACCCTCCTCTATATTATTGCAGACGATTCAAAAGTTTAAAGTTAGGTACTGTTATAACAAAAAAAAACAACGTAAACAACACTGTGCTTCAGTAATACTACTTGCAGTTTAACTTCTCACATTGTAAATTTAAAAAGATATCTCTTACATGAAGCTGTTTAATGGATGCCATATTAAACAAATGCACCTTACCTTATTTATGAATAAAGAAAGATATAAATTATATCTACTGTGCTTGGATAACATTTTATTACGAATGCAAAATCATGGATCGATACGAAATCAACTAGCTAGAATCCTTTTGAGTTTGAACCTCTGAGCCAATCAAATCGCTTGAAAACTCCGCTGATTTAAAAAAAAATTTGCGAGAGTTTCCCCCTGTTTTGATGTGAGGCAAAATTTTAAACACCGCGTTATATAGCAATAGAGCGGTAGCTATCATCAAATTCCCCTCAGGTGCTAGAGCATGCCTTACTTACACCACCTAGCTTTGAATGCTGACATTGAGACCCTCAATCATCACTAAAGTAAGTAGCGATAACCAAGTGGAGGCAGCCTATCCACCTCCTAGCCTCGGATAGAGTCTTGTTGAGCTTCAGTGATAGGCACATTCACACAACGTAAAAAAAGGTATGCTTCAAAGAAACATAAGAATGATAATATAAAAAAGAAGGAAACAGCATACTACTCTAGGAGTAGTATAGTAGTACTACGTAGGCAAAAAAGGGATACTCACACAAAGTGAGCCAAAGAAAAGTATAGCAAATACAACATCAGCGACGTTCAGAACAGCTCGTTGTTGTTGCGACAAAAGTGCATACATGATGAGCAACATGCATGGCAATAGTCAGAAGTGAAGCAACACAAACACGCACAACTGCAAAAGCAACTGTGGTACTATAAGTTTGCAATAGAACATAATGACTTATGTTGTTTCATGTGAAGCCACAGAGGCAACACAACCAACAACAAAAGAAAGACGCAACAAAGAAAGCATCATGTATGCATTGTCATGAGGAAGAAAGCAATAATACAAACGTTCAAAGAAGGTTTATATCATCGCGAACAGAAGAAAAAAGATACTTACCACTTACCACCACCATGTATAGACCAGAGATGAACCAAAGATGGACCACAGAATAGGCAATTACCAGAGATAGACCAGAGAATAGGTAGTAATCACCAGAGACAAACCACAGATAGACCACAGATAGACCATAGAACAACCATACAATAAAGATAGTAGACGAAGAAAGACCAGATTACCAGCAGCAGCACCCACGTCAAACAGGCAAAAGAAATAGCAAAGTTTAATAAATATATACGTTTAATGTTAGTTTTACACCTTCCAGTGCACATAATAATCAAATAATACCTACTATATTGCACTTCAGAGAGAGGTAATGTCAGACTCTTCTAACAGCACACGACTGTGTTATCAGAAGCAAGGGTGCTATTTTCAATCAAGACGCTTTCAAAGAAAATATTATGGTATGATACTAAACGCGTTTTGCAAACGGGGGAAAGGGAGAAAAAAATAGGCGGGCGGCGCCTTATCCGACGTCACTGTCAGTAGATTTGACCTCAGTCTTCTGCCGAGGCAATTGCGGTTGCGGCACTTGAACATGGATTTGTGCAGTGGCCATTTTCGTATTTCTACTTGACTTGATTTTACATTTTCTAAACGTTTTTGACAAATTCGACTATAGAAATAGTTGTTGTCAGTCTTTACTTTCTAATGCGTCCATGAAGAGTCAATTAAGGCAAATCGAATGATGTTTGTTGCATTGAGATCTCAGACTGAAAATAATGAGCAATCTTCAAAGATATGAATATAGGGTTTCTGCAAAAATGTCAAGATTTAGCATATGGAAAATCTATAAAAGTAGTCTCGAATGTTGCATTCCATCTCTACAAACAATTTGATCTCATATGTATCATAGAAAAAGTCTTCATTTTTGGGGGTGAAAAACGCGATCGTTTGATTTTTAAGAAATTCCCCTTGCTATTACTCATGAAAAAATGAAGATTTTCATGGGTTTGCAATGGTCTAAAAAATCTTGAGATAAAACATCAGTAAGTAAAGCGTGGACAAAGAGAGTCGTTTGGTGCTATTCTAAGCGCTCAGAATGCTTTGTGGCATGAGTTATTCGTGCTTCAGAATGACTAAGTTTGAACAAATTTTGACCAAAAATAAGATCTAGTAGGTTGTCTTGACAAAGAAGTCGATAAATTAATGTTTTTTCTTATGTCTCTGATGTTCTGCACTGTATGGAACTGAATACTTAAGCAATCGACGCTTGTATTCTAATTCTAGGACTCAGATCTCTCTTTTTGAAATGCGCGAATACAGTAATTTCATAACTTGAACGTCAATGATGTTATGCAAGTTTGAATCTAATAACTTGCCCAGATTGAACAAGATACTTTTATCAGGTTAACAGGACCTTTTTGATGATTGTCCACAACAGAGATTCCATATCTAGCCTTAAACCTAGACTCAAAGTCTATCCATAATGTTAAACATTCATATTTAAGGAGAAATGACTGAAGCCAAACAGGCTGAGTCAATGTCAGCACAATTGGGGAAGCAAACAACAAAACTTTGTATCAAAGTCGAACGAATAGAGATTCATGATACCTACAGCATCCGTAATACAAGATTATTCGACACCAGGAGGCTGCATTGAAGTCGTATTTAAATGGTGGTGTAATGAAATAGCCACCCAAACGCAACTTAATTGAAAACCAAAGTTCATCAAATAGCACTCATTCAAATTCATGCTATTTGGATCTATTAATGAAAGCGCTCAAATGTACATCAAAAAACCATTTAAAAATACTAAACTAAAGATGCATGCTTATATCGCACATCGTGTGAATGAATCACTCCTGATCACAGTAGTGTATTCAATCACACCCATGATGGTCGTAATAAGTGATGGTATCTTTATCCAAAAAGAATCAAATCAATAACAAGCATATTCAAATATGACAACTATGCCCTGCTGCCATAGTTGCACAATATCCCAGACAAAGGATTCCATGCTTCAATAACAAACATCACACTTTAAACCATCAAGGTTACATTAAATCATGCTATGACGATAGCTCACCCAAGCCCATCAAGGTTACTCAAATCGACCCTTATGGCCAGTGCTCCTGCATTGATTACCACTTTAAATCAAACATCAACAACATTTGCCAGATATCGCAATAGCAGCACCTATTGCTCTCTTGTTGTATTCACACATATAACTGTTCCTGAATCATAATGTCGTAGATTGAATTGAGCAATAAACTATGCACATATGGAGCATATGTAAATAAGCTGTTCAACATGTAAACGATAATCATGATATTCACATAAGCTAAGTTTCGATAAGCTATTCTCTATATGTCAAAAGATAGCAGATAAGGAATGTAAGTAATTAACGTTGCCAAGAGCTACTAAAGATATTTAGACTGATCATCTATATCTGAAATAATTACCATTTAGCATAAGTGAGGATTGACACTAAAACTTAGCATGAGAACACCATTCTAGACGGGTGTGTAAGCAATCCATAAATCATACATATAAATAGCAGTAGACATTCACCATTCCCTTTTCTCTCTATCTGATTTTACTGAAAATAAAAAGACATATCCATTCTCACGTATTTCAGACAGTTACAACATTTTTTTACGTGAACCATGGCAACACCAAATAACAACGAGCAACATCATCAACCCACTGCTGCTACAGGCGGTAACACTACCACTTCATCCATCCTTTCATCAGAACAACGTTCTGAAAATGAAGACATTACGATGGAGGAGACCCATCAAGAAGAAGCCCCAACCGTTCCCACTGCGCCTATGGCTCCTGTCACCGATAACACTCCCATCCGGGCATGGATAGAATCTACCACCCCAGAACCGGCTTCCCAAGGGCTTCCATCCCAAGCACTGGTCAAGCGTGCAATGGTCAGAGACTTACCCAAGTTCAAGATCTTGAACGATGACACAAAGGACTCAGATGACGCATTCGTTTCCGTAAATCAATATTTCAAAGCATTTGAAAGAACCTTCAGAATGCAGAATGTTGATCTCGAGCCCAACTGGAGAGATAACCTTGCGAATGTCATTGGAATAGACCATGCTGATTGGTACACTGACACCATCGAACAGAATATGGCAATCTCATATACGCAAGCCAAGGCTATGATCATGGATCATATTGAATCCCCTGCCAAAGCCATCAACATGTTTAACAAGTTGGTCAATCTTCGACAAAAGACTGGGGAACCTGCTGCTGACTTCGGCAAACGTTTTATAAGGGCTGCTCATGCTGCTCAGTGTGCCGATAGTAATTTCATGGCTCGTCTTTACATGAACAACTTGCAACCCTACTTGAATCTGAGTGTTCGCACATCATTGTCGAGCCATCTCGGCATCTCATTTTTACATCAATTGAAGTCCTTCCGTCAAGTCGAAGCCTTGATTAGTGGTCTAGAAGTACATGTATCTGAAGATCCTTTTGTCGCAAGCATGAGCAAAGGACCTAAAAGAAACCATGAGCCCAAGCTTAAGGGAGGTGAACGTTCTTCTGGCAACAAATCGAATGATAAAAAATGCTACTATTGTAATCAACCTTGGGAAAAAGGCCATCGTTGCTCTGAATTCCATGAAGCAAAGAAAGCTAAGCAAAACCAAGGCCAATCCACTCATCATAAATTGTCAAACAACAATCAAGTAAGAACCATCAAGATGGATCAACTCATGGAAGAGTGGACTAACTTTGACATGAAAAGCAGTAAAGAAGAGGAAGCGATTGATAACGCTATTGCCGCTTCAGAAGACGATAATATTCGTAAGTGTCGTAGTATTAAACAAGATTTCAATAACTTGGTAACTAACAATCCTTTCTCTTTGTATACTCCACTATTAATACAAAATACTAGAGCAATTGGATTAGTTGATACAGGCAGTGAATTATCTGTAATTAGTAAAAAGTTTATTTTATGCAATAAAATTTCTTTTGTAACAAATAATCACAATGCTATTCTTAAACTGGCTGGTAAAAACAACACTATTAATAGAGTGGGTCGCACTGAACCAATTGATATAAGCTATAATGGCAAAGTTTCCACTCACACCTTTGAAATCATCGAATTTGATGATAACGATCAAACTGATGTGATTTTGGGTTACGAAATCTTACCTAAACTCGGCATAGCATTAACGGGTGTAGCACACAACTTTGACGACGCTGTGATTTTCGATGACTCAATCAATGATGAAATTATCCCTAATAACTCGCCCGCTGGCTCCACTGAAGATCAAAGGCACTTTATTGAGGAAATAAAACCATTGCTTGATGCAAATCAATCCATTTCTAAACATAGCTTCTGCACTGTCCCAGAATCCGTCATCCATCTAAACACAGTTGAGGGAGAATACGTAAACATCCCACAGTATCCCATTCCTTATAAATTGAGACCTAAGATACAAGAACAAATCCAAACTTGGTTAGCCAACGGTACCATTGAAAAAGCACCTGTAAACACCAAGTGGAACTCACCTTTAACACTTGCTGCCAAAAAGGATAGCCAAGGCAATAAGTCGGATACCAACAAGCGTGTGTGTCTGGATACTCGCGCCCTCAACAACATCCTCCTGGATGACGATGTACAAAGCCTACCACACATACCTGACATATTCCACAAATTAGCTGGCTATTCCGTATTCACTACATTTGATGCTTTCTCGGCTTTCCATAGATTTGAAATATTTGGTCCAGACAGAGTCAAAACCTCATGGACTTCACCGATTGATGGAACTCAATACTGTTTCAAAGGTTCGCCGTACGGGATAAAATTCCTCAGTAATGTTTACCAACGGGTCATGACACGTCTATTCAATGACGAATACGAATACGTGGATCCAGCTGAAAACAACGGTAATACCCAACGACGTCGCAATATCCTCAAAAACCATGTCGCATTTTTCGTGGACGATTTGGTATGCTTCAGCTCCAATCTACACGACCATCTAATCCATGTGAAAGAGGTAATCCGTATCCTGAACAAGGTCAATCTAATCCTCAACATCGAAAAGTGCCATTTCGCACAAAAAAGTATCAACTTGCTGGGATTCTCTGTCTCTGAGCAAGGGAAAACCATCGACACACGTAAACTATCCAACATTGAATCTTGGCCACGTCCCAAGACTGGCACTGACGTTCAAAGATTCCTGGGTCTAGTCAACTACATGCGTGATCACATCCCTAAAGCTGCTGCTTTGATGGCCCCTCTGGATAAGATCCGCAATGCTAAAGTTATCACGGATAAAGAGTGGACCCCAATGATGGAAACACACTTCCAGGCTATCAAGAATGTGTTAGTTTCCAATATAGTCCTCAGCCCTCCGGATTTAAACCATCCTTACACGGTATATACCGACTCCAGTTCGTACGGCATTGGTTGCGTACTGTGTCAAGAATATAATGTAGAAGAAACAGAAGCGGTAAAGTACAAGCCTACCTCAAACGCACATCAATCTGCCTCTTCTTCAGTTCATGACAACCAGTCCACACTTACCAATCTAGGCATCAATACCAAGCCTCCCGTTAAAAAGATCATCAAATACATTGGATTTATGGCACGCTCACTCTCTTCCTCTGAACGCAATTATAGCACCACTAAAAGGGAATTATTAGCTATCATTTTTGCCTTGCAAAAATTTAGAAAATTCCTTTGGGGCAACCGTTTCAAGGTTATGTGCGATCATCGTGCGCTGACATACATCCACACTCAAAAACATGCCAACAGCATGATGTTAAACTGGTTTGATTACCTACAGGATTTCGCCTTTAACGTTATTTACCTACCCGGCATACAGAATGTTCTTGCCGATAGCCTCAGTCGATTGTTTCCTCCTATGGATCACAATCTGGGGGAGGATATGCTGGACAAGAACAATAAAATGTCATACAAACGAAAAAATATCAAGTTCAAGAACATCAATGGCAAAATTAGAGCCATCAAAAGAGACACTAAAAACAAATTCACTGTTAAACATGTAGAATATAAACATGGTGATTACTTTACACCACCTGAAAAGGAACGTAAGGCTCTCCTATTAAGAGCACATGTATTCGGGCATTTCGGTGCTGAAAGTATTATCAAATCTCTGCATAACGATGGTTTACATTGGCCCAATTTAGCTGTAGATGCTGTCGAGTTAGTGAAGAGCTGTACTTCATGTCAAAAACATAACATCACTAAAAGAGGATTCCAACCTTTAAGACCAATCTATTCATACATTCCTGGCGATCACTGGGCAATTGACCTGGCGGAACTACCACTGTCAGCAAATGGACATAAATACCTCCTCGTAATGGTAGACATCTGCACACGCTTCTGTATATTAAGATGTATGAAGGATAAACGTGCAACAACGATGGCCAAGCACCTTGTGCAAGTATTTTCAGACTTTGGTTACCCTACAAAAATCTCAAATGATAATGGATCCGAAAATGCAAACATCATAATGCAAACGTTATGTGAAACCATGAACATCGATCAAAGACTCATCACTTCCTATAATGCAGCAAGTAATGGCGCAGCAGAACGATTTGTACAAAGTTCCAAGTTAGCTATTGCTAAAGCAGTAGAAGGAGCAGGACATGAATGGGATCTATACGTACCAGGTGTACAACTCGCCCTAAACAATAAGGTTTCCAAGAGACTAAATACCCCTCCTTTCAATCTCATGTTTGCAAGACGAATGAATGCCTTTGTAGACTACAGAGAGTCAGACAAGCAAATGAAAAGTGTCATGTCGTATGAAGAACTTATCAAAAGAATTGACCACATGAGCGAAATCGTACTGCCAGCCATCAAGGACAAGACTGACAAATACGTTGCCAACATGCGGGATAAATTTGACAAATACAAGAATGTCGTAGATGACTATCCATCTGGAACTCATGTCATGGTACGCATTCCTACGCTTAAAGGCTCCCTAATGCCATCATATGAAGGTCCTTATACAGTCATTCGCAAAACCAAAGGCGGTTCCTACGTATTACAAAATGAAACAGGTGTGTTAATGGATCGAGATTATGCCCCAAGAGAATTGAAAGTAGTCAACAAAGACAACATCGACGATGACGATGAAGTCTTTGAAATCGAAGACATCTTGGAGCACAAAGGATCTGGTAAAACCACCGAGTACAAAATACGTTGGAAAGGCTACAGCCATGAGCATGATTCTTGGGTTACCCCAGACCTAATTACACATGAAGCAACAATCCAGAAATACTGGAGAAGACGATTAGGCAAAGATTACAAGCCATATAAAAACAGCAAATCGATGCCCTTCACTGACACTCTCAAGAGTAATAAGAAAGGCACATTGCAGAACATCAATGAACAGCTCGTTTCCTTACAAGATGACATAAACAACAACTCGAATGCTCAAACTGTTATCAGAAGCAGAAAAAGAAAGAACAACAATTATAAACCCACACAACAAGTTAATACTCATAACGCCTTGAATCAATATAATACTACACCAAAACAAAACAAAAGATCTTGTGCGAATACAGATTAAGCAAGCGGCCTGTTCGAGCCTGGTGGAGGGTGATGTTGTATTCACACATATAACTGTTCCTGAATCATAATGTCGTAGATTGAATTGAGCAATAAACTATGCACATATGGAGCATATGTAAATAAGCTGTTCAACATGTAAACGATAATCATGATATTCACATAAGCTAAGTTTCGATAAGCTATTCTCTATATGTCAAAAGATAGCAGATAAGGAATGTAAGTAATTAACGTTGCCAAGAGCTACTAAAGATATTTAGACTGATCATCTATATCTGAAATAATTACCATTTAGCATAAGTGAGGATTGACACTAAAACTTAGCATGAGAACACCATTCTAGACGGGTGTGTAAGCAATCCATAAATCATACATATAAATAGCAGTAGACATTCACCATTCCCTTTTCTCTCTATCTGATTTTACTGAAAATAAAAAGACATATCCATTCTCACGTATTTCAGACAGTTACAACATTTTTTTACGTGAACCATGGCAACACCAAATAACAACGAGCAACATCATCAACCCACTGCTGCTACAGGCGGTAACACTACCACTTCATCCATCCTTTCATCAGAACAACGTTCTGAAAATGAAGACATTACGATGGAGGAGACCCATCAAGAAGAAGCCCCAACCGTTCCCACTGCGCCTATGGCTCCTGTCACCGATAACACTCCCATCCGGGCATGGATAGAATCTACCACCCCAGAACCGGCTTCCCAAGGGCTTCCATCCCAAGCACTGGTCAAGCGTGCAATGGTCAGAGACTTACCCAAGTTCAAGATCTTGAACGATGACACAAAGGACTCAGATGACGCATTCGTTTCCGTAAATCAATATTTCAAAGCATTTGAAAGAACCTTCAGAATGCAGAATGTTGATCTCGAGCCCAACTGGAGAGATAACCTTGCGAATGTCATTGGAATAGACCATGCTGATTGGTACACTGACACCATCGAACAGAATATGGCAATCTCATATACGCAAGCCAAGGCTATGATCATGGATCATATTGAATCCCCTGCCAAAGCCATCAACATGTTTAACAAGTTGGTCAATCTTCGACAAAAGACTGGGGAACCTGCTGCTGACTTCGGCAAACGTTTTATAAGGGCTGCTCATGCTGCTCAGTGTGCCGATAGTAATTTCATGGCTCGTCTTTACATGAACAACTTGCAACCCTACTTGAATCTGAGTGTTCGCACATCATTGTCGAGCCATCTCGGCATCTCATTTTTACATCAATTGAAGTCCTTCCGTCAAGTCGAAGCCTTGATTAGTGGTCTAGAAGTACATGTATCTGAAGATCCTTTTGTCGCAAGCATGAGCAAAGGACCTAAAAGAAACCATGAGCCCAAGCTTAAGGGAGGTGAACGTTCTTCTGGCAACAAATCGAATGATAAAAAATGCTACTATTGTAATCAACCTTGGGAAAAAGGCCATCGTTGCTCTGAATTCCATGAAGCAAAGAAAGCTAAGCAAAACCAAGGCCAATCCACTCATCATAAATTGTCAAACAACAATCAAGTAAGAACCATCAAGATGGATCAACTCATGGAAGAGTGGACTAACTTTGACATGAAAAGCAGTAAAGAAGAGGAAGCGATTGATAACGCTATTGCCGCTTCAGAAGACGATAATATTCGTAAGTGTCGTAGTATTAAACAAGATTTCAATAACTTGGTAACTAACAATCCTTTCTCTTTGTATACTCCACTATTAATACAAAATACTAGAGCAATTGGATTAGTTGATACAGGCAGTGAATTATCTGTAATTAGTAAAAAGTTTATTTTATGCAATAAAATTTCTTTTGTAACAAATAATCACAATGCTATTCTTAAACTGGCTGGTAAAAACAACACTATTAATAGAGTGGGTCGCACTGAACCAATTGATATAAGCTATAATGGCAAAGTTTCCACTCACACCTTTGAAATCATCGAATTTGATGATAACGATCAAACTGATGTGATTTTGGGTTACGAAATCTTACCTAAACTCGGCATAGCATTAACGGGTGTAGCACACAACTTTGACGACGCTGTGATTTTCGATGACTCAATCAATGATGAAATTATCCCTAATAACTCGCCCGCTGGCTCCACTGAAGATCAAAGGCACTTTATTGAGGAAATAAAACCATTGCTTGATGCAAATCAATCCATTTCTAAACATAGCTTCTGCACTGTCCCAGAATCCGTCATCCATCTAAACACAGTTGAGGGAGAATACGTAAACATCCCACAGTATCCCATTCCTTATAAATTGAGACCTAAGATACAAGAACAAATCCAAACTTGGTTAGCCAACGGTACCATTGAAAAAGCACCTGTAAACACCAAGTGGAACTCACCTTTAACACTTGCTGCCAAAAAGGATAGCCAAGGCAATAAGTCGGATACCAACAAGCGTGTGTGTCTGGATACTCGCGCCCTCAACAACATCCTCCTGGATGACGATGTACAAAGCCTACCACACATACCTGACATATTCCACAAATTAGCTGGCTATTCCGTATTCACTACATTTGATGCTTTCTCGGCTTTCCATAGATTTGAAATATTTGGTCCAGACAGAGTCAAAACCTCATGGACTTCACCGATTGATGGAACTCAATACTGTTTCAAAGGTTCGCCGTACGGGATAAAATTCCTCAGTAATGTTTACCAACGGGTCATGACACGTCTATTCAATGACGAATACGAATACGTGGATCCAGCTGAAAACAACGGTAATACCCAACGACGTCGCAATATCCTCAAAAACCATGTCGCATTTTTCGTGGACGATTTGGTATGCTTCAGCTCCAATCTACACGACCATCTAATCCATGTGAAAGAGGTAATCCGTATCCTGAACAAGGTCAATCTAATCCTCAACATCGAAAAGTGCCATTTCGCACAAAAAAGTATCAACTTGCTGGGATTCTCTGTCTCTGAGCAAGGGAAAACCATCGACACACGTAAACTATCCAACATTGAATCTTGGCCACGTCCCAAGACTGGCACTGACGTTCAAAGATTCCTGGGTCTAGTCAACTACATGCGTGATCACATCCCTAAAGCTGCTGCTTTGATGGCCCCTCTGGATAAGATCCGCAATGCTAAAGTTATCACGGATAAAGAGTGGACCCCAATGATGGAAACACACTTCCAGGCTATCAAGAATGTGTTAGTTTCCAATATAGTCCTCAGCCCTCCGGATTTAAACCATCCTTACACGGTATATACCGACTCCAGTTCGTACGGCATTGGTTGCGTACTGTGTCAAGAATATAATGTAGAAGAAACAGAAGCGGTAAAGTACAAGCCTACCTCAAACGCACATCAATCTGCCTCTTCTTCAGTTCATGACAACCAGTCCACACTTACCAATCTAGGCATCAATACCAAGCCTCCCGTTAAAAAGATCATCAAATACATTGGATTTATGGCACGCTCACTCTCTTCCTCTGAACGCAATTATAGCACCACTAAAAGGGAATTATTAGCTATCATTTTTGCCTTGCAAAAATTTAGAAAATTCCTTTGGGGCAACCGTTTCAAGGTTATGTGCGATCATCGTGCGCTGACATACATCCACACTCAAAAACATGCCAACAGCATGATGTTAAACTGGTTTGATTACCTACAGGATTTCGCCTTTAACGTTATTTACCTACCCGGCATACAGAATGTTCTTGCCGATAGCCTCAGTCGATTGTTTCCTCCTATGGATCACAATCTGGGGGAGGATATGCTGGACAAGAACAATAAAATGTCATACAAACGAAAAAATATCAAGTTCAAGAACATCAATGGCAAAATTAGAGCCATCAAAAGAGACACTAAAAACAAATTCACTGTTAAACATGTAGAATATAAACATGGTGATTACTTTACACCACCTGAAAAGGAACGTAAGGCTCTCCTATTAAGAGCACATGTATTCGGGCATTTCGGTGCTGAAAGTATTATCAAATCTCTGCATAACGATGGTTTACATTGGCCCAATTTAGCTGTAGATGCTGTCGAGTTAGTGAAGAGCTGTACTTCATGTCAAAAACATAACATCACTAAAAGAGGATTCCAACCTTTAAGACCAATCTATTCATACATTCCTGGCGATCACTGGGCAATTGACCTGGCGGAACTACCACTGTCAGCAAATGGACATAAATACCTCCTCGTAATGGTAGACATCTGCACACGCTTCTGTATATTAAGATGTATGAAGGATAAACGTGCAACAACGATGGCCAAGCACCTTGTGCAAGTATTTTCAGACTTTGGTTACCCTACAAAAATCTCAAATGATAATGGATCCGAAAATGCAAACATCATAATGCAAACGTTATGTGAAACCATGAACATCGATCAAAGACTCATCACTTCCTATAATGCAGCAAGTAATGGCGCAGCAGAACGATTTGTACAAAGTTCCAAGTTAGCTATTGCTAAAGCAGTAGAAGGAGCAGGACATGAATGGGATCTATACGTACCAGGTGTACAACTCGCCCTAAACAATAAGGTTTCCAAGAGACTAAATACCCCTCCTTTCAATCTCATGTTTGCAAGACGAATGAATGCCTTTGTAGACTACAGAGAGTCAGACAAGCAAATGAAAAGTGTCATGTCGTATGAAGAACTTATCAAAAGAATTGACCACATGAGCGAAATCGTACTGCCAGCCATCAAGGACAAGACTGACAAATACGTTGCCAACATGCGGGATAAATTTGACAAATACAAGAATGTCGTAGATGACTATCCATCTGGAACTCATGTCATGGTACGCATTCCTACGCTTAAAGGCTCCCTAATGCCATCATATGAAGGTCCTTATACAGTCATTCGCAAAACCAAAGGCGGTTCCTACGTATTACAAAATGAAACAGGTGTGTTAATGGATCGAGATTATGCCCCAAGAGAATTGAAAGTAGTCAACAAAGACAACATCGACGATGACGATGAAGTCTTTGAAATCGAAGACATCTTGGAGCACAAAGGATCTGGTAAAACCACCGAGTACAAAATACGTTGGAAAGGCTACAGCCATGAGCATGATTCTTGGGTTACCCCAGACCTAATTACACATGAAGCAACAATCCAGAAATACTGGAGAAGACGATTAGGCAAAGATTACAAGCCATATAAAAACAGCAAATCGATGCCCTTCACTGACACTCTCAAGAGTAATAAGAAAGGCACATTGCAGAACATCAATGAACAGCTCGTTTCCTTACAAGATGACATAAACAACAACTCGAATGCTCAAACTGTTATCAGAAGCAGAAAAAGAAAGAACAACAATTATAAACCCACACAACAAGTTAATACTCATAACGCCTTGAATCAATATAATACTACACCAAAACAAAACAAAAGATCTTGTGCGAATACAGATTAAGCAAGCGGCCTGTTCGAGCCTGGTGGAGGGTGATGTTGTATTCACACATATAACTGTTCCTGAATCATAATGTCGTAGATTGAATTGAGCAATAAACTATGCACATATGGAGCATATGTAAATAAGCTGTTCAACATGTAAACGATAATCATGATATTCACATAAGCTAAGTTTCGATAAGCTATTCTCTATATGTCAAAAGATAGCAGATAAGGAATGTAAGTAATTAACGTTGCCAAGAGCTACTAAAGATATTTAGACTGATCATCTATATCTGAAATAATTACCATTTAGCATAAGTGAGGATTGACACTAAAACTTAGCATGAGAACACCATTCTAGACGGGTGTGTAAGCAATCCATAAATCATACATATAAATAGCAGTAGACATTCACCATTCCCTTTTCTCTCTATCTGATTTTACTGAAAATAAAAAGACATATCCATTCTCACGTATTTCAGACAGTTACAACATCTCTATCATCACTAATCCTACAAGCCAGATGCAAATGTATAAATACTCTTCTTTTTTTTACTCAATTCCAGGATCTTCAGTTCATTTTATGCACAAAATAAAATACAGTTGATTTCTATTGTATTTTACCTTTGCTTTATTTTTTTTGTGAAATCCATTAAACCTGATTTCACTGCAGGAACAGCGTATTAAAACCTTGAGAACCTCGCAGCAGTATTGTCACCAAAAAAAAATTACTTCCTCTTATGAAATGTCAATAACAAGAAAGAGGTCAACATTTCTGCTTTGACAGTATATACATACCGACGAGAGAATAGACTAGGAAGTATACAAAGTTCATAATGAGAGATATATGACACATACTATCACGTGAGCAAAGTTTAAATAAATGGATTATATATTAAGTACATAATTTTTAAATATAACATGGTTTCATAGTGTAATGGTTATCATATCGGTCTTTGAATCCGGTGATCCGAGTTCGATTCTCGGTGAGACCTATTCTTTTAGCAATCTTTAGCATAGTAGTGTGTGTAGCTCTTTTTCTTACAATCTATTACTTGGTCCATTTTAGAAGAGTGAGAAGAGTTTCAGTCGAATAAATGGGGTTCGAGGATCAATTTTCTTTTTTTGATTTGGTTTATAAGGCTGAATGATTAGGGAAAGTTGTCTTGGTATCCATTTGGGATGAAATAGTGCTAAAATTGGCCATCCTCCTTTAAAATGTTTGCGACAACTTTAGGATAGGCATGTCAAAGAGAAAGACGTATACTCAAAGATCAATTAGACAGCTACCAGCTTAGAGGGTATTTACTATGGTCACTGGTAAGGAATTTTACTGAATTTAGTTTAGGAATATCAGATTGGTAGATGCTGATTATGTTTTCTCATAACCAACAATTCAGTTATCACTATTTTACCGCATAAACACATACAATATACAAGTATTATCCCACGATATAATCTGTATCAATCTTCATGAGCATCATTCAATGGCATATTCCGCAACCCACCAGCTGATGATCCTGGTGTAACTCCAGCTAACTCAACAAGCATAAGGATCTGATAAGAATAAATCCTTTTTATACCATAGCTTATATGAATTAATTGTAAAAAATACAATTCCTCTCATAATCTCACATTTAAATGCGCCTTTATGCTTTGATCTCAAGCAAATCCTTCATAATCGTTGATTCACTTGCTAATCTCAATAGTAGTGATGTAATTTGATAATACAGATTTCTTCATTAGGAAGATCTGATAGCAAAGGGATTTGTTTATTAATTTAATATGGTAATTTTTCATTCTTGATCAAGGTGCAGCGCAGATGCTTCACCATTTTAATATGGATCTCCTTGCTTGATGTTGAAAACTATTGTCCATTGCACCGCGGTAGATATCTTTGATGACCTTTCCACCCAAGATGGTTTCTTCAATAATTGGGCGACAATGACATGTTTTCACTCGACCATACCAAATACCACGTGTGCCTTCATTGATATAACAAATGACATTACCAGCAATTTTATGACCTATAAACAAATAAATTAGTCCATGTAATAAGCAATTCAGTTGAATCAAACTACCTCCAATATGGCTCACCATAATCACTGCAGCATCATGCTCACTTAAATCCTTTTCTCGTAGCACATGGTCCAATTCTTGAGCCAGTATGGGTGCTGTAACACCACAGCGTTTATCTCGCTTTCTATGAGAGCACAACAGCATCAGTGTCTTGTAAGGGCACTTTTGTATCAGCATCTGTCCCATACGGTCATCTCGCATTATAAAATCAATGTCCATGGGTTCCTTGGGTAGTGGTGAAGCTAGAAAGAGATTGTAAAAATCATCTGCATCTTCACAAGTGACATTAGACACCAAAATGTTATCTGGAAAGATGAGCACATCACAGCTATTGGGTATCGTTGAGTAGGTAGACGCCATAGAAGTGTTGGTAACCAGGTTTTTCCATGGATTTGATTTATTACTGCTTTCCACATTGTATAGAGCGTTTGCAAATGTTCCCTCTTCACTCTCAATCTTCTTGGGCCAATCCGATACACCAGTTGCAATGAGAACATGTCTGCCATAGGGTTTGACGCTACCCAAGATGGGGAAGTCCATTTCAATGTTGAGGTAGGATGGATACTCTTTATGTTCTGAGCACGGATCAGCACATCCCGTACAATCATCGACATCATCATCTTGGCAGTACTCTGCAGGTGGAATAGATAGAAATTCAGGCGGAGGTAACAGGTCAGGGTTTCCAAATCCTGCTAATGAACCGAGTGATTTTTTCATATAAGAGACCATGATGAATTGCTCTTGCTAATGTATGATATAAGAGGAAAAAATGGTGAAATAATGATACCAATTCTCTCAATTTATATAGACAATAACGAAAAAAGGTACACCAATCAAATCAATCAATTGGTCCTTCTGAGATTCAAGGTTGAGAAGGCTCCAGCCGAACTGGCGCGCACAACACAGAGCTTACGAGTGGGCCTTTTCGGACCCAATAGTAAAAAGATTAATAAATCAACATGTTTGCAACATGGGGCGGGGAGAAGATGTCCGTCAGTATGTAAAACAGTAATAGAAACACAAAATAGGGTTGACATGCGCGCGGGATATGTCTATTCCGCCTCCCAATGCTGCCACAAAATATCCATCATTGTCTTTTAAAAGGTGGGGATGAAGCAAGTGACTACAGTTGAGTAAGCTACACACACTTGAACCGGCCCTGGTAAAAGCTTCCTCTTGCTTTTTTAGTTTGACGGGTCCGTTTTTTTTCTCTTACATTATCCAAAGGACATGCAACGAATTTTCAACGTTTGCAACATGCGAAGATTGCCTCGCATGGTTGTGAATAATGATATTACAATTGGAAATCAAGTCAAACGGTCACTGCCATGCCTCAGCTACAGCACCATTGCGCCGACATCCACATCCACGGATCATCCTACTACTGCTGCGATTAGAAACAAACATTTAGAGTGGCAAAGTTACCAGAAACTAGAGCCTGAAAAGCTAAAAAAGCTAAAGCGAGACGATTTCCTCAAGATTCGAGCTGATTTATGGGGACGCAACGACTGGGGCAACGAAGATCGAATTCTGCGAGTTCTGGACGACATGAAGCAAGTCGGCATCAAGTGGACAGTCTATGAATACAACGAGTATTTCACAGCCAAACTATTCAAGACACAGTATGCGGATGTGCTGGACATGTATTTGGGAGAATTCCAGAACTCCAAGGTGAAATTGAGCACTGGTTCGTTCAATGTCATTTTGGCTACCTATATTCAGCTCGACATGATCCCAGAGGCCATTCAGTTGATCCAAGAAGCCAGCACCCAGTACGATGTTGTGCCTGATATCCGAGATTTCGATCGCACTATGAGCCGATGCATGCCGAAAAACACACGAGTGAGAGAGCGAGCCAAGGAGCTGATTTCTCAGCATGGATTCAAGAGCACCAAAACACTCAACACCAATCTAATGCATCTGATTGACAAGAGGCGGTTTGAGGACGTCAAGTGGATCTATCAGCAGCAAAAAGACAAGAAGCTCGACATTTCAACCTACAACATTCTCATCAAGGGATTCACAGACGCAAGGCTCATGCGTGATGCCACTCACATGTACAAGGAAATGCAGCGTCATGGCGTAAAGCCCAATGCTTATATTTGCACTAGTATGCTCTCTATCTATGCTCACTCACGAGACGTTGCTTCTGCAGAGCAAGTAGTGCGAGAGACCATCCTGGGTGGACACAAACCAGACGAGTTCCTGTACAACAATCTGATCAAAGTGTATTTCAAATGTCGACTGACGCACAAGGCGTTTTTAGCCTACCAAGAGATTGAAAAGGATCCTCGGCTCAAGGTGAACGATGTGATATTAAACACCATGATCAACGGGCTCGTCATCAACCGAGAATTCAACATTGCAAAGATGCTGTACAAGCAAATGATAGAGTCATCGTACAAGCCAGACATGATTACATTCAACACCATGCTGAAGGGATACACAAAGACAGGTGATATGCTATCGGCAGCTGGCATCATAGCCGACATGTTCAAGCTGGGCATGGAGCCTGACACTGTTACGCTCTCCACACTGATTGACTCCATCTTTAAGACCAAGGCGCCCGCTTCAGCCGAGGACATGATTGAGACAATCCGACAGATGGGCATGACGCCCAACATCTATACATACAATGCCATTATCAATGGCTGGATCGAAAGTGATAAACTGGATCAAGCGGAAAAGACACTGGAGATCATGAGAGGAACATCACAGCTAAAGCCCACGATTCACACCTACACCAACCTGATTCAAGGCTACATCAAACATATGCAATTGGGCAAAGCCATGGAGACATTTCAGAGCCTATTGCGAAATGGAGTACAGCCTGATAGAGCCACGTTCAATTTCATGATTGTTGGATTCTTGAATCATGATCGATTGGAGGACGCTTTTGCTTGTTTGAACCATATGCTCAACATGAAGCTGAATCCCACCAAAGATACCTGGAGTCTGATACTGGATGAATGCTGTCATAAAAAAAATTGGACCATTGGAAAGCAGGTGATTGATAGACTTGATTCAAGCGGGTTTACCGTGAAAAATGAATCTCTGAAACGTTCTTATACCATAGTAAAAAATCATTGTAAATAAATAAATAAAGTTTTGATAGTGTGTGCTTGTGTGAGAATATACACTGTATGTGCGTGTGTGTGAGGGGCATGAAGAAAGGGGGGGGGGAGGCTATATATATACATATACATATATATATATATATATATATATAATCTCTCCTTTTTTCTTTTTTTCTTGTTTTCTTTTTCTTTCTCTTTCTCTTTCTCTTTCTCTTAGTTTTGCTACTTGTTTATTTGTCAACAAACAACAACAACAACAGCAGCAACAGCAGCAACCACAACTCGATTCTACTTGACAATACTACCTTTTTGAGCGACCTGACAAGGGGAATGAACACCACCGTTGACAAGCACACTGGTCTATTGGATCTGCCAAACGAATTGGTCATGTATATTCTTGCAAATTTCCTTGATCTGAGCGATCTATGGCGTCTATACCAAACCAACTCCCAGTTGCGCATGTTTGCTTCTACCGTCATACAGACAACTTGGAAGATAGACATGAAATCCAGCATGAAAGTACAGTGCAGAGCGGCATTGATCGCACTGCAAGACATGGCCACACAGCACGCTCACATTCCGCTATCCATCACCACCAAAGAGGAGACAGAAGATGCTCTTTTGACAGTTGCTGCTGGATACGATAGCGAGAAAGAACAGGTACTGCAACAGAAAATCATGAGGGGTATATCTTCTTATAAGCATAAATATGTTTTGATTCAAGACATTGATATACGAAACCGCATTCGCACAGCCGTTGGATTGATTTTTCATCACGCGGTTTTCGTATCTGCTATTATCCGATGTCGCCGCTCCTCGATCTCCTCCTTTTGTTGCTCCTCCAGCACCACAACCTCCAGCACCGCAACCTCCAGCACCACCAGCTCCTCCTCCTCTCCCCCTTCAACCTCAATTTCAAGTAGTACAGAAACAAGAAAAACAAATGATAATGATGCACACCGTGCATTGGCGATAGCGATGGTGCGCTTGCTGACCAAATTGGACACCTCTTTTGACTCTTATCACCGAGAAGTTACGTATACATTAGCAGACGAAATAAAAGCATTTTTGGAATACACAGGGCATAAGCTACTAGCGAAACAGACACGACAGACACAACAACTGCTACTGCATAGCATGTCGGCTTGTTTTGATTTAATGGGCGCTGCGCTTGTGTTCAAAGTATTGGGCGACAACCATGTTGATTATGCGGTACAGAGGACATGCGAATTGTTTGGCTCAACGTGCGGTAACTTTAAAAGCGTCCTGTTGACAGATTTATTGAATCATTGGCTCATCATGAAACGAGAAGTGGGTACAAGCGAGCTGTGTAGATATGTTCGAATCGAGATTGAAAAGACGGGTTAGTCGTATAGTAGAGCGAACATGTGTATATTTTTAATCAAATAAAATCTTTTCTTTTGCTGTATCAAATATACAGTAGTAGAGACTTTATTTTGCAACCATGATTTATAGCAAAAAAAAAAAAAAATTACGTATTATATTATTTTACAATGTTTGTGTATGTGAGATGAGGGCTGAGTTTTGATAGTTAGAAAGAGTGTGAGATATATATAAATGAATAAAGTATAAGAATTACTACTAGAAAAGTTACGAGAATATATAAGCGATAATAATAATAGAGAGAGAGAGAGAGAGATAATAATAAGATAGTTTACGACCAACTTTGTGGGTGATTTGGATTCAAATTAGACCCTGGATGGGCTTGTTGTTGCTGGTGCTGGTGTTGAACGATACTCGCGTTCAGTGGTGAGTTGGATCTGATCAGGGGTAAATGCACATTGGCGACTGCTGCTGCTGCAACGGCTGCTGCTGAGGAAGAGTCTATCTGCTGCAAATGCCTCTGATGTTGCTCATACTCTTGTTGCAGCATGATACGCTGCTGGATCGATGTTGTCGATGGAGAAGCTTCACGTACAATAGACGAAGCTGAATTTGAGTAGTAACCCATTGAAGTAGGATAGCCTGCCATTCTTTCTGTCGTGGGCTGTTGCTGCTGTTGTTGGCGATGGACGACAAGCGGTGCAGGCGAAGCAGGCACATGCTGAGGATAAGAAGGTGCCGTATTCGTCATGGCATTGGGATCAAAGTTAAAGTTGATGTCGCCTGTTGCTGCTGCAACTGCTGCTGCTGCTGATCCATTGTAAGTTGAAGACGGCGTAGGAGGGTGTGGTGTATACGCTATGATGTATCATGAACAAGTTAGCCCCTTGCTCTCTCTCTTCTAGCTTGGTCTCAAATCCTCTCTCACTTACTATCATTGCCACCATTGTAACCCGAGGACATGATCATATTGGTTGAATCTGGTATGGGTGGCGACTGTAGCATATCATTGTTGCCACTGTTTCGATAGCTGTTGTAATCTACACGTTGCTGCAACGAAGACGTAGAAGATGGGGAGGAAACAGGAGATGTCATTGTAAATACCGAGCTGACACCAAAAGAAAGTTGCTGATGGTGATGCGGATGATGTTGCTGTGGATGATGATGATGGCGCTGCTGCTGCTGGTGATAATGGTGCTGTTGCTGCTGATGATGATGGCGATGTTGCTGGTGGTGGCGGTGCTGCTGCTGAGGGATAGCTGAAGCAGACGAAGCAGCAATCAAGTCAGTAAACGCTCTTCTGTTTTGCGAAGAAGGCTCAGACAGAGATCTCAATGGCTGAGACCGTATATACAAAGTGCAGCTTGGAACCGACATGACCTGAATACCTTCATTGCGCAGAGCAGCCGCAGCTGCAGCACTAGTTCTTCTCTTTTTGCTAAACATATCGTTCTCCTGGTGGTGCTGCTTTACATTAGGTCTTCTGTTCTTGTCAATTTCAGAGTGTATCATGTCAAGTTGCAGATCTACCATCGAGTCCACCATTTGTTGGTTTGGAATGCGCGATAAATGCTTGTAGTTTTCCAGCATCTTGACCAACTCACCCTCCACGCAAGACGCCCAGTCTTCATTTGCAGCAACCACAGAGCATAGGCGAGTAGAAGCCATGACCAAACGTTGCACCTTGTCCACAACACCTTTTTGACGCATCCTTTTACGCTCTTCTACCAAACAATTTGAAAATCGACGGTCATTCCAGGTGATGTCTGGGAATTGCAGCTTGATAGTATCACGAATTTCATCTGTCTGCATATTCTTTTGGCGCGCGAGTTGAATAATACGGTCGTACACTTCTTGCGGCCAGATGGATGGCTCATTGTCGCTGAGCAGATGATTATGCTCAGATGCTTGTGGGTTCAGTGATTTGCGAAAGGTCCATTCGTTGGTCAATTCGTTTTCTGTGAGCACCACACGCCATTTGCACTCTGGAGCAGCAGTATATGGAGTAGACACATTTTTCAGTGAGGAGGGTCGTTTTCTCAGTGGTGGTGTCTGTTGTTGCTGAAGAGCAGCAGTAGCAGCATCCGAAAAGAGTGGATTATCATGTGTGCAATAGATGTAGATGCTCTGAAAGCACGGTGTCAGCTTGAGCGTGCTATGGGGGGTCTGCATTTGGCTACATACTACTTACTCGATTTGAATTGGGTTCTTGCTTGATCGAAAATCCGTATTCTTGACACGCTTCACGACAGAATTCAATAGCGTCTGTACTGGAGGCGAATTTCTGTTGTAATAATTGATCGTAGAGTGGTTCCATCTAAGGGAATGAATCAATACATGCTCTGATGTTGGGGTATTTCTATGGCTTACAACCGATAAAGTCTCTCTATCTATAGTCATGTTTGATTCATATATTACGCAATGGATCTCTCTGATTTCTTTTTTTTTTTTTTTTTTTGACAGCAGAAATGAAATTTCAAGGGGTGGAGGAGAGAGAGAGAGAGAGAGAGAGAGAGAGAGAGAGAGAGAGAGAGAGAGAGAGAGAGAGAGAGAAAGAGAGAGAGAAAGAGAGAAAGAGAGAAAGATAGATTAAAATGAAAGAAGAGGCAAGAATACAAGAAAGAAAGAAGCAAAGGAAAAAAAATAGGACCTTTACGAATTTCTATTTGACTCTCTTTGTTGTTGTTTGTTGCTCTTTTCAACCCCTTATTATTGGGAAAAGGAGGGAATGTGTGTGGTGTATAAACAGAAAAGTAAGGAGGTGGTGTGAGAAAGAGAAGTGTAGCACCCATAATGTTGGACCACAAGTCAAAATCCACGCCACGCTTATAGCAGCCGATGAGAAGCCAACATGTGCCGTGTATGTGTGCTCATCAGGGCTCAATGTCATGGTGATCTCTTTGGTTTGCGTGGGCAAAAGACAATGAAATGGCAAAAGGGAAATCTGACATGTTTGGGCGGGTGGATCCAATTCACCCCACCCAAAGGGAGTAAAATCAGTTTATCCTCCCCTTTCATCAAAGCCATCTCCTTTATTATTGACACATACATCCAAACCTTTTTATTTTGCTCCCCTTTCAAACAAATCAATCAAATGATACGGTTCAGGGGCATAAAAAAAGAGGGATCAAGGAGGCAAACCAAAAGGTTTTGGCGGGCTTTTCTCATTTGATGGATGCATCTCACTGTAGAGGAAATGATTTAATATGGAAAAATGCCATTTTTTTCATTATTCTTGACCATGATCAAATTTAGCTTCTTCGCAAGTGTGTCATTCCATCACCTCCTCAAAAATAGTCAGCATATGACTCATCTATTTACAAAACACTAGAAATCCTATTTAACCATATACAAGTTAGAATCATGCTCATGTCATTTTGTATACATGATTCAAGGGTGGCTTATCATCTTATCTGGAGAGCCAGAGAGTTGGGAGCATAATCTCGTTTTTTTTTCTAAGTTTGAATTTGACTGGATTAATAATGTAAACTAATGAGAAATGGGCCCCTTCCCTTCATCCGCCGGCTTGTTCTTTTTCATTGCATACACGCATTTCAATATATTATGCCACATCTCGAATTAATCGCTACATTAGAAGGTATACCATAGAATGACAGTAGTGATACCACGCCGACATTAACACTACACACTTGAAAAAAAAGGTCATCAAGACCGAGTTTGGCAAGCATCTTGGCACCCAACAAAGACTTTGCTAGCAACTTGCTCAGGCGATAAAACTGTGCGTTTATGGAAACCAGCTTCGCACAACAATTTCTCAGAATGGCACTGTGTAGAGACACTGGAAGGAGCACACAAGCGTACGATCCGTAGTGTTGCATGGTCGCCCACAGGCAACGAATTGGCCACTGCTAGTTTTGATGCTACAACCGGCATTTGGGAAAACGATCCACGAGACAACGATTGGGAATGTGTAGCTACTTTGGAAGGTCATGAAAACGAGATCAAATCCGTGTCCTGGTCTTCCACTGGCGCCTTGTTGGCTACCTGCAGTAGAGATAAAAGCGTTTGGATTTGGGAGGTGGAATCAGACAACGATTTTGAATGTTTGAGTGTGTTGCAGGAACACACACAAGACGTTAAGATGGTAGCATGGCATCCCAAGCTAGAGATTTTGGCTTCTGCTAGTTATGATGATACAATCAAGATTTGGAAGGAGGATGAAGATGATTGGTACTGTGCTGATACGCTGGAAGGCCATACATCGACTGTTTGGTCTCTTGATTTCGATGCAGAGGGCGAACAAATTGGTAAGCTATCCAGTTTATTGAGATGTGTGTGTGTGTGTGTGTGTGTGTGCTATTCTAAGACGTAATAGTGTCTGCTTCTGATGACCAAACGTTGCGAATCTGGAAAATGTATAAGCCCAACAACCCACAGGGTATTCCAACACACAATGGCGAGGCAACATGGAAGACCATCTGCACATTGTCTGGTTTCCATGACCGATGCATCTATTCAGTGTCATGGTCCAAGGTAAACAACTGCATTGCCAGTGTCAGTGGCGATAATAGCATTCGTATTTTTGAAAAGGTAAGGACACGGCGGTGGATCCATTCACATGTACTGATCGCATCTACAGGATACGGAGGCTTCAACAGACGACGATGCACCTACATGGAAAAACACAACCACCATCAAAGACGCTCATGGTGTATACGACATCAACGGTGTTTCGTGGTTCCCCAACGACCAGCATGCAGACTGGCTCTCGACAGTGGGTGATGATGGCCTCGTTCGTATTTGGAGACTGGTTCAAGACTAGTTTTTATTCAGCTGTGTCCATATCTCATTCAGCCATCCAGATATCTCGTTAATATGTGCCAATACTCTTTCTCTCTCTTTATCTGATCCCTTGAATTTCTTCATATATCTTGTAATAAACTTGTCAGGATGATATCTTGTTTGCTCTTTTCGCACATGCTTCTTCATTTCGCTGCTTTCTTTGGCGCTGTCCACCACAAACGATCGCACCGAGTCCAGACTGAAGGTTTTGCCAACAATGGGCCAAGGAATATCCTTTTTGTGTATCACATCCAACGAGTCCAGTTTCTGCCATTTTTCTGCATAATCTGATTTGCTGTTATTGATATTCTTTAGTTGCGTATAGGCTTGTTGTAGTCGTATTTGTTCAGCATGGCGTCTTTCTTGCTCTAGCTTGATCTTTTCTCGTTCTTGTCGTTTCTTTTCTTTCAGTGCTTGCCGCTTCTCTTCCGCAGCAATGTCGTCTGCGTGTGTGCGTCGATACATGCCATTGACAATATGCTGGCGGTATTCTTCTTCGGTCATGGTATCAGACGGTGTTGGCTGTGAGTACGTGGTATAAAATGGATCTTGTCCTTCGTCGTCTATCATGGCATCAAACAAATGTTCTCGCCAGGCTGTCTCGTCCTCTTTGTATGAACTAGAAGGTGGCACCCATCCACCTTCTTCCTCGTATAATGTAGGTGGTTTATAAGGCTTTTCTTTCTTCTTTTTGTGCTTTTTACGTCTTTCGTCATGGCGGCTATGCTTTCTTTCTTTCTTTTCGTGTTCTTTGTAGCGTAATTTGGGCATGGTAAGTGTGTGGTTGATGATAATGGAGAAGAGAGATGTAAAACAGAAAAAGAAAAATGCCTCTTTAGCAATAAAGGGAGTTGGAAATAAAATAGTCTTGCTTGATGTTGTCAGTGCGCTTCCTTAAGATCTGTCTTCAGTTGCAGGTAGAATGTGGAATTTAGCATGACCAAACCACAATGAAGTTACTTATAGTCAAGCGTTTTTCAACACAACATTTTTCAGCATCTGGTCCATCGATCTATCGCGTGTAATTACTCGCCATTAATAGGTTCTTATATAAAACTTGTTACTGATAACTAATCATTTTCAAAAATCACAAATTTCTCAACAGCAACTCGTTCTAACAGAAATCCAATTGTACGATCGTATTCTTGGCTGAAAGTTGGTGTAAGAACATGACGCTTTGAGAGCTCTAGCATCAATATTTTAAAACTGGATTTTCAATCGTTTAACGATCGATATAGAAAATCGATTTGTACAGTAAATTCAGAACCTGATGCAAGCTAAGAAATAGCACTACAAGAATGTGAATTCTATGGTACATCAATACCCGACAAAGCATGTTTAACGATTGGGAAACTCGGGAAGCTTGGTAAACCAGCTAAATGACATTGTAGGGCTTGCATTTTTAAACGGGGGAATATGCATGCTTTAAATTGCAAACCTTATTATTATCGAGCAAAGCAAGCTACAACTGTCTAGTCTTAAAGGCAAGATTCTCCAACATATCAGGTATCTATTGATCACTTAAAACCAGCAAGTTAATATGGCCCTTTTCGTACGCTCCGATCTTTTAAAATGCTTGGTCAAATTCATACATGTGCCGTGTACACATGCAAAGGCTAAACGGAGATTCAATTTCTATTATTCTAAATGATGATCCATGGGATTCCGAAATCTATCGACCTTAAAACTACTTGATTCTTGATAGTAAACACCCCTTCAAACTTATATGAAACTTGTGAAGAAATCAAAGGAAAATCCAATGATACCCATATCAAACGTTTGCTGTACATCATTCACCTGATATTTAATGAGATAAATTTTGCGATTTTTTCACTGTTTTCTAAAGATTAATTAGTATCTGTTATCAAAACATCTTGTTAATCATTACTAAGCATTGTAGATCAAAAAGTTTCCTATCAAATGAGCTATCGCTTGAAGCCCTGGCATAACTCTATCATGAAATATTGACAATATTGTCCTGACCAAAAAATCGTCACCAGATTTTTCGCTTGCTATCACAGGCAGATTTTGAAGGAAAATCCACGATTTTGCATAATACCCTTTTTTGGCCGTATCTCGACAAATACTCACCGTATTCGCACAAAATAAAGACCGTTCGATAGCTCTACGTTATATCCAGCATGGTGTAAAGGTTTTAGGCACCAGATGTATCTTCCTTTTATGAATTCGTTCAAAACCTCATATTTTATGAGCTACAAGCAGAGGATTTTCAAAACTCAAGAAATAAATTAATAAAAACCATACCATCGCATAGAGAATTGAAAAAGAAACAGAAGATATTAAGCTGGAAACTCTCGTTCACTTAGTAAAATATAGCGGTATGGTCCTCTGAAAATCGGTCATCTGGAACATTTTCCGTCACTACTCATTGGCATCGCCCTCAATAGCTCCACAACAAACATGTCCCAGTCAATCAAAGTACCCTCTACAACGTTTACTACTAATACATTCCACATTCATATAGTAATTTAAAAAGTGTTACTAGCAGTATCTATTCAAAATGAACTATTTTCTAAAATCTCCATTTTCTCAACAACCATGCTACCTACAGAAATTTGGTTTGCACCATTGTCTTCTTCAGAGCACAAGCGGAATTTAAAATAAAACAAAAACGCAGACTTTGGAGTTTAAAAATACAAAGACAGTTTCCTAAAATAGATAGAGGTTATTTGTTGGAAGAGCTCCTAAAATGACTGAAAACATTTAAATTTTTAGGTAGTATGAATCTGTTGAGGTAACTATACATTTTCTATATAATGGTCAACGGGCGTACCTGGGAGTTTTTTCTTTTTTTTTTTTTTTTTTTTGAATAAATGAGCTGGTTAGGCGATTTGCGTTTGTGTTTCTGTAAGATTTTTATTCCAATATCTTATCAACTTGAGTCACTGTTGAAAGAGAACCTAGACGGCTTCACTCTTATTAGATCTGCATAAAATGCAAATTGCCAAAAGTAGCTTCATATATGTCGTAATATACTCCTATATTCTTGTTTATTAAATGCTTTATCACGTTCTCTAATGTGCCAGTTCGTACCATGGAGTAATAATTGAAAATAATTGACATACAGTGGCTTTCATCATCTAGTTAATGCCATTTGGACAGGCATGAGAGCTTACAAGCAATTGTCTGATATTCACGTATACAGATTAACCTGGGCAGTGAAAAGGATAGGAAGAAAACAATTTGAAAAGAGTCGTGCGATGACTCTACGCTGTAACTCTTGGTAAATCATTCAAATGATTATTTAAATATTTTAATGGTTTGCTCTGTAGGCTAACAGATGTGCTGAAGCATCGAATAGTTATTAAAACGAAGTTTTTTAAAAAAAAAACCTAGCATGGCACCGCATCACATCACATATAGTATGGTCTTTGGATAGCATCATCATACAATGTGTACCACGTTCAAGAAAAGGTTTTTAGAATGTACTTTGTGTTTTTTTTATTATTACTACAACTGCTTGTGAATTACTATATAAAGTTCGCACTGAATCAAACCTTGTATTATGTTGCTGTAAGGTTTCCTTTTGATTATGACGAAGGAAGTGGTTATTATGTTGGTACATGACCTTGTTTTAGTCTGAGCCTGGGAGATATTCGTCTGGGATTCTCATCAGACTCAGACTGATCCGCATCGTCTGAGTACAATGGGTCGTTTTCCTCTAAATCAGGTTGATGATCATCAGATTCAGTTTGAGAGCTGTCGTATCCAGTAGGTGTGTCATCAATTTTGGTGGGAAGATCAGCAAAGCGAACACGTTTTGTAGTTCGACGACATAGTGCCATCGGTTTATTTGGCGTGTTGACAGATTCAGCTTGAGTTTCACTCGAAGCAGCATTGATTTTTGAAAATTCAGTAGCACTCTCGATGACGGTAATAGCATTTTTGGTGGATTGGATATGATTTTCAGAGGGTGAAGCTTTAGTGTCAGCAGATTCGATATCAACGGTAACGATTTGAGGGCGAGATTCATATTCGGGTGATTCGCCTTGATCTATTTCCGCTTTGCGAGTACGAATGAGTTCAATGATATCGGCTCTGGATTCAGTGTCATCTTCGTCGTGATGCAAGGATATAATTTCCACATCGTGTGTCAAAGACAAGTGTCGAAGGTAATAGGAATCTTTGTAGAGTGGCATATCACACGTTTTACAAAAGAATTTGGGTGTCGAGACACGTTTTAGCAAATGCGGCCGCAGCGCAGGATCATCCATTTTGTGCACGTTGCGGCAGTGTCTCTTGTATTTTTGCTTTGATGTGAATGTATGCTCGCACACTTTGCAATGATTGTGTGGATCGTATACGTCTGGTGTTCCCTCCTTTACAATTCTACTCTTCTTTTGCACTTGCATTTTATGGATTTTTTCACAATGTGTTCTAAAGGCTCCTTTGTTCTTGAACTTGTACTCGCACGATGCACAGTAAAAGTCTGGATTATCCAAGTCAGGTGTAATATCAGGGTTGGCCTTTCGTTTAAGAGGTGGTAGTTCCATATTGTGTTGCTTTTGTAAATGGTAGCGATGCATGTACTTGTTTCTCAGATATTTGTCGCATATCTCACAGTAGAATTTGGGGTCCTCGTCAATCACGTAGGTGGGCCTTCGCAATGGTTTCAAAATCATATGATGTGCGTTTTCCAAATGGTCTCGATACCTCATACGTGAGATGAAATACATGTCGCAAGATCGGCAATAGTGATCTGGATCACTAACAACAGGCTCCAGATCCATGTGTGTGAAAAGATGAGGACGAGGATGAACGTTGTGCTTTGCCATACGGTGTTCTACCAATCCTCTCAGATTTTCTAATACTTGATTGCATGAACGACAACGATAGTAGTAGTCCTTGGCAATAGGTTGCTCTGTTTGCCAAGGAAATCAGCGTCTCATTTCATAAGATCCAAATATAACTTACCTCCTGGAGGCTTAATGTCCACAACCTCTTCCTTTATGATGTCTTCCTCAATATTGCCGTCAGAAACATTCTCGTGTGCCTTGTCTGTCTCCATTGGCGCTGACTGCTGTTGCGTATCTGCTGGCATTGGCAACTCTTGTACATCTGCTTGCACTGATTGCTGCTGCTCATCTGTTAGTGCTGGCTGTCTCTGGGTATCTGCTGGCTCCTGTTGCTCTTGGGTATCTGGCTGCTCTTGTGTATCTACTGGTACTGATATCTCTTGTGTATCAGTTTGCATTGGCTGCGGTTGTGTGTCCATTGGCTTTGACTGCTCTAATGCATTTGTTACATCTTCTTCTGTTTGACTTTGCGTCACCTCTTCATCCTCCAACAAAGGCGCCATCCCTTCGTCCTGCAACAAAGCTTTGGCAGCATTCAAATCCTCTTCATCTTCTCCTTTTGTTCCATTATTGCTTGGATTGCTCATTGCTAGCTGATTTTTCACATTTTCTTCATTCAATAAGGAGTCTTCTGCTTTAATGTTTTGCGCGATCTCATTTTGTAGTATGTTTCGAAAAGTTGGTTTAGTGTCAAATGGCAGTGCTGCTGCTACTTCTTCTGTGTCTGAGAGGGAATCGATTTCTGGTGATTCTTGTTTCCCAAGCAGCTTGGCCTCTTCCATTTTCTTTATGCTTTGCATGTTCTCTCTTTTTATGAATAGAAAAGGGAGTGCGAAAAAAAAGGTGAAGAAATATGCTTTGAACAAAACTTTTTAAGCCACTTTTCATCGGAAAAGAAACGTTTGTGAAAAACAAACCTCAGCAACTATTGTATGTGTTCATGCTGAATGCTCTCCTTTTGAAGGTAAGCATTTCAATTTCATTTCAATTTCATTACAAACTCAACATCAACCATTACTGACATAAAACTCGAAAGGCGAGCATTTGATCAACATAGTTCATATAAAAAAAAAGCCAATTACATTATTTACAATATGTACAGATTTTATTCAATCGTTTAAAACTAGCAGTTTAACGGGCTCCCCAGTTGTCATTGTTAAAGTCACCACTGTTAAGGTTGTCATTGTTAAAGTCACCACTGTTAAGGTTGTCATTGTTAAGGTTGTCATTGTTAAGATTGTCATTGTTAAAGTTGTCGTTGTTAAGGTTGTCATTGTTAAGGTTGTCATTGTTAAAGCTGTCTCCCATACGATCGTTGTTGTTGCCACTGAGACTGCTCTGCATGTTTTGCTTGCCTTGTTCAACTTGTTGACCAGTATTGCCCATCTGGTTACCAGCTTGACCTTGGTTCTTTTGAGCCATACCCTCAGCCTGCATCTTTTGGTTACCGGTAGCTCCACCTACAGCCTTCTTGATACCACCAACAGCTTGATCGATTTTAGAGTTCATTTTGATTTCAATAAGATTTATTAAATTTAATTAAAAAAAAAGACAGTATTGAATTTCTCCCTTTTTATATACAATGGATAAGGGTTTCGCAATATGGGGTTATATTGGTCATGATAACGTATTCATGATGATGAATCACGGGATTTTAGGATTCAATGGCTCGGTTTCGCACAAGTTCAACAAGTCGAGTTTGATCTTCACGCGTGCATTTCAAAAGTGTTGTCAGAATTGGGATCAGTTGGGCCTAGGAGATGATGGATCCAGATGAATATCATTACAAATGTTTTGCATGAAAAGTGACTCAAGAAGCTTACCCTTGTACATTTTCTCTCTAAAAACTTGATGATGACATTACGAAGGTATTCTATATTGACGAGATCCTCTTGCACTTTGCTGATCTTTCGTACTTCATCACGCAATGTCTTGTTGATGGTTTTGAGGTAGTTTTCACGGATTTTTGCTTGATTGAGTTCATCCGATTGCTTTGATACAAGGCCAGTCTGGAAAAAAAAAAAAAAAAAAAAAAAAAAGTCAGTGACGATATCATGATAATATGATGGAGCCTGCAAAGTATACGTTACATGTTCAGCATTCATTTCATCATACTTTGTCTGCCAATGCTTCAAAGTGAGCTCTGTTTCCTCAAGTTTCACCTTGCAGTCATTATAGTGTTTGACAGTAATTGCTAAATCCTGTCTTGATCTGCATAAATCTTGGCTTAATTTAATATCCGTCGAATCGGTTGCTTTGTTATTGTTGTCACTACATTCTTGCTGTTGTCTAAGATGGCCCAATTCTGTGGATAGGGACTGTAGAGTAGATTCAGCTTGTTCAAGTGCGTTTTCAGATTCTTTCCATCGCTTTTCAAGGGTTTCTGCTCGCTCATTTTCGATTTGCAATGCGCCACGGGTTGCATGATATTCATCTTGTAGTTGCTCTAATTCTTCTTGAAGCGAAACCTGGGCGGACTTGAGTTGTGAGAGGGATGGGATGTGGTCCGTCTCGTCTACCCATGCGAGCAATGCTAGTAATTTGTCTTGATCCAAGAGGCTCAGTTTGGAGACAAGCTTGAGCAGTGTGGATGAGGACGAAGGTGATGCCTCTATGTCTTCTGATTCGGGTGGTGGTGACAGATAGCCTTGTTGTAAATTGAAGCCCTCCATGATCTTGTAGGCTTTTTTCAGTTCTTGGCGAGTTGTATCAGCCTCTTGCATAAAATGCAGCACATTCTTTTTCGATTCCTCTCTCTCCAGCCTCAGTTCTTCAATTTCATTTGTCAAACGAGCGACCTGCTCTTGTAATTGTTTCTTGTTGCTAGATGAAATCATCACCATGGGAGGAGGTTTTTAATATATATATTAAATCAAGTTTGATAAGAAAGAGAAAGAAAAAGGGTATAATATATGAACTCCAGTGCAACACAAGAATTAAATGAGAATAAATAGGGGCAAGGAAACACAAACAAATAACCAGCCCCTCTCGCAATACTCAATTTCATTGTGAAATTGGCTGTAGTTGGAATATTTGCTGGTAGAGAGGGTTTGATCTATCCAACATGGTGCCTAATATAAGCGCTTCTTTGGACTTGTGTCCATTTTGTAAACAATCAACGTTTTTCTCTTGTATTACTTGTTGTAAATGTCCCTAAAAAACGTGGTGTTAGTCGTTTTGGTGTGAGTGTAATTTGTGAAAGCCTCTGTTTACGTCAATGACACTTCTAATTTCGATGAATTGCTGTTCAAATGCAATCACGTGTGGATAATGGAATGCAAAGGCTGTCGGATGCCCTTCCCATTCAATCTTGAACTTGTGCTGAGAGCGTCTACCCTTTCTGTCAATGTAAAACGCGAATCCTTTCAATGGTATTAGTGTCATACGCGTCGTATCGAAGGCACTCGCTGAACTACTTACTGTCGTAGCAAATGAGATAGTCTCCATTTGGCACTGGAAACACGGCAATACGCTTTATTACCGGATTCATCTTGATTTGCTCATCGACCTTTTCATGTCGAGTGATAAACTCCAAGTATTTGTCTGACGGATCCAGTAAGCGATCCGCTTTTTTTGTCTTCATATCCACCGCAATGATACCCACAGGCGTAGTCAGTAGCAGCATGGAACGGGTATTGTCAATAGCCCACACATCGCAGGGGCTGTAGATTGGCTTGAGATGGGTTACCTGTGTGTTGATCAGTGACAGTGAGCTGGTGGATCGGATGGACAGTCTGCCCAACAGACTCTTCTTTTTCATCTCGGTTTTTGGCATGGAGGGCTCATACAGATCGATTTCAGTGCCATTAACAGAGGACGACTTGGGCACACAGATCAGAGTTTGCCCCAAGCACTCGCCCACATGAAAAAATGAGACGTTGGATCGTATTTTTCTTCCAAAATGCTGTATACTTTGACTTCCATCAGGTCTGCCATTGATAGTAATGTCCAGCGGGTATTGCCATAGTATGTGATCCGCTAGCACAAGCAACAGTTGGTAGTCTTCCAGGACATGCACTTGATATACTTTCTCTAGCGGTAAAATCTTGCGTGGTATGCCTGTGCCATTGTTCGGGCCAATGTAAAGCCCACCGTCTGTCGCTAGTAAATAGGATTGCCCCTGATCTAATTCGAATGGGTCAGTACATATAGCCCCATATTCACATTTAAAACACCTACCAAATATCACCATGTGGTGGGCTCTAATCTCTGCAAAAAACTCATATCGTTTGACACTGTCCACTATATCGAATAGAGGCTGTCGTTTAAGCTTGATTTCTCGCTGCTTTTGTATAATCTCGTTCCATGTCTTTCGGTTGTGCTCGGTTGGGGCATACAACGTATACATACTATCCACATTTCTGCCTTGATGAAAGAGTGTAATAGGTGCGCCCTGTTTGGGGCCACTATCCAGGATTTGGTTGTGTGCAGTGCTGGGAGCTATTCTGTTGTTGTTACTACTGCTAGGCGTATGTGCAGGTGCTGGTGATGCCAGCGAAGAAAAGAACAGTGTGCCAGTCGATTTCTTTCGTTGCAATGTACAGAGGTCTGGCAAAGGCGGCAGGATGACACCTAATAATTCAATGGGAATAGGCTTGTTCAGGAGCCAGTCAGTCAACATTCACTGCCTCTGGTTCATCAAGCCCAACAACTACTCACCCTCTTTTGAACACAGTAATGCTCCACTGCATTCAGCACTTTGACTTTTGCAGTCACCAGATAATGATCAAACAAAATGACCTGATACTCTGTTGAATCCATGCTTGCTGTCTTTCTTAGCGTGCCTTGCTTTATAATGCTTCTGCCTTGATCCAGAAGGCGCAGATCCATGATATCTCTTTTATTTTTAAATGTTAAATGGCGATGTATCTGCTCCAAATCAAATCGGTTCTTGGCTGCTCCAGCCGCACTGTTCACTCTCTGCAATAGCTGCTTGATGGCATTGATGATGCGTGGTATATTATCCTTGTCGGGGTGATTGGGTGATGTGCGAGCGTGTATCTTGTCCAGCAGCAGCGTGTACCTGCCAAGGCGAGTCGTGGGTTTTGTGAGGTAGCCATTCAGCTCTAATTTTCTCGATGAAGCGTCTCTTTCCGTTTGCTATGAGGCTATGTGGTGAGTGGATGTTTCCATACAAGACACACACACACACATACACACACACACAAAAAAAAAAACTTACCTCGGCAAATAGTGCAAATTTAGGATTGTTGTATCTCTCATGTTCGTATACATGTTTAGCCTGATGTTGTCTAGCACCGTAATAGACAAACGGTTCAAATTCAGTTGTAAAACGTTCCATGATATCGCTTATTTGTGACACAATAGGATGTTGAGATTGTCTTGCTCGAAGTGCTAGTGTTAATGCAGTACTAATGTTACGAATGTCTATGAGATTTGAAAAGACCTTGTCCAGGAATCGCTCTCGGCGTTGTATAGGGATAATGTCGCTGTTCTTGAGGGGCTCCATCCACATTTTGATCACATAGTCCAAGTCGTTCAAAAAATTCTCTTCTGTGTAAATCAACTCAAAGATGGTTTCTTGTCGCTTTCGTTCTGTCGCAGGCGTAGAAAGCACAATGTAGTCGTCGATGGTTTGACTCCATAGCTGCTGATGTTTCTCAACTTCGTAAATGTAGGCCGTCACTCGTTTCTCTCTGGTGTCTACACTATGAGGCCTTTTTCTCTGTCGACAAAGAGGGATGTGGTATTAGTAGTCTACCTTTTGCATACAGTTGCGTATATTTTTACCAGTCTTTCTCTTTTGGGACAGGTGTAACTGTAACACGGATGTATATTATCACAAGTGGGAGTATAGCAATGAGTGAGTTCTGTATAAATACCGTTGGGCAGTAGCAAATGGCTATTGCTGTTGTGATTGTGCGGCTGCTGATGCTGGCCTTGTTGTTGCTGTTGCTGTTGTTGACTATGACTTGGAGAGTGCGTGCTTGTGGCTGCTGTGGTGTCGGTATGAAGTGAATCATGATCGTCATCCTCTTCTGCCTCATCTTCACTAGCGTAGTTTCCAATAATGGTCGAAGTAACCGAAAAAGAGTTGTCCCAACCGCTGCTGTTACTGCTTGTCGTACTCGTGGTACTTGAGCTTCGATTGTTGCTGTGGAATAAGACTTGATTAAATTGATAAATTTCGATAATGTCATCAATGAGTCTATTTTCATAATTGACATCATGAAAGAACCGTTGTGCCTCCAATGCTCTGCCTACTCGCAATGCAAGTGAACGATCTGTTGTACCGAGAATCTCTTTCAATTTGTCCTATTATGTGTTGTTAATGGCTTTTGAAAACACATGCCCCTTCCTCCCTCCAACGTACAATGGCCTCTTTTCCATCAAACACATTGTTGTACTCGATGTCGTTTTTGATTCTGTCATTCGTGATAATGCGTCTCTTCAGTTCAAAGGCGATGCTAGATAAAAAGGCTCGGTAGTAACCTGATGTAGAAGCAGTAGCAGTAGCAGTAGCAGTGTTACTGTACATCCTGAACGCACCCTGCTGCTTATTCTCGGGTATAGCAGACAACAGTCTGTTGTTGGCCTTATCTTGATACAATGCAGTCATTTTACTTTTGTTTGTAAATGTCAATGGCGGTGTAGTGGTTGAATTATAAGAAGATAGGGTTTGACTGGTAACTGAATCAGATGCAAAGCTGTTTGCAGCAGATTGCGGCACATTATCCTGGACATGACGATTGTAGCGCTTAGTGTTTCCGTTCGTCAGTAAATTCGTATGCGTCGAGAATGACACAGATGATGTGGAAGGCCTTGGCTTGATGTATGGTTGTTGTGGTGATTGTTGCTGTGGTTGCTGCTGAGTCCTCGATGCAGTTGTAAGTGACCTTCTTAGGCCGAATTTTAATGTAGCATGTTGAAGTAATTGGCTGCTGTTTCTTTGTAATAATCTCGGCTTCTTTTCGCTTAAGTTGTTTGATGCAGCAATCGTTTGTGGTGGTAGACTCATCTGTCAAATATAATTATTGTATTTTACATGTATATTGAAATTATAGGAATCTCTTGTCTTCAATGATGTTGGAAGTTAAGAAAAAAAAAAATAAAGAAAGAAAGAGGGATTTGATAAGGATAGCCAAACTAACCAAGATTTAAAAAAGCTCGCCTCACCCCCCATCCCTACACGTGAAGGCTACACAAAGCTAAAGAGCTTGGTTAAAATCCGGTATATTAGTTACAAAAGAAGCCGTTGAAAGACATAGGCAATACTCTCTGTTGATGGCATGTATATGATCATTTACTTAGCTTTTCGAAACGCATCCATGTACTCAGAAACTGCAAATAATATCATTGCTAAACGTTGTCGTGTACTGCATGCTGTGAAGTTCTATTCGAGTATGATAGATGGTTTATGATTTATGAAAGACTTTTTTGCATTCGATGATGCCTTAGAATATAGATTGAATAAACTAAGAAATTCTATTAGTTGCCCGTTAGCTTCATTATGTTCGCCTGCTGAGCACAGGCTGCTTTGTTTGTTCAATGCAGATGACTTTGTTCCCATCTGCAAACCCTGAAAATGAGCATTGGTTTGAAGGTAGACTACAATGTGTTCATCATTGTTGTTGTAGATAGCTACACGATGTCTAATGCCATGTGAAGAAGTAAGAAACTACTGTATAGCGGTGGCGGTAGTATTCATCATATCAGCTACACCATACCTTTTCTATCTCAACATCCCTCATATTTACTACCTCTTCCATCTCCACATCCTCATTCCAATTGCTTCCTCCATCACTAAATCTTCTCCTCGTCAGCATCCACCATCTCGATGTCAATACCAATAGGTGCAGCCGATATTAATAATGCATCAAAGGCTAATCATTACACATCATTTATCTCAGATCAAGGAGCTGTGAACATGAGTAGTCTTTGAAAGTAGATGATGATAATAGATAGTATGTTGGATGTTTATTCAGGACGAAAGTTACTAATAGAGAGAGTGTATATAAAGATACAAAATGTGCAAAAAAAAGAGCAAGGCAGTAAAAAAAAAATTAGTCAGTTTCTTCAGTGTGGTAGCCACTACGTCTATTGTCATGAATGAAAGATTAGTCAACAGACTTCAAATAGCTCAACACATGCAAAACTTACCTCATTTCTGCTAAAACACGGCGAGCATTTGTCAATTCAGAATCCAACTTTAGGATTTTGACTTGTTGCTCCATTTCTCTACGCTTGAATTCATGAACAGACAACTTGTTAAAGTCAATGTCAGCTGTCTCGCTCTTGTTTTGTTCGGCTACAAGGTTCTTGATTTGTTTGACTAATTCAGCAGCAGCATCCTTGACACTCTTGGCGGCTAATTCCAAGCGTTCTTGAGTACGAGACATGAAGCTGGACTTGACACGAGAAGCAGATACTAATTGAGCAGTGGCAGCAGACACCTCATTGGAAGCAACAATTAGTTGCTCAAGAGAATGAGTCTTGCTAATGACACCATCGGCAGCCTCCACTAACATGTTTGTAGCTACAGCAACTGCCTTGGCAGCAGAGATCAAACCCTCGGTCCAACGATTGTGTTTCTTGTAGAAGGCAGCCTTGGATGAAGAGCCACGACCTTGAGACACGATTTCCTGTTGAGAAGCAGTAGCGCATTTAATGAGATTAGCAATAGCGTTGGTTAGAGCCAATACAGAGTTCAAGATCAATTGATGCACTTGGATATCAGTAGCAGAGAAAGCAGGATTAGCAGGACGACGCATCAAATCTTGAATCTTGGCAGAGGCTTCTTCAATAGCACGGGCAGCTCTAGTCATTTCTTGCTCAACAAGATCACCGACTTCACCTTCTGCCATCTTATTCACATCAGTAGCACCAGTCAAGATCAAATCTTCCGTCTTTTGCGATAACTTGGTAAGTGCTTCTTGGACACGCATGTCACCCTGAATGACCACTTCAGGACGTTGAGCAGGAGGCAGCATCTTGAGGTAGGTCGACATCACACTGCTAAAGTATTGAATACAAGCTTCAGCAGAGCCCTTACCCAAGTGCACCAATTCCTCGCCATCCTCATCCTTCATGACAAATTGTGTAATACCCTTGGCATGTTGAAGAACATCAATGATGGTATCTGAGAATTCAAGTGCACGTGTGATGGTGCCAGTGTGATCTCCAGTGTGGCTACCGTCTAAGAATTTACTGAATGCAGACATGAACTCTACAGAGGTGATACTGGCTCTTTCGATCATGGAAAGAGCCAATTCAGGGGTTGAGTTTTCGTTGCCATGGGAACCAGGTGCATCCAATTCATAAATGCTGTCATTGATCTTTTGAATACATGTGCCCAAAATGCAATCTGTTCAAATATGATGTATGTGGGTCAGTATCATTGCCACATTGGATTTCGTTTCCAGTGCAGCTTACCCAAGATTTGGTTCAATTTGTCGGTTTGTTCGCTCTCTAAACGGTCGAGCTCTTCTTGAAGATCTTGTTGTCTATCGTTCTATGATGGTATCACATAATCGTCAGGGCCTGATGTCATTGTTGTAACCCTTTGTGGTCTCTATTTTACCTGTTGCAACTCAGCAAGTTGTGAAAGACATTCATCCATACCAGCTTGTAACACAGCAATTTCTTCATCCTTCTCCTATTGAAAAAATAGTCATGGTTGGACTCTACTAGACAACATGTTTCTTATGTAAGCTTCTTACTTGACGAATGTGATCCGCCTCGCCTTGTTGGTCTTCAATTTGCTTGAGGAACTCATCAATCAAAGCTTGCTTCTCCATCAAACTGGCTTCGAGGTCTTGCTTCTCCTTGTTGAATTTAGCCAAAAGTGCACTGACCTCATCTCCTTTAGATCTGCCCATGTTTTGCATTTGATTACGAGCATCGTCCAATTCACGACGCAAACGATCCATGTCTTCCCGCTGGTTGCCTTGAAGACGAGCCAGTTCATTACGAGCTCTGTCACGCTCACGAATCAAATCTGCCAGCTCGATGTTTTTTGCACGCATGTCAGCTTGAACACGCTCCAATTTCTCAGTGGCTTCTTGGGCCGAATTGGCCTTGACTTGAAGTGCCTTGTATTTGTTCAACAGATCAATGTGTTCCTTTCTCAATTGACTGTACAATTTGGCCAAAGCTTCATACTTGTTCTTCCACATTTGAATTTCATCTGATGCATATACAGGTTAAACACACACACACATTTACTTCAACTGCACACACAACTTACTTTGAAGAGAACGGATCAATTCGTCCTTGGACTGATCTCTTTGTAAAGCATTTGCATTGACAGAAGCCAGTTCTTGTTCAAGAGCCTTTACTCGTCTATCGTATTGTTCCAGCATCATTTGGTTGCGCTCAAGTTGATTGCGTCCATTCAAGATTTGCATTTCGAGGTCATTGATTCTGCCATTTTGTTGATTCATCATTTGTTGTCTCATGAGCTCTTGTTGTCTTTGCTGTTCGAGCTCAGCCATCCTTCTTTGTTGATCCTCGTAATCACGTTGCTGTTGCAACTGCATCTGTCTAATTCGCTCTTGTTCCTCTTGTCTTTGTTGGGCTAAGCGTTGCTGCTCAGCGTCGTATTCACGTTGTTGCTGAGCTTGCTTCTCGGACCAGAAATCAATGACGGGTTCGGGCGACGCTTGAGCTGGTGGAGGAGGTGCTTCAATGCGTGCAACTTCAGGACGCTTGGGCAATTGAGGTGTGCTGTCATCGATAAGGGAGGGTGGGTCAGGAGAAAGTTTGGGCACGTTGATAAGACTGGTCAAGTATTTGAGGTTGGAGCACTCGTAGTAGAACTTCAAGAGAGCGTAGTGTTGAGTGTTGAACTTTTGTCTCAAAGGTGCAAGTGCTTCTGAGGCATCGAGTCCTGAATTCCGAAATCATGAAATGTGAGCATGGAGTTGAGACACTTCAAGTGCCACTTACTTTGATGCATGGCTCTCATCATGCTGGTGATGAATTTATAGATACCGTAACTTTCCTCGACCAAAGGCACAAGAGCAGCAATACGGCATTCATTGTTGGAATGGTGACGGAAGCTAGCAAACACCACCTTTTGGAATCGATCAATATGATCCTGCAAAGTCATCAAATCATTGATAGTTTCGAAACTGAGCAAAGCAAACCCCACGTCATGTTAGTACAAAAATCTCTTGTTCAAATCCAAGCAACAAAAAGCACTTACCCTTCATTTGGATCATCGATATTCTTCAAACTGATGTACTCTTCATAGTCAAAAGAGCCATTAAATTCAGGATGTGTACGATGGTATTGAAGCTTGTGCAATAAAAAGTCGACATAGGCACGAATAAGGGTACCGTAACCACGCATACCATCACCATTGACACTACGAGCACACGTCTCTAACCAACCTGTTTCCCGGAGAGCATCTTTGATCACCTTTATAGGTATATATTAGTCTCTCTACCGCGTGTACATAAGAAAAAGGCTGCTTTGTGATACTTTACGTTGGGGTGACCATCCTTGACGACTTTATGTACAAGAATAAGCGCTTTGAATGCTTGCACTTCGTCAGAGAGTAAAGGCTGAACCTTCAAAATGTTCCAAATAATGGCTGACGTTCTGTGATCCCAAGTATAAACGATACATTCTACAACGTGCTTGGATTAGATGCCTTCTTCTCTCTCACACAAAAACCCGGGCAAGGACTTACTTCGAACATGCTTTTGTTTGGGTGCAGTTTCTTCAATACTGCATGCTTTTTTGATACTCTGAGCGAGCTCGGTTTCTGCTTTTTCAGCAGACAAGTAGGACATTTTTTTCTGTTTCTTTTGAGAAGAAGAGGAAAAAGAAAAAGAGAAAAAGAGAAAAAAAGGGAATTTAGAAAAAAGGGTTCTATTTCGTTCTTGGTTTATCACCAACAGCATTTCGAAATGTCTCTGTTGCACTTACTCCTTCGTAATTGAATACCCGAAGATCTTCAATGAGGTTTTGGTGGGTGAATGAAAGTACCATGCGTTCTGGCACCATAGAACATGGGCAATCAGAGCTAGAATTTCTCATTATTGCTGTCTCTCTGAGGTCTTGGCAGTTGGAGGCCTCTGTGATTTGTATGATGAAGATTGGGCAGGCATTGGAATCACTGTGTTTGCTTTGAGAGCACTGAAGAACAGGTTGGTGGGTAAAAAGCACCAGCAAAGATCAAGGGCTACTTCGAATGGCACTAATACGCCTATTGAAGAACAAAATCAATACCTTTAGATGATCCTGTTTTACGTTTCCCTTTTTCTTTTGCTTTCTTCTGTACTAATACACTTTACATATTCCCATCTATGAATTGCGTTGCTGTTTGCTATGAAAATGTAGCGCATACTTTGAATCACCCACAGGCGATGATCAATATTGCATTGTTGGATCAGGATTGCATTTAGATAAGCGAAAATTATAGCCAGCAGCCAAGCTAACCCTATAGAGCCTCTTATCTTGCAGTTCCCTTCGTATTAGCTTCAAAAAGTGTTAAGGATGCTCGTAATGATATGAATGGCATCAACTGGTGGTGGTTAGGGCTAAAGTTATGGTTAGAACATAAACGATATGGCATACGTTGAAAGGTAACTCGTATTCAATCTCAGCTTAATTCGCATCTGTTCCAGATTGGCCAAATTTCGTTTAACTTCGACTCGATTGAACTATTTTGCCAGATTTGACTATATAAAATATGATGATCATCCTTTGCTTCTTTAAGCTTTCTTGGAGTACTTTTCAAGACGCATCCAATGGCACAAAGTAAAATAGATGCTTTGAGTAAACTTATTGAGCAATTTATTAAAATATGAAAAGAGGTTTCTGGTCAAAAAGTCGAATTTTTACATATCAAAGTCCCACAAAGATGATTTCAGTGGTTACGTTGGACTTAGAGAAGCATTTTGATTTAATACATGCCATAGTAAAAGTCTTCATTTTTGCTGTTAAAAATGCGATCGTTTGATTTTTGATGAAAACCATGAGGGGTACCTCATGCTTTTTGGTCGAATTTTGGCCATGATTTTTTGATCCCCAAAAAGTTGAGCAAAGGTGTCAGAAATTTTTATTATGCCCAAAGTCTTTGTGTCTCCTCTCTGTCCAGTTTGTTTGTCTATGAACGATTCCCCAAGTCACCTCCTCTTTCATTGTCCTTCTAAAGAGAAAGTTTGGCAGGGAGTCATCTTCGAGTTTCTGTGGCCTACCACCTCGATTCTAGATATTAAAGAGGCTCTTCTGCAACTTGATTTCTCCAACGTTTGGTATTGCCAAATTGCTGGAATCAAGCCTTTCCGAATCCTCATTATCACCCTTGGTCAACTGTGGCTTGCCCACATGAGGTTCATCTATGACAATGTTCCTATGGACCATACAGCGATATTGGCCAGTATTCGAACCAGTGTTCGTCAGACCATTGCGGAAGATCAGTGCCATTCCCTCCTGTAATCCAAAGCCAATTATTAGATAGTTTTTTTTTATATAGTTTAGTTTAGTATATTATTCTTCATATTTTAGCTTATAGTTATCCAATTCTTTATCTAAATTGCACTCGCCTCTTCACTCTGACCTATTACTCTCAGTGTACGCGAATCAATCAATAAACAAAATTTTAAAAAAAAAAAAAGGTGTCAGAAAGTAACTGCCAGATGAGAGCAACTGCTTGGTGTTATTCTGACAATCTAAAACGGCCTTGAACGCGAGAAAACGCGGCTCAAATGCACTCAGATTTTGCTGTATTAGACACACTCTTGACTAAAAAGGGATAATATCTGTATGATACTTGTCCGTATATGAAATAACTCCGTGTATATGGATCACCTGTAATAAACACAAACTCTGATAGTGCAACAAGCATGTATCTCAGTCGCTACTCGTGGTGTGGATGTTTTCTGTCAAGTCAAGTCTGGTATGGGTAGAACGGTTGTTTACGTCCTCTCTACGCTTCAACAAATTGAACCGACTGAAGGTGTTGCCAGCCTCCTGGTGCTCTACCACACTTGTGAACTAGCAATCCAAATCAAAAATGCATTTGGCCGTTTTTCCAAATGCCTTCCAAGTATCAAAACGTAAGCATTCTTTGGTGGTGCACTCATCAACCATGATATCGAAATATTGAGAGGCAAATTGAGGTGTCCCAGTATTGCTGTTGATACGGTAGGAAGGACTTTGTCTCTAGTTTGCGGAGAGCATTAGGAGTTACATGGACTCAAGCACTTGGTTGTTAGTGAATACGACCATATGCTGATCCGCGATGATACTCGACAATACATATAAGAAATACATTCTACAGCACCCAAAGACAAGCAAGCGATGATGTTTTTGGCTACTTTGCCAGTGTATATACGAGATGTGTGCAAGCAGTACATTCAAAATCTTTTGGAGGTTTACCTAGATAATCAAAAGTTGACATTGGATGGTTTGAAGCAATTCTATGTCGAGGTTCCAGAGCAGGATAATATCCCCCTTTTGTTCAAACTCTTGGATGCCATGTCATTCGATCAAGTATGCATCTTTGTAGGAACTGTGTATCGTGCCCGCTATTTGGATTGTTTTACTGAACATTTGCAACATTCCCAGCATCTGCATTCATTCTCATATGTCTTGAAGTGAACGCATCGCTCGCTAGCAGTCATTCGAAAACTTTGAGAAAGGAGTGATAGTGATCACAAATCACTTTGGTCGTGATATTGATACTGAACGGGTGAATATCGTCGTTAGCTTTGACATGCCTGATAGCTCTACCAATTATCTACATCATGCTGAGCATGCTGGCCGATTTGGTACCAAAGGCGAATGTTTTTTTTTTAAAAAAAATGAATAGAGTGGATACTCAGGTTATGGAAGAGATTAAAAAAAGACTTCAATTCAACCGTCAAGAGATGATGTTGATATTGATTCTTACTTGACATGAGAGCTTCAAGAATGAATCAGTTGAGCTAAATATTGCACTCTAAAATCAAATAGCATGCATCACCTTAAAGTAATTTATCCCTCATATAAATAAAGTCTAAATTATATTACTGCTTTAATTTCATAACCCTTCTGATGATCTGGAAACGCTAAATGGCAAAGGATGAACCTGCCAGAGCATTTGGAAAGATAGTTTTGAGCGATTTAAAGTAATGCAACACCAACATGTCATCACGCGGAACCATGCCCCCCCAAGTAAGCACGGCTATTATGCGTGAAACATAATATGTATCGCCGTCTTAAGCTAAATTCAGCCTGCCCACATTGTAAACATGTTGGAGAGGATTAAACAAAATAGCTTTTTTTTTATTGTTAATTGCATTTTGAATATATGTATAAATATGGCCTTTCGTTTAGAAAGAGCTGGTGAAAACAATCAAATACGATTTCTGTGGGTGAAAAGATAGCGGATGAATTTATGTTTGTTGATGGTACAAGCTTATTTTCGTGAAACGACAACATGTTTAATTTACTTGGATTCGTGCTTCTTTTGCAAAGCCTCGAGATCCTTCTTGAGAGCAGCAGTATCCTTTTCTTGCTTAGCCAAGGCTTCACGGAGGAGCTTGATCTTATCGGCATCCTATACATGCGTAAAAAGGGGTCTACTGCTTAGTGACCCAATTTCAAACATTTCCCCACACTTTTGTAATTCACCAACTTACATGAGAACGGGCCCATTGGTTTTCAATGGCCTTTTCCTTTTTACCAAAAGAACCAGAAGAGGCAGTAGCACCTTCACTACCAGTTTGATAAGAGGTGAATCGCTTGGTTAAACGGACAGTCTTGGAGGAAACGCGTTGAACTGATTTGAAGAGCATTGTTGATATAATTTGTGTAGATGAAGAAAAAGAAAAAAAAGAGAAACTGGATCCAGAAAAAAAGCCCCTGCCTTTTATTCATGTAGGATCATCAAAAACAGCTTGCAGTCTGGCGTCATCTTTTGCTTTCATTTGAAACTGTGTGGGAGTTACACAGTGGAAGCAGTGTAAAAATGTGCCCTCAATGTACAATTGAGTCATAAGTCATATATTTCATTCAATCTGTATTACCTTCTCCTGTTATGCGATGAGTAAGAATATTTACGTCTTGTCTCAGCAAACAGCAAGTTTATTTTATGACAGGCTAATTTCATATCAGGAGCTATAAATGTTGAGATTGTTGTTGGTACAGCATCCTTCATTTCCCCCGCATGCACATATAACCACTGCGATTTCTTTGTTGTACCACATGTTTCTCCGAGTGCAATTCCAAATGAGCTGTCGCTACATGCTCTTGTGCGCCAATGTTACACTGTATTCGCCGATTGGTCTATTCCCATCTCTTACGAGTTTGTTTGTGCTGTAAAATATGGTACGATTTGTCATTTCGCCTACAGTTGCTCCCTGCGTGCACTGCTTGGTTTGATTCTATCTGCATGGATCATGGCCGTGTTATTTCTCAATCACCAATGACATTACAGGTACTGGTTTAGCTAGGATTACTTTCAGTAATGATTTCTCGACTTTCACAGACTAATTACCCATAAACATATGTAGAAGCTCTTCATTGCCGGGAGGCCAAACGTCTTTACAGAAATGACAGCTAATGTATGGGTTCCAGGGCACGATCAATGGCATGTTAGAACCTCAAATTATTATGCATCAATGGTCATTGTTTGATTTGTCGAAAAGTATAGCTGATTAATAGATACAGAAATGTCAATTAGATGATAACATGATGGATGTTGTAGCTTGATAAAAGAGTTGCTGGCTTTCATCGAATATCACCAATACTTGTGTTTACAAGTGACCTTGCTTTATGAGTAACATTCAAATGACTAAAATGACAAAAGCAGTAATTGAAGCGCACTACAAACGGAGCAATGCCATGAAAATTACGGTCGAATTTCAAAAGCACCTATTCTCTGCTCACAGAATAGATGCTAAACAATACGGATCACGACAGCGCAACAAACAACCGGGCATGGATAATTTAGATCACTACTGCTGCTGCTACATTAAGACACTCTCATCAAAAACAAGTGCAAAATGCATTTGTTGCGTGTACTCAACGCCACAGGAAGGATTTAGAAAAGGCGGCTGATGCCAGATGTAGGCGATCCAAGCCATCATTGCTGTACTTACTAAAAATGATAGGGTCAAAAAAAGGCTACCGTCACCATCTTCGATGCGCACATCAAATGCAGCTAATACGATTGAATGCTCTCAAGAGTATTTATTATGCTTCCTGATCCTCATAATCCAAACTTTCATTACCGTTTTTGTACCATAACCAAGAAATCACAGGTCTAATATCGTCAGCATTGCAAATATCTTCATCTCATGGCCTTGTTCCCATAAACGTTAATGAGGCCATTAACAGAAATATCCCTGAGTGGCTTTGTTTGTGCACAAGGCGTACTACTATCAGAGCAAATGGGCATTCAAAAGTCATCGAAAAGGTGTTCATGCCACTAACATGGAATCCAATATTTCAACAATTACTCGCTAGCAACGCCAATCTGAGTAGTAGCCAGAAATTAGATCTCTTAAAAGTACTCCATTTTTGCTGTCTGTCCATAATATATGCCTCCCCATCAATCTCGAAATTCATATTCTTTCCCAATCCTCAACCTTTCGAATCTATTATCCTGCACATTCCCGCTTCTCATTTTATTTAGTTGTTATGCTCCTTACCGCTGTATCGTTCACATTTCTTAGACTTTTCAGCCATGAGAGGCATTTGCCGTAAAAAAAAAAAGGTATTATTCAAGCGCCTTAAGGTTCAGATGAAGGTTTTTACATATGATTTATACTTTCAGTATTTTATCGTAAAGACTTTTACGCATTTATGTTAATAAATCTTTGAAGTCAGGGCCATAGTCAAAGCGCTGGTCACTATTGCTTGTTGAGAGGCCACCTAAGTCAATATGTTTCATGTGGTGTAGGTGGATCTCGACATCTTGACATTAGGGAGACTGAATCTATTGTAGTTCCTGAGGCGCGCATGCACACACAATTGACTGGACATGTAAACAAAGATTTGATGTGATACGATGAACATCATCTATATTGGTACACTGTGAAAGTGGCTTGAGGAGAAAGTGAATGTACACGAAGATGCATACTTGTATGCAACAGCGATTCTGAAAACACCCTTCCTAATGGTACATGTATACTAAACACTTGCTGAAATTAAATCCCCGCTATTCTGAATGAGGATCCATGGGCTCCCAAAATCTATCCACTTCAAAATTCCTTGATTCTTGATAGTAGACGCCCCTTCAAACTTATATGAAACTTGTGAGGAAATCAAAGGAAAATCCAATGATACCCATATCAAACGTTTGCTGTACATTATTTACCTGATATTTAATGAGATAAATTTTGCGATTTTTTCACTGTTTTCTAAAGATTAATTAGTATCTGTTATCAAAACATTTTGTTAATCATTACTAATCATTGTAGATCAAAAAGTTTCCTATCGAATGAGCTATTGCTTGAAACTCTGGCATAGCTCTATCATGAAATGTTGGCAATATTGTCCTGACCAAAAAATCGTCACCAGATTTTTCGCTTGCTATCGCAGGGCAGATTTTGAAGGAAAATCCACGATTTTGCATAATACCCTTTTTTGGCCGTATCTCGACAAATACTCACCGTATTCGCACAAAATAAAGACCGTTCGATAGCTCTACGTTATATCCAGCATGGTGTAAAGGTTTTAAGTACCAGATGTATCTTCCTTTTATGAATTCGTTCAAAACCTCATATTTTATGAGCTACAAGCAGAGGATTTTCAAAACTCAAGAAATAAATTAATAAAAATCATACCATCGCATAGAGAATTGAAAAAGAAACAGAAGATATTAAGCTGGAAGCTCTCGTTCACTTAGTAAAATCTAGCAGTATGGCCCTTTGAAAATCGGTCATCTGGATTATTTTCTATTGTAAATCATCGACATCGTTCTTAACTAGTACAAATAAGGTACGCTCTAGTAGTCAAGAAGAAGGTGGCCTGTACAACCTTTAATACATATGAGCCTTTCAACTCATTGTAACGTAACAAATTTATGGTTAATGGACACTTTTTTCAAAGCCTGAAAAAGGAAACAAGTTGTTCTAACAAGTATTTTGATAGACTGGCGTTACTGGATATAGAATACAAGGAAAATAGCATGGTTAACGATAGGTTTATGTAATTTGCTACCTACTTTCCATTCGCTTCGAAAACATTTATTACTGTATTGCCTTCATGATTAGAAGGCCATTGAGTTTGCCAGCCGGCCCCACCAGCCAAAATTAATTCAAGCCCAGAATCATAGTCTGTTCCAGATTGGCCAAATTTTAATGAATTTCGACTCGATTGAACTATTTTAGTAGATTCGACTATATAAAATGTGATGACCACCCTATGCTGCTTTAAGCGCCCCTGGTGGTAGGGCGAAGTGGTAAAACTCCCGTATGCCAACGGGAGGATCCCGGTTCAAATCCTGGTGAACGCAAGTTGTTTGATTTTTTGAAGTAGTACTGATGTCCTCGTTTGGTGTTTTGTACTCTATCCATTATCTATATTTTGACGATTTCCGCAAGACTGTTTTGGCTCTAGGTGTCGCACCTTATTAGCAGTAGATTTCTTTCCCAACTTAATTCAAAAATATCTTATTCCCCTTCTTTGCAGACATTGGGTCCACCAACAGTCTTTTCTATCCCTCAGCATGACATTTTAAGGACTTTAAATAAAACCTGGAGCTCGACTCCCCTACAAAAAAAAAAAAAATGCTGCTTTAAGCTTCCTTGGAGTACTTTTCAAGGCGCAGCCAATAATACCAAGTAAGTTAGATGTTTTGAATTAACTTACTGAGTAATTTACGAAAATATGAAATGAGATTTCTGGCCAAAATGTCGAAATTTTACATATCAAGATCCCACAAAGATGGTTTCAAGGGTTACGTTGGATCGATAGAAACATTTTGATTTAATACATGCCATAGTAAAAGTCTTCATTATCAAGGCCAAAAAGGCGATCGTTTGATTTTTGACGAAAATCATGAGGGGTACCTCATGCTTTTTGGTTAAATTTTGGCCATGTTTTTTTTGATCCCCAAAAAGTTGAGCAAAGGTGTCAGAAAGTAACTGCCAGATGAGAGCAACTGCTTGGTGTTATTCTGACAATCTAAAACGGCCTTGAACGCAAGAAAATGCAGTTCAAATGCACTCAAATTTTGCTGTACAGGGACACTAAGAAATAAAAAATGGAAATACCAGTATGCTGCTTGCCTGTATATGAAGTAGCTACGTAAATATGAATGTAGAGCAACGCATAAGAATCAGATCCGTAGATAATATGAAGGGTTTTCATTTATAAATGGAGAGTCAAAATGAAAGTAGTAGTATTTTGACAAGATACGCAAGGGCAATCAATAGCGCGAGCTACCATTGCACAGTTTGGTTCTCACCAAAGCGAAGCGAAGGTAGAGAACCATCCGAAGCATAAAAACTCGTGTACTACAATGACTTTTTCAGCATTGTCGATGATGGGGACATGGGTCGATAGACATTAAGATGTAGTGTTTTAGCAAATCGAACCTATTTTCAGCGTTAGGTTGCTGCTTTCTTACTAGAGTAAGGGAATGACAGCCAGACAATTTCTTTGATGCAAAGTTGATCTTGAGTAAACCTTTAATATTGTGCTTTTATTTTGCAAGTAATATAAAGTTAACCACTAAGCCGTTTTAGTCTCCAAGTGTCTACAGATTATATCATCCTTGTCGATGTCACGTACAGCATTATTCCTTTGATTGCAATCCATCTTGATAATCTTGAATGGCCACAACAAGCAACTCATGATGACTTATACGAGGAGTCATTTTAAGAGAAGAAATACATAGACACTTCACGCTTGACCGTGTATATTATAAAGAGCAAAGACAACTCGACATTTTCATAGCATAATTTTCAGCAGATCCGCAATAATGCTAACATGAGCGCGCAACGAAATTTAGTGGCAATGATGTCTGTCAGTCTATGGACCAAACAAAGCACTGGCCAATCACGTTATATGCTTATTTGTGTATTGGACATGGGTTTCTAAAGACCAATGATCCAAATCCACTTGGATCTGTTTATACTTGTAGGCATTGTCACAGTTTACATTGAATGAATCTTCAACGTTTATTTTCAACAACAATGAGCACTGACTTTTGCCATGGTAAATCTGAATACCGATTATCGGCAACGGGATATTCCGTTTTAATTTTGTAGATTAATCCTGAAATGGAGGCCAAGGCTAAAGCGATTGGTCAATGATCGTATCATGACGATGATATAGCGCTGATTTTGTTGGTATGTGAAATATCAAGCAAAAAGGTAATGAAAAAAGCAGAAAAAGCGAAAACATTTACGCTTGAAATGACAATAAGATGTGATTTGATAGTTTGAACCATATAGATATATACTATAGTGCACGCAATGTGAACGAATGAGCCATTTTGCCAATGAAACATTTGAATGAAAAAAAAAAAAAAAAAAAAAAAATTAAGCGCAAAAATATTAATTCCTTCTTCTTTTCTTCTCTCTCTTTCCTACTTTTTACCTGTTATTTCCCGTCTATCCAAAAAATAAAGCAAACTACACTTATCCAACATGCCTAATATGCTCAGTAAATTCATTGATAAGGCCAAGCCCAGGTTTTCATTTCATCACCATGGTAACCATAAACCCGGTAGTACAAGTAGCAACGAAAGTCAATCAAACAATACCAAGTTTCATTTGTCAAACAACTTGTCAGCAACTGCAATCACATCGCACATTTTTGGATACAAAGATGACCTACAGGATGATTACGTTGAGCCACCACCAGGTAAAGTGAGGTTTGATGCTGGTCTGACATGCATTGTATTCTGATACATCTCACACCTAGTTCCACCCACTGGTACAGAGCCCATCAAGGAAAATACAGCTGCTCCTCCGGTTGGCACACCACCCAAATCAACTCTCGACAAGACAGCAGCGTTGACAGAGACAAACAAGACTGATACGCCCAAAACCAACTATTGTAACTACAAATTACGTTGATGAGCCGTAATAAAGAAAACTTACATTTTATGAATAGCTCCATTCTATCCAGAACAATTACCTTCAACACCTCCTACTACACCTGGAGGTTCATTCCTCGTTCGCAACAACTCGAGTGGACACAATTCAGACAAGAGCCAAGATAGCCATAACCATGCAACAGCCAGTACAGAGCAAGTGGATGGTTCTGATGTTACACGCCCACACTGCCAATTAAGATTAGACGATTTCAACCTGCAAAGAACACTAGGCACAGGATCATTTGGCCGTGTTCATTTGATTCAATCCAAAATCAACAAGCGATACTATGCCTTAAAAGTTCTGAAAAAGGCCGAGATTGTGAAACTGAAGCAAGTAGAGCATACCAACAATGAACGCTCCATCATCGCCAAAGTGCAACATCCTTTTATCGTTAATTTATGGGGCAGCTTTCAAGATTGTGCCAATCTGTACATGGTGATGGACTTTGTGCCGGGCGGTGAACTGTTCTCCTTTTTGAGAAAGTCGAAAAAGTTTAGCAACGATGTGGCTCGATTCTATGCTGGTGAAGTCTTGTTGGCTTTGGCGTATTTGCATAGCAAGAATATCATTTACCGTGATCTCAAGCCCGAGAATCTATTGTTGGATGTACATGGACATATTAAAATTTGCGATTTTGGATTCGCCAAGGTGGTGCCTGATATTACTTGGACATTGTGTGGTACACCTGACTATCTAGCACCTGAAATCATCCAAACCAAGGGCTATGGAAAGGCAGCAGACTACTGGGCATTTGGTGTACTTGTGTTTGAGATGCTTGCTGGGTAAGTACGGATTGAGCTGCCTTTGAGGTCGAATACTGATACCCATTGAATAGGTTCCCTCCTTACTATGACGACAATCAATTTAAACTGTACGAAAAGATCTTGACCACACCGCCTAAATATCCATCATCCATTGATTCTACAGCCAAAGACTTACTGAAACACCTTTTGACCACAGATCTGACACAACGGTATGGCAATCTCAAGCGAGGCTATCATGATATCTGCGAGCATAAATGGTTTGCATCCCTCGATTTTGACAAGCTGATTCAGCGCAAAATCAAGCCACCTTATATTCCACATTTGAAGAATGATGGCGATGCAAGCAACTTTGATAGATATCCTGAAGATTTCCACCCTTATGGTGTGCCTCAAGACGACCCTTACAGAAGTCATTTCCCTGATTTTTAAGTGTATATTCCTACCCATGACAAACATTTGTACCTATTTTCTCATCCGTCCTTCATTTTCTGTGATTTTGTATGCTTCCACATCTTTTTTGTAATTTGTAAATAAAAACAATGTAAAACTGCTCTTCAAGACACATTGCGTGCGGTAGTACATGTAGGATGGTTCATGCAAAAAGGAGTGTCTGATTTGCATCACATTTAGCACAACGAGGATGACTTCAAGCAGTTTCATCGCAAGGTAAACCGGTAGTTGGAGTCTTGTGAGCACTTTGATGACTATAGCCAGTGGTGTTGATATTCGACTATAGAGTAGAGGGGCATGAAATCAAAAAGAAAATCGTACGTTTCATATTCAGGGTGTAGCAGGTATCAGGGAAGGAGATGCCGAGTATATCCCCCCAATGTTTCTCATTTAAAGCAAAGATATACGCTTCTTGGATATGACATGATAAAGACTAGCAACGAACGAATGGCATTCATCTCTTTGAATGTAATCGGATGACATTGCAAGCAGCAGAGAACTACTTTGATCCATTATCTGTCAAAATCCATTCGATGCACGGGTTTAATACTTTAGCCAGAAGCATTCGGAGGTCAACAGCCCGCTCTGAATCACATCAAATGCACATTGGTCAAACACCAACACATACACATACAGCTCACAACAGAGTATTTTCAAGACGACATTGCACATCGCGGCGATTCATGCCACATGACAGGAGGACGATTGATCAAAACATGTCACTTTGCTCATGTCAAATACACTGATTGCGTAAAACTACACGTTTAGAGCAAAGCATAGTAAAGCAATGTACATGTGACGTGATACAATCGCTTATTAAATGTCTTGATGATAGCAAGCAATATTCATTGTGGTGGCAAACCTCGCGTTGTAGCAAAATAAGCTATTTGTACCTGCCTATCTTCTCACTTTTTAGTTTGCTGTTGGACATCAGTATAAGCAGACAAAGACACCCATTCAACATCAGGTACAAACATCGATACAGTGGATAGCGTATTCAATGTGCTCTCTAATGTCGAAATGAATCAGTATAGAGAAAAAGACGAATATGCGAGACTTGTTCATTGTCAGTACGTTTATCAAATTACTGTTAATACCTGCATAGTATGTATGCTCACCTGGTAGCAACAAGCCTTTACTCATCTTATCCTAGTCGATCCACAGATTTTGAAGTGCATCGAAACTGGCTCGCCATCACACATAGTCTACCCATCGATAAATGGTATATTGAAGTAAGCGAATATCACCATGGAACACCATCACGAACATAGAGATGAATCAATTCTCTCTCTATTAGAACACTTCAGAATGGACATTGGATTATCCACCTTTTTTTGCTTGGTTCGAAAAGACATTGAGCATGTTTGCTGCGTTTGTGGATCCAGAGATGCTTAAAGTGGATAATCTCGGTTATGCAAGCACGGAAACCATCCTGTTTCAGAGATTGACCGTGATTGTAAGTGAATTGGTATTGTATTTTGCATTGGTGAGGTAGGATTCTTGACCGGGATGTGATGATGAATGAGCAGACATATCTAAAGAGTTGCTAGATATGCCAAATACTTTGGAAACAAGTATGTCAATTGGGTTTTGGTCGGCTCTCTATTCCTTCACCCAGGCCTCATTATCGTTGATCATATCCTTTTTTTACACTCTGCACACTAACACACGTACGCTTGACATGGATTTCTATACACTATTACCCTTAACAGAATGACCGAGTCGATACATATTCACTTTCAGTACAATGGATTTCTCTACGGTATCTTGATTTTATCCATTGTCGAGGCGAAAAGAGTAAGTCCAATGACAAAATATCCCACATAGTATGCATCTGCTGAATGTATTGCCGCAGAACAACCTTTTAGCATCAGGCATCTTATTTGCCATTCTACTCAATTTCAAGCACATCTATCTGTACATGGCACCTGCTTATTTTGTCTACTTGCTGAAGGCTTACTGCTTTACAGGTCAAGCACATGGTAAACATTCAGACACACATTCCAGCAAACAATGTTCATTTTCTGATTCCTTTTTTTTTACAGAAAATAGATTTTCAATTCAAAGGTTAATTGCATTGGGAGGATCTGTTATCGCTATATTTGGGATTTCTTTTGGCCCTTTCATCTATTTAGGCCAGTTACCCGCTGTTTTCCAACGTCTCTTTCCATTTACCCGTGGCCTTTGCCATGCTTACTGGGCTCCTAATTTCTGGGCATTGTATGCTGGTGCTGATAGAGTTTGCATCATTCGTAAGTACACATGGTTGCATGTTACCCCACCTTTTTATACTAATGGCACGCGCTTTTTGTCCTTTCTATCGTGGTGGTGCAGTGGCAAAGAGGTTCGGATGGAGCTTAAACCAAGAAGCAATTACTTCCATGACAAGAGGTTATGTCGGCGACACTCAATTTGCGGTTTTGCCTACGGTCGAAGCTTTGCATACAATGCTCATCACCGTGTTAGTTCAGTTGGTAAGTAGTGTGAGATTTTGTGTACGGCATCGACCGAGCAAAACTTTGATTCGGTGCTCGCTCTCGATAAGCCCGCCATGTTCAACTCAACAGCTTTGAAATATATAGGTTGTATTACAAAAGTTATGGCGAAAACCAACATTTGACAACTTTCTATCCTCGCTCACATTATGCACCTTTGCCTCTTATTTATTCGGCTGGCATGTTCATGAGAAAGCTATTATGATTGTGCTGATTCCATACGGGTAATTAGTTCCGAACATTTGGTAAAACCCGGCGTTACTCATTCCGTACATGATGATAGATTGATGGCATCCAATAGTAAGGTCAACTTGCGAGTGTTTGGGATCTTGAGTGCAGCAGGCATCTTTTCGCTGTATCCATTGCTATTTAGAAGCACAGGTAAATACGAATTAAGAAGATTCAGCAACGCATTGATAAACATGATATTAGAAACACCCATCAAAATCACACTTACATTGCTGTGGTTCTGCGCAATTATCCCTGGCTTGGCATACAGTATGAAAACGTAAGTGAATTACCATCTCCTTTCGAAAACGCATGAATAATTAACGTCAAATAATCTAAAAAGGCCTTTGAAAAACTTGCTTTCAACCATTGAAGAAAACTATCTGATGGGTTTGTTGGTACTTCAATTATACACTGGCTTTATCCATGACATCGTGTTTGGTCAAAATAATCTTCAATTCCTGCCCCTGATGATCACTAGCTTGTACTGTAGCGTAGGCATAGTGTACGGTTGGGCCTTATTCATGATCAATTATCTTTCCGGGTAAATAATAAAATCGAAAACTTCTCATGGCGTGGTTTCCACGCACTTTATTCACATATACACACCTTAGAGAGGTCTCAAACAGTTGAGATTACCTCGGATCAATCTGTACCTTTCTCCTTTCTTTTGCTCCCCCCCCACACATAGTAATTACCTGAATAAGCAATTATGGAGGGTATTACATCTTAAACACTGGGAAGAAATGGGATAAATCTGTTGCTAGTGCCATTCTCTTGTATATATAGTTGCAATATGGCACCTTTCTTTCATATTATACATAACACAATTTAAGATGGATTCCTTAGAAAGTAAATTTCCAAAGTACATGGTATACTGTGTCATGATTGCTTGTTTGGAAGCGTTCTCTCAGGGATATCTTTCCGGTGCCACTAATGTGCCTGGTACGATCACTCATGAATGTGCAAATGGCATGGCTCATGTTGCCAGTGGTGGCCTTCCCGACTGTTTACCTATGAATACCGCTCTCTGGTAAAAACACCTTATTACTGCGATTTTATCCAATTTGTATATTAACATCATGGCATAGGGGTTTTGCTGTATCTGCCTTTTGTGTAGGCGGTCTCATTGCATCTCTGTTTGGCGGTGCCTTTCAGAACAAATACGGCCGTCGTTTTGCCATCATTGTGAATAACGCTGGTTTCATCATCGGTTCTCTATTATGCTCTGTTGCTGCACATCAAGCCATGTTTATCATTGGTCGTATCATCACAGGTCTTTCTTGTGGCCTTGGTTCTTTAGCTGTGCCTACCTACATTGGTGAAGTCTCTACCATCAAAGCTAGAGGCACCATGGGCTCTTGCAATCAATTCAGTGTCGTCATTGGCCTTTTGATTGCCTCTGCCATTGGTCTTCCATTAGCCAAGGTGCCCCTTTGGCGTATTCAGTACGCTATTCCTGCATTCCCTGCTATTCTTCAAGTCTTTTTGATGCCCACTTGTGTGGACTCTCCTCGTTGGCTGCTTTCCGTGAATCGTGTCGATGAGGCCCGTGTCGCCCTTCAGAAGTTGCGTGGTGATGCTCGCATCGATCAAGAGTTCTTTGAAATGGTGCAAGGTGTTCAAGGCACTGCTGCTGCTAATGCCAATCTTCGTGATAGTCCTGAGGGTCTCAAGGTCACTGAATCCAAGGTGGCCAATTTGTTTGATAATGATATCGAAGACCATGTGGGCCAGCAAGAATCACACGAAACCTATTCTATGTTGGATGTCATGAGAGACCCTGTTGCTCGTCGTATTGGCCTTACCGTCTTTGTGCATCATATCATTCAACAGTTATCTGGTATGAATGCTGTCATGTATTACTCGAGTAATATCTTCTTGCTTGCCTTCAATGGCTCTGAGAGCATGTCCCAAATTATGGCCATTGTCACCACCATTGTCAATTTCGCTGCTACCATTGTTGCCGTGTGTGTCATTGATCGTTTCGGTCGTCGTCCTCTGTTGCTTATTGCTGAAGCTGGTACCTGTATTTTCTCTGTTCTCTTGGTCATTGGTTACAAGGTCAATTCACCTGGTCTTTTGATCGCTTCTGTCTTTTTGTATGTCGCCTCTTTCGCTGTTGGTATCGGCCCTATTCCTTGGTTGATTACCTCTGAAATGACACCTACTTATGCTGCTTCATCTGTCGGTGCTGCCTCTACTTGTATCAATTGGTGCATGAATTTCTTAATTGGCCAAGTCTTCCCTGTCATTTTCGCTGCTATCCAAGGCTGGTCTTTCCTTATTTTCGCTGTCATTTGTGCTTTGGCTTTCTGTTTTACTTTCTTTGCTCTTCCTGAAACCAAGGGCCGTTCTGTTGAAGCTGTTGTCGCTGGTTACGACAAGTACAAGAGATAAAGCAACCACTGTGTCATCCTTGTCCACTTCATCTATTTTTTTTTGCGTCAATATCTTTTTTTTTTTCATTCCCATTTAAATTGCCTCGTTCTTTTACCTTCCCTTTGTATAACAGTACCCTCAATTTTTGCTATTTTATCTTTGTTTTTTTGTAACACTATTATTGCTGAATAAATCCTTCATGTATGATTTTTTACCTTAAAAATTAGTCTTGATTGTTAATTGCTGTCATGAGCAGACAATGTCAACAACATCATGTCATGCTCAATGTGCCATGCTAAGTGTCCATAATGGCATGCTAGGTGGCTTGCTGTGAATGAAGTTCTGATGTTGACCCTTGAATTAAAGAAGCTACCAGTGCTTTGTTCCCCATACCTTCACAACAAGATGATCGCCCTTATTGTTTATACTACACCTTGGCGTAAACACTAGAAGGGTTTGAAATAAGGTTTTATGATTACATCTGGAGAATTCAGGAACACGATTGCCAAAAGAGAATGCGCCGCCATAATTTGAGTTTGACATTTTGAATTTGTTTGAATCATTGCTGGGAAAAAGTTGGAAGGATGGGAAGAAACAAGAAAAAAAAAAACCTTCAACAAATTCCATCAAGATATATGAATTCAAGACAAATTTATGCGCATTGGGCATTTTTTGTCCTTCCACAGAAAAAAAGAGAAAAAAATCTGGAAAGTAGAAATTATCTGATCCAATTCATATGAAAAACAATTGATTTAGTGAACAATCATGATACTTTGTACGGGCTCAAATTCCCCCGTTTTGTCGAGAATTAATTTCACGGTAAATAAATCAATGTAGACCCATGAAAACTTGCGTCTTTTAGAGGATGCCTCGATAACAAGGCAATTTGACTGGTCGTTTATGGCTCTGGGCGAATGAAATGCCTATGAAAAGTTCCATATTTGGAACATTGGGCATCATGATGATAGATGAAAAGTTTCATAACAAGTACAGGCATATTGTATGCTCTGTAAATGTAATATAGAACGAGCGATTAGGCAGCGGATGATGTACAAATGAAATGGTACATAATTCGGGATTGTTTGCCACGAAATAGCCCATCTATTGCTTCCACCGTTCTTGTGGCAAGATACGATGGAATGTATTGCGCTTTCTCAAATGGTAATTATGAGTATTAATAACACTGCGAGTTCTTATAATACGGGATTTGTAATGATGATTACACAATGTATTTATACTACACATTCATCAGCACAGCCTTCGAGTAGTCATCCAGGTAGAGAAGCATTCAATTTAATCCAATATGTATACGCCTGACGGAAACCGCATAAAGTATTAAGTATGTTTGTATCGAGTGATGTAGTTCCGGTTAAAACTACTTGCGTTACTACAAGTAAAAAAGCTTATGTTTGACAAATGTTTTTGATGGCGTGAAAATGGAGACGAATGAACGTCAAGCATTCAGCTATAGTTATTCGCATCAGGGTCAAATGTCTCGGATGAAGTCCTCACCCACATCCTTTGCACAAAAGAGGCAAATTACAACTGAATTTGTGAAACCTGGGAGAAAGTGGGATTGAGATCACGATCTGCAAAAGTATATAAACTATACCTACGTTACCACTTTCAACAAAAGCATCATCTTCCTTTTCTTTATTCTTTATTAAAACCTAAAATTTTTTCTCACTATGGACTCTAAGGATGTCGTATTCCCAAAGTACATGGTCTACTGTGTAGTCATGGCTTGTGTTGAAGCCTTTTGTAATGGTTGGGTCATTGGTTCCTCCAATGTTCCTGGTACCGTCACTCACATTTGTGAGAATGGTATGGAACATGTTGCCGCAAAGGGTCTTCCCGATTGTTTACCTATGAATACCGCCCTTTGGTAAGTTTATCCAGTAGCGAGTTAGCATAAATCCCATCATCTCGAAATTAACCTTAACATTCAATAGGGGCTTTGCTGTTTCTTCTTTCTGTGTTGGTGGTCTCATTGCTTCTCTCTTTGGTGGTGGCATCCAAGAAAAGTATGGCCGTCGTTTCACCATCATCGTTAACAATGCTGGCTTCATCATTGGCTCTCTCTTATGTTCTGTTGCTGTCCATCAAGCCATGTTCATCATTGGCCGTATCCTTTGTGGTCTTTCTTGTGGTCTTGGTTCATTGGTTGTACCTACCTACATTGGTGAAGTCTCTACTATCAAGGGCAGAGGTACCATGGGTTCTTGTAATCAGTTCTTGGTCGTCATTGGTATCCTCTTGGCCTCCTGTATCGGTCTTCCTTTAGCCAAAGTGCCACTCTGGCGTATCAACTACGCTATTACCGCTTTCCCTGCCATCTTCCAAGTTTTCATGATGCCCACTTGTGCTGAATCTCCTCGCTGGTTGGTCTCTGTTAACCGTATTGATGAAGCTCGTGCTGCTCTTCAAAAGCTTCGTGGTGATGCTCGCATTGATCAAGAATTCTATGAGATGGTACAAGGTGTTCAAGGTACTGTTGCTGCCACTGCCATGCTTCGTGGTGGCGATGAAGGCCTCAAGGTCACTGACGATAAAGCATCTGGCTCCTTTGACAACAACCAAGAAGAAAAGGGTGACAATGAGCAAGAATCCCACGAAGTCATGTCCATGTTGGATGTCATGAGAGATCCTGTTATGCGTCGTATCGGTTTCACGGTCTTTGTCCATCACATTATCCAACAGTTGTCTGGTATGAATGCTGTCATGTATTACTCGAGTAACATTTTCTTGCTCGCTTTCAACGGCTCTGAGCAGATGTCTCAAATTATGGCCATTGTCACCACCATTGTCAATTTCGTTGCTACTATTTTTGCTGTTTGTGTCATTGATCGTTTCGGTCGTCGTCCTCTGTTGCTTATTGCTGAAGCTGGTACCTGTATTTTCTCTGTTCTCTTGGTCATTGGTTACAAGACCAATACACCTGGTCTTTTGATCGCTTCTGTCTTTTTGTATGTCGCCTCTTTCGCTGTTGGTATCGGCCCTATTCCTTGGTTGATTACCTCTGAAATGACACCTACTTATGCTGCTTCATCTGTCGGTGCTGCCTCTACTTGTATCAATTGGTGCATGAATTTCTTAATTGGCCAAGTCTTCCCTGTCATTTTCGCTGCTATCCAAGGCTGGTCTTTCCTTATTTTCGCTGTCATTTGTGCTTTGGCTTTCTGCTTTACTTTCTTTGCTCTTCCTGAAACCAAGGGACGCTCTCTTGAAAGTATTGTCGCTGGTTACGACAAGTACAAGAAATAAGCTATATCTCGCTTTTGCTTTATATCACTCATCTTTTTTGTTATTTTCTTAATTTGCATCCATGTATTCATTGTATTTTCTATTTTCCCCTTCATTTGTATCAACATTCCCTTCATTTTTTCCTTTGTATTTATATTTCAATAAAATGTACGTGCATGTAATCAACTTAAAGTATAATTACGAAAAAGGAAGAGCTAAAAAGCGTCATCTAGCGCGCTGGTCGATTAAAATGTAGCCTTGGGCAGTGGTACTTGCGAGGATATCAAGTGCGATTCCCAGTTATTTTGCGAGCCAAGGGATGATGCCACACTAACACTCATTGTAATCTGTAATACCAAGCAAACAAAAGACGCCATCTTCATTCATTGTAAACGAGTGTTTCTACACTTTAATTAGAACGGATCTATGCTGTGGCAGCTGCGCTACCGGACGCCTTTTTACAGCCTATTGAAATACTGTCATTATCATCTGAAGCCTCCACCTTTGCATCAGAGCCATCCATATCTGTAGATCCGACTCTTATGCGATGCTCCACATCTATATACATGGGGCTAGCTCATACATGAGCAGACAGCATAATAGTATCACCCCCTTCCTAGTCAAGAGTGTGTCAAATACAGCAAAATTTAGACGTGCTTGAACCGTGTTTCCTCGTGTTAGAAGTCGTTTCAGACCGCCAGAGTAGCACCAGGTAATTGCTCTCGTGTAGCAGTTTGTACTGACATCGTTAACTCAACTTTTTTTGGGATCGCCGAAAAATCGACCAAAAAGCATGAGGGACCCCTCAAGGTTTTCATTGAAAATCAAACGATCGCATTTTTTACCTTGATAACGAAGACTTTTACTACGGTATATCATGAGTCAAAATGTTTCTATCAATCTAACGTAATCCCTGAAATCGTCTTTGTGGGACTTTGATATGTAAAATTTCGACATTTTGGCGAGAAACCTCATTCCAAATTTTATTAAATTGCTCAATAGTTTCAGTCAAAACAGTTATTACAGTTGGCACCATTGGAAGCGCCTTGAAAAGTGCTTCAAGAATGTATTAGGGAGCGTAGGGTGATCATCACAGTTCACATAGTCGAATCTCGCAACATAGTTCAATCAAGTCGAAAAAAAGACGAGATTTGGCCAATATTTGAGCAGAAAAAAAGCAATCTGGATTTGAATCAGTTTTGGCTCTGCTGTTGGCTGACCCACCAAATGCCTTTCTGATGATGACAATGATGATTGCGATGCTGTTTAAATGGGGATCATGGAATTGAAAGGACAGTTGATTAGTGCAAATACTTTTTTGGGGAGATTTGCCTCATAAAGGTATTTTTGCAATGACAATCTTTCGAAAACGTCGCTGTAGATCTCAGAAAAGTCCTGTGTTTACGCATGGCCAGTTCTGTGTCGCCATCTCAAGAGCAGCATCCGCGAATGGTATCACAGTTCTGCCGCCAGAAAATGCGACTCGGACGGAGGATGTAGTGAACCAGAAGTCTTATAATATGTAGTAGTAAATGCTGCATAATCAATGCCATGTTCTTCCCATTGGTAATCGCTATTGTTGGAAATCCTTAAGGAAATTACAAACTGAATAGTGCTACCACTTGATATGAATACTTTACTATTACTTTATCTTTTTATGTCTGATAGAAATGACTGTAGCGAGTGCAAATCCTAGTTCATGACACTATTGTTTGATAAACATTATGCCTCATCTACACTACTAGCTAGCAAAAATGAGCTTAAAAAGCATCATCCAGCGTGCCTGGATTATCAAAATGTAGCATCGGGCAGTGGCAGCTGCATAGATGTAAACTACAAATGCACGCCATGTTGACACTCAATATAATACAAACTCGTTTTCTTTACTATCAACTGCAAACTGAACTTTGTTCATCACTGCGTATCACCATGCACACTACACAATAGCCATTGTAACCACTAATGCAAATTCTTACATAAACAGTAGACGCCATGTTCATTTATTATAAATTACGGAAAGAGGGGGGGGGGGAGGGGAATAGTTGTGTATGCGTATCAAAGTATATTGCTCATTTGATTTTGTTCTATGTATTGTTTTTGTTGCTTGAGCATTCTTGCTTCTCGAATCTTGAGCATCATTGAGCCATAGTTATCGTAATACTGCCGTAATTCCTTCACAGTCAAGTTATTCCACTTGCTCTCATCATCATCCACCACAATCAAATGAAGAGGATGGATTAAACCGCGATAAGATGCCCACACTTCACTTTCAAAACGCTGCTCCAACTCATCCAGTGTCGATTCTCCTTTATCCGCCAGCATGTATCCGTATCCTTGCCACAAAATAGTAGCGCTGTTGTCATTCTCCTCTTTCTTTTTCGATTCAAACACTTCCAATGTATTATCGTATTCTGTGGATTTCTTCTTGGCTGCTGGCTTCTCCTCTGTGGGTGCAGGCTTGTCGCTGATCATGACTCCACCTACCGACTCTGATAAACCTGGTGTAACTAGGATGGGAACAAGCTTGTTATCTCCTTCGCCTCCATGTGGAGAAGCGTATAGCACGGCTGATAGAGAACGACGGATAGAATTTCTCACTTCTTTACCATTGGATTGCACAGCTTCAGATGCATCATAGGATGTCCTGATGTGTGGCTCGCTGGCGCCCACCTTTTTGAATGACTTGATGTATAAACTTTTTGATTTTTGTGCTCTTCTGCTAGCTTTTGTGTCTGGCTGTGATGGTGGAGAAGTGGTATTATCAGCTGTTGTTGTTGCTGTTTGCTTGGCATGAGCTTGGCCACCACCAAACGACAAACTTCTTGATAAACTATTGCTAAACCCAGCAAATGAAAAACGTTTAGGTTTGACCGATTCCATTTTGTAAGCAAAAAAAAAAAAAAGAGTGTAGCAAAGTAAAAAAAAAAAAAAAAAGAAAGGGATGAAGGGAAAAGAAGAACTGTAATGTATGTAACCCTGATTTGTTTGGAGGAGAGAGGGAGAAGAAAAGGTTTGGTGCCTGAAAAGATGAAAACTTTTTATTCTCTCGTTTGCTGATAATTCACTTTTTCTCTCTCACTCTCTATTTCATTGCACAACATCTGTCAAACTGTGATGTTAATGAGTAAAATGTGTTGTGTGCTACTCTGTTTACTATATTCGTGCCTTGAGATCATGGATATAGCCTCAAAATGGACAACATTTCGCTATCCGAACGAAGCTTATGACTAGTTTGATACACTCACTTTTGTGCAAATAACCTGCTGTTCCTTTGAATTATCTTTCTGTTAGCTTATAACGTCTCCTCCTTGTTTCTTCTTTACCCTCATTTGTCATCTCCCCATTTAACCTCGGTTGGAAAACAACATCTCAAATCTCGGTACAAGAGAGTGATTTCAGAACCCCGATCAATGGCACCTTGATGCACCATTGGGCAAGTGTCGCATTACCATAGCATATGTATATATGTGAAACCCGAATATCTATCACAAAGAGTTAAGATGTGCTTTTAAATTCGCTTAGCAATGCAACCAGATGTACATTTGAATTAAACATAGGACATTTAGCAAAGGACAAAAAGACATGGATAGCTTGGTAGCACCAACTGCTTACCTCCACAACATCAATTCAGGCTTCATCAGCCTGCAAAGTTTCGGTTCCGGTCTCGTACAAGCACCTGAATTAAAAAATCCTATTTTTTTTACATGATTAAACATCAATGCGTCAATGGTTTAAGTGATTCCTATTGTTTGATGCCAGGTTTTTAGTCCACCGCTACAAATCAAGACGCATTAGTATAAAAAGAAGAGATGTTTGATGATGGGAGTCATCTCCTTTCTTTCATCCCTCTCACAAGAAAAAATTAAACCTTCCAATGTTGTCCTATATCTTTGTCATGCTTGTAGCAGCATGGATCCAACTTGTTCACGGCAACAGCGTCAACTACACATTGCAAACTGACTACAGCGGTACATCGTTCTTTGACAAGATCGACTTTTATTCTGGCAAAGATCCTCTCGGTGGGTTTGTTCGGTATCAAGATAGCCCCAATGCTACATCGCTCGGTTTGGCCTACGTCAATGACAAGAACAGAGTCATCTTGAAGCCTGATAACACTACGATTACTCCAGATGGTCGACCTTCTGTTCGACTTCATTCAAAAGAAGTGTATAATGGAGGCTTGTTCCTGTTTGACATCAATCACATGCCACAAGGGTGTGGTACTTGGCCTGCCTATTGGTTGGTAGGTCCTTCTTGGCCGAACAATGGTGAAATCGATGTAAGCTTGAAATTGCGTTAGAAAACCACAGAGAGCTAAACGTTGTGCACAGATTTTAGAAGGTGTGAACACACAAAAGACAAACGGCATGACAATATATACATCTCAAACATGTTCTATGGTCGGTACAAAGCAATTGATGACAGGCACAGCATCTAGATCCACAAGTTGTAATGTAAAGCAGCATGGAACAGGTTGTGGTATTAAGGAAAACCGCACCACATCCTATGGTGTTGGTTTAAACAAGAATGGCGGCGGCATCTATGCTATGCGCTGGGAGCAAGCAACTGGTATTCAGGTCTGGTTTTTTCCACGCAATCATTTACCCGCTGATCTCAATTCAGCAACAACCACTCTGGCGAATACAACCAGGATTACGATGACCGATTGGGGTACTCCAGTGGCCGATTATCCTTTTGGGAACAACTGCAATAGTACATTGTTCAAGGACATGAGGGTTGTCATCAATTTAACGTTTTGTGGAAGATGGGCTGGTAAACAGAGTACGTACAGCGGTGCTGGATGTCCATCAGAATGCACCTTGTATGTTGAAAACACATCACATGCATTTGATGAAGCATATTGGGATATCAATTATCTCAGAGTGTATCAGCAGCAGTAATAATAGGAGTAGCCTTATTTGTGTATATTTCTGTTCCTTTAAATATGCAAATATTAAAAACCCCCTTATACATGTTATTGATCAAGGTAGTCTCATAGTTAATAAAGGTAGCTACGAGACATCTATCGATTTGGATGCTCCTTTTTTCTAAAGAATACTAGTTTATTGCCTCTTCCAGTTACGACTGACGTGTAATGCTTTAGAGGAGCCTTTTCAACTCTAAGATTGGAAACAGATCAATAGCGGTCAAAGATGGAAGATGCTATGGCCTCATCTACTAGCTTTTAAGTGATGAGTGCTATTCTGCTTCATAGATATTAGTTTAACCAATATAATAAAAACTCCAGTTCATTCTTCTTTTATACTTTCCTATCACATAGTTCATACTTGTTACGTTTGGCTTCCCTGGTGGTTACTTGTTTGCTCTCCTCTTGCGCAATATTTATCGCCCATCACTTGCTGTTGCCACCAATTTGTTCGAGATCTACTTAATAGTCAGTTGTGTACATTTTTGCAAACTGTAGATATCTTACCGAAAAGCAGCTTCCTTATTAACCATGGCATCAGTTATTGTATCATATCAGTAATGAGTGTATAATCCCTACTGCAAGTGCGCAATTGAGCATTTAAAATGAGTATTTGCAGCCATTGAATTCATGAAACATCAAATTATGTAACAGAAGAAACAAAGAACAGAGGTAGAACTACTTACGACACTGTTTCAACCTGTAATTGTCTTATTATTAGCTTGAAATACATCATTATTTGAAAAGCATTGATTTTGACAACCGCCAAAACCAATTGAATATTCGCAATTCATTCTATTTCAATTCGTTCGCTTTGCTCAATTTTCGACTATATAAACAGTGATCGTTGCCCTGTACTTATTAATAGTGTTTTGGAGCACTTTTTGAGGCGCATCCAATGGTATCAACTTTAAGAGGGTTTATGAACAAAACTACCGCGAAATCCGTAAAAATATGAAATACGGTTTTTGGCCAAAATGCCAAAATTTTGCATATAAAGAATCTCACAAACAAAGCTTTAGGGGTTGCTTTGGATCAAGAGAAACTTTTTGAGCTAATATACCCCTAGTAAAAATCCTCGTTCTGGGGGTCGAAAATGCGATCGTTTGATTTTTGATGAAATCTATGAGGTATACCCCTCATGCTTTTTGGTCGATTTTTTGTGGTAATTTTTTGGTCCCAAAAGAATTGAGCAGTGGTGTCAGCAAGAAACTCCTAGTTGAAAGCAATTGTCTGGTGCTATTCTGGCAGCCTAAAACGGCTTTTAACGCGAGAAATCGCGACTCAATGCATCTGTATTTGACTGTGATTTGCATATATTTAAGCAGTAAGAGACAATTTTAGGGTGTTGTCTACCCGTACCGGAATTGATTTCATCAATTCAGACATGGAGCATGCTAAAAGTGTCAGATCCATGGTTACAGCCCTTTGCAGAGATCCCCACTTGGTAATGGAGAGATAAAGGGTAAGATTTTATTATGTATCCGTAGGATATGCCTTCATGAAAGTATCAAACTAAGTTTATTGTACATTTGTTTGACCTATTGGTGTGCAGTAAACGGCAGATGGAAGTTGGTTACAGCATCTTCTTTAACAAAACCAGCTAGGGCGTCCAGGGCCAACTTACAGCGCCCTATTTTAGTCTTTTCTTTTTTTTAATATGAAATTCAGAAGAGAGACACTCATGCGCAAATGATCATCAAAAGAGAACCACCATGGATTGATGGCACCAAATCAGAAGCGACAGCCAAAAACAGGGGGTTTAAAGATCATTGCGCAAGTGTTCACAAGATGGAGAGCTTGAACAAAGGACGTCAGGAAGAAAAAAGAACTGCCAAATTTACATGATCCGAGTTTCCAGTGCAAAATATACCGCCTCACACACAAAACTGAGCAAAAGCACAGATCTCATTGCCATAAAGTGCATCAGATGCGTATAGCCTGTTCTGATTCAACCACAAACGTCAATAGAGCAGGCGTTCCAATACATACAAAGCATTCAGGTACTCGTTAGCAACTACAATCACAGATGCAATCAATTCTATCCATCATTGATAAGCAACATCTATCAGTATATACGCGTAAAGCACTGATGCCGGCTGAAATTGGAGGCTTTCAAGAAGTTTTTCATGACCCTGAACCTATTTCCTGACCTCCAGGCCAGGCCAATGTGTCATCTGAGATTGAGTGGTATCTATCTGTCCGTTTTTTCGCCGATGGATTTATCATTGATTTTGCTTTGCTGTTGCTCATGAAAATGGATCGATTTTCTTTCATTGCGGTTTTCACCCCCCCCCCCCAAAATGCGATTTTTTACATATTATTTTTAGACTTAAATGAATGGGCAATCTTTTATACTTTGACCTAAAAGTGTTTGTTACACAGTTTAGCTATTAGAAATTTGACATATTCACTAAAACCTTATTTTTGTGTTTTCGCTATTTGCTCGAATTTTTGTATGGCAAAACTTAATGTTGAATACACCATTCAATATAGAATTACGGTGATAACTTACCATAATTAATAGTCCTGGTGCATACAGCTAGTAAATTGTAAAGATTTTTGCATTTTTGTGTGTTGGGATTCCCGAAACCGCATCCAGGAACAGGATGGGAGATATAAATGAACATATCATTCAAACTCAGCCATCACCACTAAATGGTGTTCTGGCATGAATTAGCTTTATTCCACCTGCTTTCAGCCTTAATCGATGATATAAATATAGATGAATATAGCGGATATAAATCAAGCATGTCAAGTACGGTACCTTTGTCCTAAAATAACTTGATTCATCCAAGTAAAAAAAAAAGAAAGCTTTAAATAACTTATACTTGACGGCATCAATCTTCTAAAATGCAATTTAATTACTCCAATGTTGTTTGGTATTGACGGAAAAGAAGCTTTTATTATAAATAGAATAGCAGTGTCTGGAACACATTTTATATAGATCTCTCTTGGCAGATTCTAATTCTTTGCAAGCACGCATGCATATTAAACATGTGCGTAGTGATAGTGCTGGTAGTGTAAATCATCAAGTATGTGGACGGTTCATCCATCAGTTTAGTAGTGCTACTACGCACACATACACAGGCATATCTGTATGAAAAAGGGTTTAATCTATATTATGCTATTGGTAAGCTACAGAGAGCACACAGATCAGGACCGTGGAATATGTAAATTTATAAATCAAATGGAATCGAGGGCTATTTTTGTATCAGAAATGAATAAAGTCTCTTCTTTTTCTTTAGGTTTCGCATGTTTGAGCAAATATAAATGCAAGCTCAACAATCAAAAATTACACCAAGCATGCGTATACATAAAGGCGCACGCAATGTGGTTATTACCGATCAATGATCATACTATGATGGTGTTGCTATGGTGTGAGTCCTAACCATGCACAAACAGGTTTTTTTTTGCTAAATTTGGAAACAACAGTGCTCTCTCCTGTGCGTTCTCTTTGTTACCCCTGAATCTCCTTGAATGTTAGTATACAGTTAATTTTATAATAGTAAAATGTGGAATACAAATAAAGGTGATGTATATATTCAATGTGTGATTAAAAGTGTATATATGTATAAGTGACGGTAGGATGTTGCTTGCTGTACAAGATGTAAAAGCATGTGTATGTTATGTAAAACAAAAAATGCCTCTAAGCAAGTTTCTCTGTATCCGCGAGTTCTATTGAAATAACATCATGACCATTGTGTTGATGTAGTTGATGATGATGATGATGATGCTGATGGGTATCATGTTTTTCTGCCTTATCAGTCATTTTGAGGATGAGTGGTGTAGCAATGAGTGTGATGGCAGTGGTAGCCAGCAAGAGATAATACACTTCACGGGAGATGATACTGAGCTGCTTCGCACGAGACGCTAAAACAAAGCCAAATTCTGATATTTGAGCTAAAGCGATCGCCATGGAGGACGATTTGTGTATATCAAACTTGAACAAATACAAAATGACGCATGTTGCAATGTATTTGAAGCCAATGACACCAGCAGCCAATGTCAGTAGCAACATGGCCTCGGAGGCCAGGAACGAAGGATAGATGTGGAGTCCAATCGAGGCGAAAAATAGACAAGCAAACATATCACGAACAGGTTCAATAACCTTGATGGAAGTTTCAAACATGCCTTTACGAGACCTGATGATGACACCGGCAGCAAAGCAGCCCAACTCCATACCAAGACCTAGATGTTCAGAGATAATCAACATGCTCATGCATATAGCAATCGTGCCTAAAAGCATGAGTTCATGATTATTCGAGATTGATTGAATTGGAATAGCACGTCGAACAACACGAGGAATAATTGGGATTAGCCGAACAATAGCAAAGCAAACAAGGCCGAATATAGCAAAAGATAAGGTAATTCTGAGCACTGCAAACACTACTTGAAAGCCTGATTTGGAGAGAGCAGGGATAATAGCCTAATGTACAATAAACAAGTTAGATGCACGTACGCACGCACGGTATGCGATGAGGAACTAACCAGCATGAAGCCTAAAATAACATCTTGCATCACTAATAGGCCATACAGGTGATCTAATTGATCCAGCTTTATGCATTTCACAACAACAGCGGTTGAACTCAAGCTAATGCAAGCACCGACAAACACGGCTTCCTTTGTGTCTGCACCAATTGCACATCCCATCAAGACAAAAAACAACACTGTCACTAGCAAAATGGTCATTGCGCCGCCCAATGCTAGTCTCCACATCTTTTGGATCTTTTCTAATGAGAATTCAAGGCCGAGCACGAATACTATCAATACGACCCCTAATTGCGCCAGTGTTTCTATCTGGATCAACTCTTGGATCAAGTTGTAGCCTGATGGTCCTATCAAGATACCCGCTAGGATATAGCCAAAAAAGGCTATCCGACAATAATGAGTATGATGTGTCTTGTTTACATGCATCAAGAATTGGACATACCAGGCAAACCGATCCAAGTAAACATCCAGCCCAAAACAAACGAGGCGACAAGGATAAGGATGAAATCATGAATCAACTGGATGTCTGTCAGGTTGATTATGTAAGCAACTCACTGTGAGCATCCTTGTTCCAGCAAGCTCAAACCTTCAATAATCACTGTCGAATCAGACGGCTTCATCATGACATATTCGTTGCTATCTTGATCCACCAAATTGACCGAATTCTCATCACGAAACTTGAGCACTGTCTCCACACGACCCTCGTCTGAGCTAAAGACAATGTTGTTTTGCTGCATATCCTCTTCCAGCTGATCTGCATTATCACTGACCTCCTTTAGCATGCCATGTAATACTTGCTTCATCGATTCCTTTTCCTGATCCACATCCGTTACTCCAGGAATCGGTTGGTGGTGATGTGAGCTCTTTGTGTCCGAAAAACTACCGGCAGCTGATTTGAGTCTTTGGTGAGATATTTTTACAGCACGTTGGAAATCAAATGTTAATTTTAGAGCTGGGCTTCTGAAATCGTACGAGGATTTGAACGGTTCCTGACTCACGGTCCTTTGGTACACCTGCAAAATCCCAAATACAAATGATTCGAATGCCTGATAATCCTCTAATTGAACACCAGCTAAAGCGTACAGTTCATCATTGGATTCACCGTGCACAGCTTTGATGGACTCGAACAACTGATTTTTTTTGATTTTGAGCTCTTTTTCATGGTCTGCGCCTCGCTGTAGTATGGTGAATAGCTGCTCGGCGTTTGCTGGTGAGAGGCTCTATGAACAATCCTTTAGACATGTTGCTATTCTTATCTCTCCATAGCATACCGGTAGCAGATTCGGTTCATCCAAGAGTGCAGCGTCTGTCGCTAGTAAATAGAAGCCTGAACCGAGGAGCAGCAGCGCGATGGCTATGATGAATGATGATGAACAATATCGCATGTATAAATGTGGCAAAATTAAAAAAAAAAGTTTTTAGTGATGTTAAAAAGGAAGGGCGAAATGGTGATATTCTAATTGGATAAGTGCACTCACAGTGACGTTAAAGCATATTGGTTGTTGCACATACAAACAGTTGAGATATTTTTGGTAATTTCATACATTGCTCCTTAATTCAATGGGCACGTTTTTCTCTTATTATTATACGCCCCTCCCCTCCCCCCCCTCTCCCCCCAAACAGAATCATGTAATATAAAAAGGATCATCATTTCCATGATGTGCCCTTCTTTTCTCTCTCTCTCTCTCTCTTCACTCACATCAATCCACATTCAAATGCCAGCATTAACCACCACTGCAATTCCTCAATTGCCCATCGGGACTATCATCCAAGATTTGGAGATCGTCAAAGTCCTGAGCATTGGTCCTTATGGCCAAGTTTACATGGCTCGTCATATCCAGACATTTAAACGCTATGCCATCAAATCTCTACCTCATGTCGGCTTCGATTCCCGTCAACTTGCCTTTCAGCGCAACGAAATCACATTGCACTCCCATCTTTCCGACCATCCGCACATCATCCGACTCGAAAAAGTAGTACAAACCAGTGAATGGACACATGCTATCCTGGAATATGGATCTGAGGGTGATCTTTTCTCGGCCATTACAGAAAAGAGCATCTATCACGGCAACCACGCTTTGATCAGAGATGTCTTTTTGCAGCTCATTGACGCCGTACGCTACAGCCATGACAACCACATCTTTCATCGAGATTTGAAGCCTGAAAACGTCCTTGTGTTCAACGGTGGAAGAACAGTGAAATTAGCAGACTTTGGATTAGCTACAACCGACGCCATTTCAACAGACTATGGCTGTGGATCCACTTTTTATTACTCTCCCGAATGTCAAGGCGGCCTAGACAGGCAGAAACGAGTTGGTTATGCAACAGCTCCTAATGATGTTTGGGCGCTAGGTATCATTTTGATCAATTTATCCGCAGGCCGTAACCCCTGGAGATTAGCCTCTTTGGATGATGAGACTTTCTGCGGTTTTCTCCATGATCCCAACTTGCTGCTCAAGATTTTGCCCATCTCTGCTGAACTCAACAAAATCCTCAAGCGCATCTTTTGTCTCGACCCTCATCGCCGCATCACCTTGGATGAGCTGTATATAAGAATTCAACGTTGTACATATTTCACTCGTACTCCTGAAGTAACTCGATATGAATCTATGATGGCATCTACTGTAATTAACACCAAGAGAACAAAGAAAGCCAAGAACAGACCCTCGAAATTGCAACTGTTTAATCAGCCCATTAGTGTCGATTTGCCCTCGCCACCTCAAACACCCAGTCAAGATACCATGACATCCTCCAGAAGCAATAGCAGCAGTGGAAGCAGCAGCTACAGCAGCATAGCTTCACTGGCAGATCACCATGTTGGCACGGTCCTTGTGAACAACAATGCTACAGCTGATACCTTCTTTTCGCCTAAAACAGGGGCTGATACCACCAATCTAGACCCCCACTACATTCAAGTCGTGGTCTAGACTGTTCACCTCATATCACATATTCTCTCTTTCTTTTTACCTATTACATAACCCACTCTCCTTTCATCTCCATATATGCCTTATATACCAAACATTGTCTATAGCCTTTTTGTTTATATGCCTTCACTATATCCCCCCCCCTTTTTTCATATGTTTCTGTATTTTCTCTATGTATTTAACTGCTACACTACTATTTCTCTCTCTCTCTCTCCAAATGATCACTACTCCCCCCTTCTTGTTTATGTGTAAATTCTGCTTGTTCGCTGTAAATGTCTTTTTTTTTTAAATTATCATCATCATTATTTTGCTTTCTTTATATCTTATCATGCTCTCACAATAAAACCCTTTGCATAAATTGTTTATTACATAACAGAATCATGAATTGGGCGGCTATTAACCACAGACAATTTGATGTCCACATTTAGCAACCAAATGTTTGTTTTTTTTTGCTCTTTTTGAACGGAATAAACACGCGAAACCTACCCATTCAACTCAAAACCTCATCTGCTGGATCATCTTTGTCTCTGTTTATTATTATTTTTAAATGCAAAATCATCAACAGCAGCCTTGGACAGCTCATCTGGATCTTTACGGCAGTCCAGAATGCGATTACCATGCACAGCTCACTATCGGATCGACACTCATGAATCTGGTTCTGGATACCGGCTCTGCCAACACAGCTGTTATTTCTGACTTGTGCTCGTCTGAAAATTGCACATTTGTACAGAAACCTTATTTACCCATACCTGATTCATACGCTAATTTTGACACAGTAAATGCCAGTTACGGAAATGCCAAGCTTCGCTCCTACTGGAAAGGTTATGCTACAGGTCAACTAATTAGCTTTGATCATGTGCAACAGGCATTTGCCAGAGTCGATGTAATTACGGATCATCAATCCTTTTTCATACCACGATGTTCCAAAAATCAAGGCATCTGGGGCCTAGCTCATCCGTCCCTTCAAACAAGACCTCGAAAAAGCAACGGCCACGCTTCCAATAGTGAGCAACAGAAATTAACTCTTTTTGATTCTATCCGTCGCGAAAAGGGCCTGCCAAATGCGTTCACTGTTCAAATATGCCCCAAATCAGCTGTAGATCCTGCGTTTGCGCATGAATTTAATTTCCTTGGTTTGAATAGTACAATGCGTCATGCACAGCTACAGCAACAACAACCATCCGCTACAGAGAAAACTTGTTTACGCGATGGACACTTTTGGCTAGGAGGGTATCCGAGTCAATCAGTTGGAAGTGAAATTGTATGGGTCCCATTATCGCACACTCGATACTATGAAGTCAAGGTGGATCATTTCGTGGTAAATGGCAATATTGTCGCTGGCATGGAGCAAATCAATGTGCCAAGAACGATTATTGACACGGGCACAAAGGATATTGTGCTCACACCACTAGTAAGGCTTGGGTCTGTCTCGTTTGTATCGTGAATGATTAACACGCAACACAAACATGCTTGATTTAGAATCTGGAAAAGCTGCTTCATGCGTTATGGCATAGCAAATTGGTGCAGTTTGATGATTCAGTTTCAAAAGAGCATGAAAAATCATTTTGGTTCGATCATGCCCAACTCAGTCTCCCCAAAAAAGCTCTGACCATCTCGCATAATGTATCTGTTGCTATTGCATTTGAAGGCAACAATGTTGTGTCCCTGCCTATCGAAAACATACTCAACATTCGTGATTTCGGTGAACAAATGCCAGATTGGGTCAATATCAGTTGGACAGGATTTACGAATAGTGGTGGAAGTGGTAATATGGCGTCTACGATATTAGGAAACACTTTGTTCCTTGGAAAAACTGTGATTTTCGATCGAGGCAGAGAAGAGGATGGTGCTCACAAAATGACCAGCAGAATTGGATTTGCAGATGCAAGTGCGTGCTGTAGGACTTCCAGCGGGAAGGATGTAAACATCTTGCTCTCAGTCGATAGTGTTACAAAAATCTCCATTATACACCAAGATCATGTCGCAAATACCGTACAGATCTGTCTCATTTTGCTGATTGCCTTGTCCGGTGTTGGATTCTTTTCGACCATGGCTGTCTTTCTGATGAATGGCTATCAAGAAAAGAAGAACAGAGCCGCTGATGCCATTAGCTTTAAGGGGGATGAGCAGCACCAGATCCATTTAGTGAAATAACTTTTGTATTATACTAATATATTTATTAAGTTTTATTGCTCACCAAAAGCCTACATGCATGCTATGCTTAATATCTGCCTTTGCTCATGTAGGTGCACTTGCTTTATGATGTGTAGTCAAACTTGAAATGCATCTTTAATGCAACTGCATCTCTCCTAAATACAGCAATTATTGCTTCAGTAGTTTAATTTCAAACAAAGTGTTTCTGACGTATACATTTTTAAATGTTTTAATACTTTGTTTGTTGCTCATCCCTAGAAGAGAATTAGCTCAGATTGCAGTAAACCATCCGGCCAATCAATTATGTGCCCTGAATGAGGTATTGTATCTCCGACATTTGACAGGTGATCTTCATGTTCATGATCTCTTGGTCGAAAACAATGGTTGGCTGGTCTGAACGAGCCTGGACCAATGCCTATTGTATAGTGAAAGATATTTTGTGCATCCAAAGAAGCTGCCCTTAGGTGATTATCGAACAAATGTCACCGTAACTAAGCCCAAAAATATGGTTCCTTTATGTTTATTTTACTGGTCCGTAAAATCCGAATACAATTATAAACTACCACAATATCAAATACTTGAGCATATATATATTACTAATACTCTCTTTTCGTTTGTATAGATAGTAACATTGGTGATCAAGGTAAATTTGTACAGCTTTATATGCATCATGAAATACGCTAATCTTGACGCGATTAGGCGATACTGCTCCTGTCAATGGGCGTACCTGTCAATCTGAAACATAGCATGGCATTATTTCCACATTCAACTGCAATATCATATTCTTTTCATTTAGCTAAACATCGTAGATACGTTTACGAATGTGTATCTTTCCTGCAAGATCCCGAATTTTCGTGATTATTGGGAGGACAATGACATAATAAAGGTCTAATGAAAAATGACGAATCGCCCAGCATCTTATCTGATTGGCCTTTTATGGGTAACATCCAAAGAGTTATAGGCACTTGTGCACCATGTTTCATTTTTGTGACTCACCATGAAAGAAACAAAAATTTAATTAAAAATGCCTCAATGTCTACTACTAGTTGCTCTTTCCCTACCTCTTTTCCTCAATACTAGCCATGGAGTTCGTCAAGGATCTCGAAGATCGCATGCTTTTTGCAGTTCCAAAAAAGGGACGCATCTACCAAACTTGCATCGAGCTTTTAAAGGGATGTGACATCCATTTTAATCGTAGCTCACGTCAAGACATCGCCCTTTGCACAAACTTGCCAATTGCACTCATCTTCTTGCCTGCTGCTGATATTGCTAAATATGTGGGTGATGGCAACGTCGATCTTGGTATCACTGGCCAAGATATCGTTGTTGAAAGTGAAGTCGAGGATAAAATCCGTCAAGTACAGGAGTTGGACTTTGGTAAATGTAGACTTTGTATCGAGGTGCCTATGAATGGTGAATATCAAACATTGGAGTCATTGGTCGGTAGACGTATTGTTACAAGCTTTGTAAATTGTGCTGCCAAGGTGTTTGAACCTCTCGATAAAGCTGCTGGCAAAAAGACCATCATTGAGCACGTTTCCGGTTCTGTGGAAGCTGCTTGTGCGCTTGGTTTAGCTGATGGTATCGGTATGTACTACATTGAAATTGTTTTGGGTAAATCATGATGGAACTAAAATTGTTGTTTGTATATACAGTTGATCTCGTCGAAACAGGAGAATCGATGCGTGCTGCTGGTCTCCACGACATCCATGATTTGATGGAAACCCAATCTGTTTTGATTGCCAACAAGAAATCAACCCACACCGAGTTGATTGAGAAGATTGCCTCACGTGTGCGCGGTGTGATTACTGCTCATAAGTTTGTGCTGTGTACATACAATGTTGAGCGTAAAAACTTGGCTGCTACTAGTAAAGTAACTCCAGGCCGTCTTGGTCCTACTGTCTCCGCATTAGATTCTCATGATGGCTGGGTGGCTGTTTCTGCCATGATCGCAAAGAAAGAAAAGGGCGAGATTTTAGATAAATTAACAGAATGTGGTGCAACTGACATAATGGTCATGGCATTTACAAACTGTCGTGTATAATAGCAAAAATAAATGAATACAATCATGCAAATACAAAAAATGGACGTTTTCATTACTTTATTAAGTTTTTAAAAAAAGAAAAACAATGATATGTGTGCTTTCTAAAGATCTAGACAAGATGGAGAGCAAGATACTTAGAGAGTACGGGTGACTTGCCAGACACGGATGATGTTATCAGAGTAACCAGAGAAGAGAGTGGCACCATCAGCGCTCCAGCAAACAGACAAACAGTCGGGATCAGGGTTCTTTCTCTTACCCAATTGAGGGAACTCAGGACGGAGCTCATCAACAATAGACTTGGACTCGAGATCCCAGATCTTGATACCGTTGGCGGTAGCAGCACAGAGCCAGTAACGGTTGGGAGAGAAGGTAAGAGCGTGGACGAGAGATCCAGCTTCGAGAGAGTAGAGATGCTTGGCATCGTTCAAATCCCAGAGCATGACAACACCATCCTTACCAGCAGAGGCACAGAGAGAACCATCGGGGGAGATGGTAACAGTGTTGACATAACCGTTGTGACCAATGAAGTTGGTTCTCAACTTCATCTTGGTCAAATCCCAGACCTTGACGAGCTTATCCCAACCACCGGAGACGATGAGAGGATTAGCAGGGTTAGGAGAGAAACGAACACAAGAAACCCATTCGGAGTGACCATCTTCAGTGATGTTATACTTGCACTCACCGAGGGTGTTCCACAACTTGATAGACTTATCACGAGAACCAGAAACGATTTGACGGTTATCGGCAGAGAAGGAAACGGAGAGGACATCGTTGGTGTGGCCAACGAAACGGCGGGTGGTGGTACCGCTGTTGAGGTCCCAGAGACGGAGAGTTTGATCCCAAGAGGCGGACAAGGCGAATTGACCGTCAGAAGAGATGGCAAGATCTTCAACAAAGTGGGAGTGACCGACAAGAGACTTACGGGGGACACCGTAGTTCAATTCATCTCTGTAATCAGTTGATTTGCTTAGTATTTTCTGTTCACAAATACACATGTAGTATCAGAATTTACCTGATGAGGTTCCAGACGATGATGGTCTTGTCACGAGAGGCAGACAAAACCATATCAGGGGCCTCAGAAGTGGTGGCAATGGCAGTGACTATAGGCAAAGAGCTTGTTAGTACACGCATGGTACCAAATATCACATTAGACATTGAACTTACCCCAGTTACCGTGACCTAAGAGTTGACAAGGAGAGGGTAGAAAAAGAGATGAGTTAAAGACATTCTTACAAAGTTATATAAACATGGGATGAAGGTTGCGAATCTGAATGTTGTTTAGGTTTCCTCGTATTCATGGGAGTGCTGTTGCTAGTACTTGACTGATCAAAAAGTGATGAAGCTACATGTTGCTGTAGCTTTGAGTGTGGTTGAGGATCCAGAATCCCAACATTTCAAATTTCGATCCATCCATCCTTTTTCATCCATCCCAAATCCAACATCCACATTATAGCAACCTTCACCACCATGTTATAGACTACACACCTTCGAGTTTTCCGCGGAGAGTAAGAGTATCCATGTTGTCAGTAAGAAAAGAGAAGGATTCACTATGATGCTTGTTCTGTTGAACTCTTTCAACTCTTTTTTCTCTCCTCCTAGCGTAATTTCAATTTGACTGAGGCAACCAAAAAATGATGGGTAGTAGTGGCGGACACGCAAAAAAAAAAATTTTGTGCGGCTTGCTTCAGTGTTTGCTCGAACTGGCAGACTACACCTACCTCGCAAAAGATACATTGCAACACAGCCAATCAACTATTGTGTATGGAATGACGGTTCTATTCAGCATAGACGCAAAGAAACGCTCATAATTTACAACAAATCTATCACTAGACCTGATCAAAGGTCATAGCTACCTGAAGCTATGTCGTAATGTACTAGATCATACAGTAATTATAGCTCTGTTACATGTTGCAGTGCAATTATCAATCCATTTTGATCTTATTACTCTAGCACAAATTTTTTCATAGAAAAAACCATTTGATAGGCTGGGATGCTCATAAAAAAATAAGGGTTTGGAATACGATTGGAAATTCCTGTATCAGCCGGATCAAATGTTTTGATTATTGTAATCCCGGCATTTGACGTTTCCGTTATAATGAAGATACAAACAGAATTGCCAGCAATGTAATGCAAGTAGTATTGTACATAAGAGCAATTCAGTTTCATTAGAAAGATGCTTCGTATACGTGTTTGTTAATTTCCTGCTGTTATATAGACTTGTCTTTACAGATCTATTCTAAAGAAAGTTTATCTGCGATGCTTCCGATATTCTCCAAAGCAAAAACGAATGATAGCCAACGAAAATGTCTTTGATTTCTCAACTCGAAAAAAAAAGTGATACCAATGGTATAAATACAATGCTCAATCATTCCCCCCCTTTTTCTTTACATTTTCAACTTTTTCGATTATACATTTCGAAACCATGAGCTATCCTAGAGGTAATTTTACTCTCACATCATACTGTACCTGTCAAATCAAACTAATACAGTATCATTAGGTTATTACAATCCTAGTTACACACAATCATTATACCCCTCTGTACATCACCATCATCACCCATACCAACAAGAATCGCCGTACGCCATGGAACGCAAATCCCGACCGCTTTTCGAGGCCATGGAAAAGTTAACCTTGACATGCAACGGCCTAGCCCATACACTTGAATCAACATTGATGGCAACACATTCAGGATTTAATGCACTTTTACAACTGACACATCAATTTCGCACTATCCGACACTCTGTGGGCCATGTCTTTGGTGTTTTATCATTATTACGTTGGCTCAAATCTAAGATTCTCGGCAGCCGAGTCAAATCATCTACGCTCGCCAAATTTTCCATCAAAGAATTCGAATCTTACAGTCATAAAAGCAATAGTATTACACCTTGGATGATCGTACTTGTTGTATCAATAGGTGTCCCTATGATCATGCAATTACATCAGAAACAAGTAGCAGATGTAGAACAAAAGAATACTCTTTCAACTGGCACAACAGTTAAAGCTGAGGCGGCTGCAGCACTAACAGCATCCAAGCCTACCAAATTAGACTTTGCAAGAGCGTTATACTCTTTCCAAGCAGAATCTTCTAATGAATTGACTTTACGACCTAATGATCTTATTGCTATCTTATCAAAAGAAGATGCTGATTGGTGGCAAGGAAGGTTGAAGAATGGCAAGATTGGTTATTTTCCTGCAAATCACGTAGAAATCATTGAAAAGAATATAGAAATTCCAACAAGAGCATCCATTGCTCCTTCGGCTTAGACATTACGACGCCTTTTAATCATATATCCCCCCCCCCCTAGTTCCTTCAATGACACGTCGTTGTTAAATACCAAATGTAATAAAACGTTCTACAAGATTGAGCCGGTCGTGGCTCTTTTCAATTATTCAATAATTCATGTGTTATTACTTTTTTACAATCCTTCATGAGCTTCCAAACGCATTTGTAACCACTGAAACGTGAAGGGCATCGCTTTTACTGCCATTTAGCAGCCAATATTGATTTAATCTCCGCTATGCATTCTGTCCTGATCTGTCAATTTTCAAACTTTTTGGACACGATTCAATCTATTTTACCAAATTTGCTTCTCTTTCCCTCCTGATCCCATTTCTGGCTCCCACCCGCCAGTGGTCAAAGTTCTCGCCTATGCGGATGATACTTTAGTAACCCTTAACAATCCATCAGAATTCGCTGCTCTCGAAGATCTACTCGGAAAGTATATGTCTGCTTCTAATGCCTCCCTCAATTACAACAAAACTGAAGCACTCTCTCTATCTGGTAGCAACCATCCTCATTGGGTTCAGTTCCTGGCCTCTAAAGTTATCACTTCATGGCATGATCGTTCCTCTCTAACGGCCCTGAAATACCTTGGTTACCCTATCCATGCCAATCGTCAACAGCGAACTTCATTCGTCTCCGCCCTCATCTCTAACATCAGTCGCTCTTGTCAACTTCATTCCTGTCGGAACCTGACCTACCGCGGTCGTGTCACCGTTGTGAACTCCTTGATACTCTCCAAACTATGGCATGTTCTTCGGTTGGTTACCTTCACCAAGTCTGAATTCAACAAGATACGCCAAATCATCACTTCCTTTATTAACCGAAACTCCAAAATCAGCCGCTTCTCTTTTGACACTCTCATTTTACCTCGATCCCAGGGCGGTCTGAACCTGATCAATCCTGCGAGACAAGCCCAAGCTCTGCAATGGCGATGGATCCATCCACTCCTTCATCCTACACAACCTTCTCCATCATTGATGCCTTCCATTCCAATCCTTCGGTCCACCCTCTCCATGTGTCTTGGTTCCACTCGATTCCCATCCTACCACTGGTCACTCCTTTTCCCTCAATGTCGCCCGTCTGGTCTACCCTCTTTTGGTCCTGTTGCCAACATCATCATTGCCGTAGACTCTATCATTAGAAACTTTTCCTTCTGCTCCGTCCCCATTCCTGTCATCCTCCGCCTCCCTTTCACTTCCCTCCTTCAACATGCGCTACCCCCTTCCCATCCTTTCGCCTCCACCTTTTCCCCACCCTCCGTCATCCTAGCTGACCATCTCACCCTACGTCAGGATCTCTTTGGATCTGATATCTTTGATTACAACTCTACTTCCAACACCATTGTTTTCAAAGAATCTTTTGAGCACCTCCCCCATCCTCACTGCAGTCGCCGTGCCATCAATTTCATACATGATCAATACCTCTTCCTCAATACGTTCACCCTAAACACCATGCTCACAAATATCCCTCGTCCCCTCCCCACTACTGATCAATTATCCACCTCCTCCATACTCACCCTTGACTCTCTCCACTCCCTTCTTCTCTCCATGATCTCCTCACACTTTAATCTAGATTTCCAACAATTCCATCCAGTCCCTGCGACTACCACTGGTTATAAATCCTTACCTTCCTACCATGTTCCTCCCAAACCTCCATCTGTCTTATCCTCTGCCAAATGGAAACGTCTCTGGTCCTTACGTATCCCATTGAATGCACGTAACACCTGGTTCCGCATCCTTCATAATAAAGTCGCCACAAGAGACATTCTTCATGAACGGCAACCTCATATCCACCATCCCTTTTGTAGGATCTGCCACTCATCCACCGAAACATTGGAACACTTCCTCTTTGCCTGTCCCCACAAACGATCCTTTTGGTCTTCCGCCCTCTCCATTTACATGCCCCCTCTCATCTCCCAAAACAGTTACCAAAACTTCCAGAAATTCCTTCTTTTCGAACACAACCCTTCTCGTCAAGATCATTCAATCTATCCGAATCTCTCTGCTTACCAGGTTTTCGCCTGCATGCTACAAACTATATGGTATCACCACTACCAGTTTACATTCCAGGACAAACCTTTCCTACCATCAATTTTACTCTCATCACTTCGTAGCTCATTAGATACCTTACATTTCCAAGAAACCTTAGATCAGTCTCCATAATTAGTCCCCCCAATATATATCCAGTCTTTTTTCCTCTCCCATCTAATAGGCGTACGTAAAAGGACTTTAAATAAAGCAATACAATTGCCCTACAAAAAAAAAAACTATTTTACCAAATTTGACTATGTAAACTGTCCTGATCAATCCACACTTCTTAATACTTTAAATAAAACCTGGCGCTCGACTCCCCTACAAAAAAAATACTTCTTAATACTTTGTTAGAGGTCTTTTTAAGGCGCATCCGATGGTGCCAATTTCAAGAGCTGCTTTGAACAAAACTATCGAGCAATTTTGCAAGATTTGAAATGAGGTTTTGGGCCTAAATATCGAGATTTTGAGTATGGAAGTCTTCCAAAAGCAATCTCAGGGTTAGCCTTGGGTCGAGAGAAACATTTTGATATAATATATGCCATAGTAAAAGTCGTTATTCTGAAGGTTAAAAACGCAATTGTTTAAATTTCGATGAAAAGTTTTTTTTTTTTGGATGATATTGTTTTATTAGGATAATAATTAGAAATAAGACAAATGCATCCAAGAGATGGAAAAGTGCATGCGAGCAAAGTGACTTGCCATATATAAAGCTATTATGATAAATCTAGTAAGAAAGTTGCTTAAGATTTGACAATCTTAACACTTCCGTTCTGATTTGGCGGCTGATTTGGATTGAATCAAAATGCATGTGGTTGTAAAGCTGTTGATAATGGTTTCTCCAGATAATACGCATGATGGTGGCCAAGAGGTCAAAGATCGTGATGTGGATATCCAAGTTGTATATGAAATATCGGTCCAGTTTGAAGAGCGTGATTGATTTGTAGATAAGATGTGGATCTGCAGATTTGGGGTAACCAAGGAACTCGTTGAATGAGGAGTCCCATACATCAAGTTTGTGGACACAACTGATCAGAAGATGTTTGGCGTCTTCCATTTTATAACAGAGTTCACATTCATCAGATTCAGCATGTTTCAGATGGAGTTGCGACATGACAAGTTTGTTGGAGCTTTGTTTATGTATCATTCGATACCATAGGTTGCGAGCTGAGTAGTGCATGTTATTCTTGTAGAAAGTCTGCCATTGTTGTTTGCTGAGGTGGTTGCTGAAGCTACAACCAACGTCGAGGTTTGCCATGTCCAGCATGACGAAACGGAGATCTCTGTTCGCTAGCTTCAGTATCTGCTGTTGTTGGTATATCAATGGGTCGACAAAGGGCTGGAAATCAGGGTCACCAGTGCTATTGTTGTGTACAAATAATTGGAGTGTGAGCTGGTGGGCGATGATGGCCCGGTGTAGTCTTGTCAATGTGTGGGGTTTGGAGCATGCTGTGCGTGTTATGAGCTGGAACTGTTGTTGATCTTGATTGTCAATTTCGATGAAAAGCATGAGGTACCCCTCATGGTTTTCATTGAAAATCAAACGATCGCGTTTTTTGACCTTGATAATGAAGACTTTTACTATGATATATCATGAATCAAAATGTTTCTCTCGATCCAAAGCAACCTCTGAAACCACTTTTGCGAGGCCTTTATATGCAAAATCTTGACATTTTGGCCAAAAACCGCTTTTCATATTTTCTTGAATTGCTCGATAAATTCAGTCAAAACATTTATTTTACTCGGCACCATTGGAAACGCCTTGAAACGTACTCCAAGAATGTATTAGGAAGTACGGGCTGATTATCACATTTCATATAGTCGAAAAAACTATAATGCGTTGTTATAGCTCTGTGTCTTTTCATATATTTCCGTGTTATACTGTTATTATAGCTAAAAAATATGGCAGACGGCGTCAACCTCAAGACCTTTTCTCTTCCAAGGAAGTATTTGCCTGGAACCGATTTAATGAGCAAGCTCTTGTTAGCTGATCAAGATGTTATTAATATTGTTGTCTCAGCAGTTATTGGTATGATCTTAAATATGCCTGTTAGTATGCTACTAATTCTTTTCGTTTGTGTAGGACCAAAGGCAAAAGATCAACTGAGTGGATTGATTTCACTCGCTCTGATGTCGCGTACGAGTCAATCAACTGCTCTAATGACCTACCTCGTATTCTAATCGAGATTCAAAACAAGGCAGATATGAATTTTTATCAACAACTAATCGACTACTCGCGTTCGGTTTCTAGACAACATAAAGCGTCTAAGCTCCCTATTGTTGTGGCAATTGTGATTAATTCGACAACCAGATATCTACTTGAAACTGAAATACCTGGTTCTCGTATCCCTTTCGCAAAGCAGCTGTCGAGTATTGGCTGGGCCAGCTCATGTCTATTTTTCAATGCAGAGACTATTGCGCCCTATCTCAACGAAACCCCGTTAAACCCATTACTTGTACTTGTTCACTGTCTTATTGAACAAGAGACATCACTTATCAACTTTACGCAATGCAATGATCCAACATTAATTTGTCTGTATACCAAAATGAAAAATATACTTGGTAGCCATATCCATGACAACGAAAACTCTATCCATGCATTAAAAAGTGTATGTGCCCAATCAAAATCAGAATGCTATAAGGCAAAGGCAGCCTTTGAAAATCAAGATCAACCTGTTGGCGTGCGTATTGAAACAGCCGTAAACATTTTGAGTAATGTCATTGCGTATGTCGATGGAATAGCACAAAAGCGACGCTTAGAGAATCCATTATCCGATTTCGAATTTGCTGAGCAACAAGTGGACAAAAACGGACACATACCATGGAAAGCTCAATTCCAACAGTGGAAAATACTGGGCCGCTTTGAGCAGTATAAGTCGTACAAAAGTGCTCAAAGTGCTTATCACCGCGCTATGAAAAAGCAAAAGCAAAAGCAAAAGCAAACTGAACAA